TCTAAGTTTTCAATTCTTTATATGAACCATTACGACCCATGTCTACACATTTAGTCATAGTAGTAAACTGGTTCTCAAATATTTTATAAAATGAAAATCTTGATTGTAAGTACTCTCGCGACAAGTACGGTTTTAAAACGTTGTTTAAGCTAATAAATTTAATTACTAAGGCTAGAGTAATCTAATGCACTTCCAAACCCAACAGGGTTGTATTACTACTATTAAACAAATAAAAAGGATTCAGTGTACATATAGAATTGGCCGGCAATAGGGTCGTGAGAAAGTGTTGGAAAGAGTTCGTGAGTCCATAATTTAAGGGTTCCCTAATTAGATTTAATTATAACACATTAACTAAAGATGGTAATATTTATTGAGATTTGTCTTCACTATATGACAAAATGTGACAATCACTTGCAAGCTCACCGCCCACCCCACCTCCACTCCACCACTTTGAATATGTGCAATACAAATCATTTTTATATCCCATTTTCTAATTAATTTGTTTTCAAATTTTGATTATATATATCACAATAACGTCCACATTTTCTGAAACACCATCGTTTATAACTTTTTGCGTATTTATTTATTTATTTTAAATTCAATATAAGCATAATTTATATAACCTTCATATACTTGAACTATATATCAACGGTTTATATAACCTTCACTTACGTTTTCAGTTTACAAGTCGATTTTTTTAATATAAAGAACATTGGATGTTAACCTAAATCATTATTAATATATTTATCTGGCCATAACCAAAAACGTATGATTATATATTTATTAATATATTCTCTTTTTATGTTCTCCTTTTTCTCGAATAATTCTAGGTTCCCTTAAATTAACGTTAATGTGTCCCTGACCAGCGTCACTGAAGCACTTTCCAGGTACATAAGTTACATTCAAACAGGATAATTGGATCATTATTGAAACTTTTACTATTTCTTTTCTTATTTTTAGTACTACCGAGTTCTTTAATCATCTTTCAATTTCCCCGTATACATGCGTACGCTTAATCTATGGAAAAATCATTTCACCAATCACTGTTTTTTTTTTCTGGCACCAATTATATCTTTTAATTTTTTTTTTTTTAAATGTTAAGCCATTGTAGCTAGGAACTAGGAAGTTGAATCTTGAATGGTATTTTCAAACAGAGACTATCTCATTTCAAAAACTAATGACAAAATCATTCATAAAACTACCCTGCTTATGTTATATGATTATGTCATTGCCATAAACACTAAAATGACATCATTTTTGTCCTCTTCCCCAAAAATTTCGATCGAAAACCATTTTTGTCGAAACTGCTATTAATTTTTTTGAGAAAAGGTTTCGGGTTTTCCCTTCTCTTTTTTCATCTGTCAAATATTATGGGTTCTTATTTTTAATGTATAAAAGAAACAAAGTAAGAGGAAAAAAAAAAGAGGGACGTCAGCCGTCACATGACGGGAGGAAGTGACCAAGTGGACGGGAATAGAAGAAAGAAAGGCTCGAGAAAAGAGACAAGGCGCCGTTAGCGAAGTAACGGAGAGAAGAGGAAGATAGGTCCCACGATGGGCCTGTGTGTAACTATCGTCGGTCCAACGAGTGTCTTTGTATTCTTCGACAAATATCCGTACGGTCTCGTTTCTTTGCTTCAAATCAAACTAACCTTACTTCTTCTCTGGTTTAAGGCCATAACCATTAAACTCAGCTCCACAACATCATCAGTTTATATGTGTATAACACCATTATAGATGTAAAAGAATTTAGAAAACTAATCATCTAACATGTCAGAAGAGACAAGACTCACAACCATAAAAACATAGTTATGTTACATCCCTATAATTAATAATCTAACCAAACTAGAAAAAAGAGAGTTGTGAATTATTTTATTTTTGAATTTGAAAAGAGAAATATATCATAAATTCACCTAAAATTAGTAGAAGGAAATCTAACGCTTCAATATGTTTCATATGATTTAAACAGCTGTCCTACAAAAACAATAGATTGTAAAAATAAAATTAAAAATTAAAAAATCGAAAGCAGTCTACCACATTTCTCTTGTCTAGTGAAAAAAAAAAAAACAGTTTCGATTATCACGCAAAAATTATGTTCATTGTGCATTGTGAGATATATCGAGTTTCTATGAACTTATCGTTGTCACAAGAACTGATGATTGTGTAATGATTATTATTTCGTGGACCAACGTATTTTCATTATCTTATTATTAATTAGTGCCTATATTATACTACTCCAGAAACGAAGTTTGATTTGTCTCTTTGCCTTTTCCTAATCACCATATAAACCGTTTTCCTTTTATATAATACACATCATACGAAAATGTTATGGGATTCCTGAATAAATTACGTGGCTCGAAGTTAATTTGCTCATCTAGGGTTTGATGCTTATACTATTAGACTGTAGTGGTGTATACAATAATCTATTTCACGTTTTTCACTCATTTTAAAATCCATTGTCTGAGAAATTTTATACCACATTTATTACAACTATGTAATTTTTAACGTTACTAAACTGATGTTTGAAGTATATGCATAGAAACTTGTTAAAACGATAACACATACTTCGTGTATTACACTAGTGGTTTATGGTTCGAAAAACCAAAATTAGTGATACTATGGTCGAGAAGTTGTTAGAATTTCACAGCGAGTCGATTGTGAAAAATCTATATGAGTAGTTTATCTCTACATTTTACCTGATAAACTAGCACATTAATTTTAATTAGAGTGTATATATATAATGTAATGTATAGAATTGAAGTTGGACAAAAACTGTATAACATAGAGGAGGCAAATAAAAAAATGAAGGGAAAGACAAGAAAGAACAAACGGGTACATGGTTCACATACCCTGCGAATCAAACTGTTGCGTTCTTTGGCAATATAGCATGGGTTTCCAATATCTCTTCTCTATACACTTACATTATATTATCAATACGTTTATATACATTTATATAATCAGAAGATAACTGTTACAACAATACGATCAAAAACATAATCTTTCATTCTATATACTAACATCTGTTAATTCTCATTAGTGAATATATCTGTCTACGTAAGATAGAAAAGTGGAAGCTGCATAGTTGACCATTGGTCAAAATGTTTAAAACTTAAATATTTTTTTACTTTACTAGAGAAAGTAACTTCATATTCTCTATTTAATTTGCCTCTCAAGAAATGCCAAATATGCTCGTCTTTAAAAATAATGTCAGTGAATTAAAGTTTACTCGCATAAAAATCTGCAGCAAATAACAGAAAATTATTGAGAGTACTAATCACAATTAAGAACTAATACAATGATTCCAAAAAATTACTGTACTTTTTTTTTGTGTGTGTGTGGCGCAACGTCCTAGATTGTTGTCTGCCACGTTAACCACACAGCTGTAATAACTAAAAAGTGGCAAGGTTATGACTGGTAAAGGTTAAAACAGTAAAGGACTACGAACCGTAACGGTCTTTTGTCTTGCTTTTTTTTCACAACGCAACTTGCTTAGGTGAAATGACGAAACTACCCCTGTGGTGAAAAAAGAGAACTTCGCACGGAGGTTTTTAGATTAAAGACTTAAATACTTAATCACCTGCCGTTAATTATTAAATAATGGTTCTGGTCAAAAGTGAGACTGGACCGTGTCTCCGGTGTCACGTGACCTGAATCTCCAATTACGAGGAAATTTTTAAAATAATTATAGAAGTAATTAATTTTAGTAATACATGTTTTTTTCTCTTTGTCAGCTGCCCCATGGAAAGGCACGTCCCAGCCGTTGGATTGGACCCAATTCTGTAATTACACGTGTCGATATCTCAATCGTTTGACTTATGCGGCATTTTGGTATTGCCATTGCCCAAGCTCTTTTTGTCCGGCTTTAATTTTGTCAAATTAGTTTTTGCTAAAAATCAGTCAAAATTTTAGATTTTCTTCCTAATTTAAGACAAATTTCCTTGGTCGGCACTAATATCTAATTATCTACCATTAATGTCACGATTGTTATTTGCGTTACAAACTGTAATAATTACTGTCGACACATGTTGTAGTTCATGGTTTTGTTTTTTTTTCTAGTTTTGTCTCTAAGACTCAAAATTTCAATTTCAGTTAAATGTACGTTTGGATTGTAACAAGCATAGTTTTGACAAGTGTCTGTCATTCATTTGAAATCACTAACAAAAAGTTAAAAAAATCTCTTAACATATAATGACATGTCTTCTTCTATATATTTCTAACAGCTAAGAAATTCATTTTCTTGTACATTATATATGGAACATTAAACCCAAAGAAGTAGTATATTAGACCGATAAACAAAGAAAAAAGAGTTGAGAGATACAAATGAATCTTGTACACCTCTCTTAAACAAAAGAAATATCTTAGTGAAAAGTTTTTTATAAAGATATATTCGAAAAGAAAATTAAATCCAAAAAAAAAAACAGGAGTAAAAACACTAGAGACGTTTCAAGATGCTATAAAATAGTCTCTCTCTACCATTACATGTGCTCTGCCGCTTTTAAATCTCTCATCTTCTTCCTCGTGTCACTCTTTTTCTCACACTCTGCAAAACATTTTCTTGTCTCTCTGCCCAAATTTTTATTTTCCAGGAATATTTCCTAGAAAAACCCAAGCAAAGCTTTTAATCCCTTCCTCCCCCAAAAGTAGCATCTTCCTCTTTTTTTTCTTTCTCCTTTCCTCTCCTTATCTCTCTCTCTCGTTTGTGAACGATTCCTTAAGAATATAACTAAAAGCTCTTTTTCCCTTTCTTCAACTTTCCGGGAAAATCTTCACGCAGCAAGGTTTCTTCTCTCGCGCAGTGTTTTTCGTGCCTTTTAGTTCTTTCTATAAAAAAAAAAAATCGCGTCCTTTGAGAAAACTTTTTTTCCAGTATCACTCTTGTTGTTCAAGTTTCTTCTTTTAAAAAATTCATCTTTATTCTTTGTCTTTTTTCCTTTTGTTTTCTTCTTTTTGCTTTCCCCAATCTCTATGTTATAAACACACAGAGAGAAACACAGTCACAGTCTTGAGAAAAAAAAAACAGAGAGAAAAAAAAATGGAAGCGGAGAAGAAAATGGTTTTACCGAGAATCAAATTCACAGAGCACAAAACCAACACGACGACAATCGTACCGGATTTAACCAACAATCACCAAACCAGGGTTCTTCGTATCTCAGTCACTGACCCAGACGCTACTGATTCCTCAAGCGACGACGAAGAAGAAGAACATCAACGCTTCGTCTCTAAACGCCGTCGTATCAAGAAGTTCGTCAACGAGGTCGCTCTCGATGCTGGTGGTGTTACTGGTAGTTGTAGTCAAATGGAATCAAAGAAGAGACAGAAGAGAGCGGTGAAATCGGAGTCTGCTGTTTCTCCGGTGGTTTCAGCGACGACGACGGAGAAGAAATTCCGAGGAGTGAGACAGCGTCCATGGGGAAAATGGGCGGCGGAGATAAGAGATCCATTGAAACGTGTACGCCTCTGGTTAGGTACTTACAACACGGCGGAAGAAGCTGCCATGGTTTACGATAACGCTGCGATTCAGCTTCGTGGTCCCGACGCTCTCACTAATTTCTCCGTTACTCCGACGACGACTGAGAAAAAACCCCCACCACCGTCTCCGGTGAAGAAGACGAAGAAGAAAACGAGCAAACTCAAAAAATCAGTTACTGCTTCTTCCTCCATCAGCAGAAGCAGTAGCAACGACTGTCTCTGCTCTCCGGTGTCTGTTCTCCGATCTCCTTTCGCCGTCGACGAGTTCTCCGGCATTTCTTCACCACCACCAGCGGCGGTTGTTGTCAAGGAAGAGCCATCGATGACGACTGTCTCAGAGACTTTCTCAGATTTCTCGGCGCCGTTGTTCTCAGATGATGACGTGTTCGATTTCCGGAGCTCAGTGGTTCCCGACTATCTCGGCGGCGATTTATTTGGGGAAGATCTATTCACGGCGGATATGTGCACGGATATGAACTTCGGATTCGATTTCGGATCCGGATTATCCAGCTGGCACATGGAGGACCATTTTCAAGATATCGGGGATCTATTCGGGTCGGATCCTCTTTTAGCTGTTTAATAATATTTTAAATAAATAAATAGTTTTACCGGCCGTTACTAAACGGAACCGGAGAAAGTTTTGTATACCGGTGAAATATAATCTCGGTTATGTTCGTTTTAATCTTTTATTTAGTTTCTTTGTTATATAAATCAAATGTAGTTAACGATGGTGATATTAATTAATTTTTATTAAGGTTTAAGTTTAAAAAAAAGATCCGTCTGTTAACGGTAATGGGAGGTCGAGTTTTCTTTTTGCATCCACGTGCTCTGCTCTCTTTATCTCTTTTTAATTTTGGTCGACTGAAAAATTCCTTCATTTTCGCTTTATTTGATATAAAAATTTGCTTTTTCTTTTTGTTTTTGTTGTTGGTGAAGGCACGTGTGATCTCACGTGATGAGAACAATTGAAAAGCTTTTGTTAGTTATGTTTTGTGAAGGCTAATCATATCCATTTTTTGAGAAAAGGCTAATAATAATTTATTGTTACACGATTACAAGCTAATAATCCAAAGTCCAAAACTAGTTTCTTGAAATAAAAATAATGTGATATGCCAGGTAGATTGAGACTAGATACGAAGAAGAAGAATCTTAGTTGATTTGAAATGTGGCACATCATAAATAATATTTTGGCAGTTTATAGATTCACAAGAAAATGAGAAAAATATAAAAAAATCTCATGAGAACTAAATGAAAGAAGCAGTTGGGGTAGTTGATTGTCTAGAGCACTTCAATCTCACTCTGTTTAACAGTTTCTATAAAAGTACGATGTAACTACGGTTGTATTGTTATACACGCAAAAATCAACTTTAACATATAGTTTTATACTAAACCATATTGTGTAAATCTAATGGTCCTGAATAATTAGTGTATGTTCATAATTGCTTTTTGTCCTTTTATTGTTTCAATGTTATTTAGGAATAGAGATGTTACGATGGGTAATGCTGGTCCATGCCTCGGTTTGGTCCGATCTGGTCTTCATTTGGCCAGCGGGATCCCAAGTGAACCATCAATTGCAAAATGTTACTACCTGTCTATGTCAATATCTCTGTTCAGGCTCGGGCCAGCTTGCTTTGCATGATTTTGGTCCACCACACCATGGTCTTATTTAAGGGTTGATAGAGCTTGTATGATCAATACCTTTTTGGTGTGATTCTCGAAGAATTGTTGAGATGATTTACTTTCTTTGATACATTGCTGATTGGCTTGTTTTTTTTTGTTTTTTTTTTATAAATTAGTTATCTAGAAAATTTATAATCCAATGGATTGTTTTTGTAAGAAATTAAGGTTATTGTCTCACGAAGCAAGTAGTGTTGGACCTAGATGGATGATAATCGTGTCCATCTTGTGGCCACGATTTTCCTAAAAGAAATTAGCCACTTTGTCTTCACTCCTAAATTTTTTTACCATGTTTCATTAAAACTTCATAGAGAGTGTGTGTTGTTTGATAAAACCTTTCCTGTTTGTTTTTTTTTTTTTTACAACAAACCTTGGTGAAAAACAGTAAAAGCAATAACCGATACTGTAATTGATAGAGCAAATTTAATAAAATAAAAAACCAAAATAAACATTAAAAAGATTGAAAATACAGAGGAGGAGGTGCAGGGAAAAGAACTGACGACACGTAGGCTAGAGCCGCAACTACTCGAGAAAGAGCATTGTCGTGTCGCTTTCGTTAAATACTACTGATGTACTATCTTTTTCTCTGCCCGTAAGAGTCGTTCAGAGGCTACTACAATTCTCGGGCCTTTTTTAAAAACATTTTTTTTTCGGTTGCATATAAAATGTGAACTTAAATTCATAAGAAATTAAATATTTCCGACAATCACAGAATTAACCATGCAAATGCAACTTGCTGATTTTAGAGTAATATTTTACGAGGAAGAAAATAAATAGGTCTCGAAACGCTTCAAATATTAATTACGTACACAATTCAAAGAAGTACGGCTATTAAGAATCTAGATGCATACTATATTTTGTAATATGTAGATACGAAAAATGCGAAGTATTAAATAGTTTGGGCCCCTCTTCCCAAAATGTTCATGTGAATTTCGTGATTATTCATGCATACTCATCAATATAATGTCCATTCTATAAAATACTACTTTTAAATCTTCTCGCTATATATGTATTTCAAGAATCAGCAAGTGAAAGAGAACATTAAGAACTCAATCAAATTAAGCAAAAAATAGTTTACAGTGATTCACTAAGTTGATAAATTAAATCTTGTGTGGGTTCAAACTTCAAATATTGGGCCGGGGTATTAAAGAGGTTTGTTGCATTTATATTTCGTTTATTCAAAAAACAAAAATAGTAAAAAATCACATGACTTTTCCAGTGCCCTTTCCTAAATTCGTAAGGCTTGAAGATGGTCATGGCCCATAGAGTTATATATGCATGCATATACACAATCATACATAAGTATATGTTTTTGCGGTGTCCCCTCATGCAAAGATTTTGTTTGTCACAAAATTCCAGAACTCTTTTACAAGATTTATGCCAAAAGATAAATGGGGACCTTTCATGAGAGATCTTGTGCGTGATTTTCTAATTATACTTACTTTAGAGAATATATATATCATGATAAACAAATCTTTGTGACCCATTCAACAGTATTTCTCATACTTCGAAAGATAGAGAAGTAGAAAAATTTCAAGGTAAGAAAGAAAACAACATGGTAAAAGCAATACTAACCATTCACGTCATGACATATATGATCTAACGTTCTTTACCTGAGCATTAACGACCATGTTAAGAGACCAACTACGATGACGCGTCTCAGATATGAAAAATGGTACGGCTTTGGATCCCGTGGTCCATCGAATCTTGACCGTCCACTTGGGTGGGGGCGTAATACCTGTTGGGCCATTGGATAAGCTTTTGTCTAATGGTGGAAATCGAACCAAGTGTCTATTAGATCTTGAGAGTTATTGCCAAACCAATTTGTGAACCGGATCATACCAGGATTCTGTTATCTGTACCGATCAACGACTGTCTTGGCCAAAAGGACATGGTTTCAAACTTTCAACGAATGTTTGACTTCTTACTGGTAAAATATCCAGTTGACCTTTCCGTATACATTATGCCTTATTCCGTATTTTTTCCGTATTTTAGTTTGGTCTTGTCTATCATCAACCATTATATGTCTTTCTCGTCCATTTTCACTGATTTATAATTTATATTCAAAAAGGCTGACACCATAGTGATCATCTTGACTGAGATTTAGTAGAGATGTACATACGTTTTTTTAAATGTTTTAAGAATGAAATTTCCAATTTTTTGTTTTAGTATAGTTTCCAAGTTTTTCCCAATAACTTAGTAAAACCCATGCTATGATACGATATAGAATTAGTTGACATTCTGATATAATCAAAATTTTGACATATATAATTATGTGGATATTGTACATATACATGGTCAAGATATGCATATAAACCGTACAAATTACAATAGATGCATGAACATATATATAGAGAATGTGCATAGTAAAAATACATGTGGAATAGAAAGTGAGTGAGACAGTGTCTCATGAAAAGTGGCAGAGACACATTAATAAATACATTAAAAGAAGGACCAACAAAGAAATTAAATGATGTCTAATTCATTTTCATATTTCACGTACCATTCTCGTGCCATTCCCATGCACTTAACATGTTTGCTCTGCTTCTACCTTTTAATTTTACTGAACTAACCTTCCAACTACTTTTTCGGTTATCTCTCCATTATGTAACAATCTAATTTGAGTTTGAATATTGTACCATAGGTGTTGTAACGTTACTAGTTTTGTGACGATGGTCACGGCTTTAATAACATCATAAATATCCTCAAGAGAGTTTGTGTTTTCTTCTATACGACGGTGATCATCTAGCTATTACTTACTAATCGGCTTTCGAGAAAAATTAATGTCAATATGATGAGAGGTTTGTATTTGTATTATGGTATAACTGTCGATTCTAAGATTTAAATTGTTGGTTTTATGAGCAATCAACTAGCAAACATATGAGAAGCCCCCAAATCACTTGATCCACACAATCATCAAAAGGATGCATAGTTTAGACTTAGAATCCAGAGCTATATTAGAAACAACCATCTTTAGGTAGCAAATAAATCTGAGATCGCTTCAGTGATTGGTATAATAACTGTTTAAGAAGACAAAATAACATGTAAGTCTCAATCAAATATTGTCCTTTCTGCTTTTTGTTAAATCAAATATTGTTCTGATGTCAAAAAAAAATCATATATTGATGGGCTAATAATGAAGTTTGAAGAAAGGGCTTCCTTGGAATAACTTAAATGGGCTTTTATGGCCCATTAAAGATTTCGTTCTATATCGTCCTGTGATCATGGTTGATCCGTCTCACCGGCAACATCGCTCTGAGAAAACCCCTCTTTAGGGTTTATACATTCAATGGAGAAACAGAGTCCTCAACCAATTTGCGGCCAAGAGGCTCTCCAACTTCTCAATTGCGTCGCGGATTCTCCTTTCGATCAAGAGAAATGCCTCCGATTCTTGCAATCTCTCAGAGAATGCGTTCTCTCAAAGGTTGGTTATTATCGCTCTAATGACTGATCTACTAGCTCGCGATTCAATTTCTTACAATTCAGTCGTTTTTTAGTGGTTTGGAATTTACATCATCATCTCAATCGAATCTTAGGTTTTAGTTTTAGTTTACAATTTCGATTCTGGAACACTTACCAATGTGATATCTCGAATCCTTATTGTTACTTATGCTTTAGGACAATTTTGAAGCTGCTCTTTGTCTCTCATAGAAAACTTTTGAGAAATGTGAATATGTAAATGCCAATTGGTGGAGCATTTGGAGCTTTACTTGTTACATCTGTGTTAATACGTTTTGCTATGTGTTAGTAATTCTGTTTGAGAGCTATTACCCTTACTCTCAAGTAAGTAGAAACAATGCAATGATGATTCTTGAGAAAACTAAAGATTTTCTTGAGGAAGCCATTAGAGAAAGATAAAGCTGAATATATGTTTTTTTCATTCTTGATCTTGTTTCGATGCTTTTCTCGTCATTGATTCTTGATGTGTTATAACTTTTATGTCTGATTTTTCAAACATGGATTCTATTTCTCAATGAAGTTTTTTTTTCTTTTTGTTTTGAACAATGAATGTTACAGAAAGTAAAGAAATTCTCGATACCGAGTCAAGACCAAGACTCCCAGGGAGCAGCTTCAGCTACTAAGAGACCTTCATAACGTTCGTTGTTTCCGGTTTAAATGTATCGTTTGAGTTGTAATAACTTATTGATTTAATGTAATGCCTCGGATTCATAAGTTGGGTCATGTTACGTTTTCCCCTTTGTTGTCTTGTATGTTGAATATTGCAGGCACTAAAGAGCATATTTATAAGAGAAGAAATAAATGTTTCTACATTTGACTTACCATCTTATCTTGGCTAATCTTTCATTCTCTGTCTTTAACTTATTCAAATCATCTTCTGTTGTAAAACATCTTCTATACTACCGAGTGATCGATTCCATTCGTAAAGATCATCATTTTCATGTTCTCTACTTCTTTTTCGTCAATCGGATTCTCTTATTGCTCATCATCTTCAGATGTCATTAAAGAACATAGAATAGATTCAATCAATATAATCATCAAGCTTGTCACTTGTTTCCTATTATGGAACAATCTGAAAATATATTTAAGATGGAAGCTGCTTCTCTTACTACCTTATTATGTCAAGGCTAAATCCACTTACCATACAAACTTTCATGTCTTAATCTCCTAACTCCGAGCTAATAACAAGAACAATGCAACAGGAACTACTAACTAAAAAAGATTTGAAATTTCCAGTATCACCACTTCTGACTCTGTGCTTCTCCATCTCCAAAATCGATTTCAGATCTTGATCAAAGAATGAAATGATCCTGATGTGATGAGTTACTGAGTCTTTGGTTTTCTTCATCGTCATCACTAATCGCCATTGCATCTGCATATAGATTTAGTCAGAGAACATTGTTAAGTTTGTATAAAGATAAAACACAATAAGTGAGACAACACATATCAAAAACACTTAAAATTACCCTCTTTTGATACATTGTTCTTCACATTAGGTCTCTCTGCAGGTCTTGCACTACCTGAATCCACACCGTTCATCTCGGTTTCATCATCCATCGACATTATGTATTCGATACTCTTTTCGACAAACTCTAGCTTCTTCTGCATTTCACCAAACTTGTTCTCCCACTTTTCAATCACTTCCTTCCTCTCCAATGCTTCTCTTTGCTTAGACACCAGATCATCTACAGTGAATCCATGAGTTGTCTCTAGAACCTCAAGCGTTTTAATTAGGTTCTCATGCTCTATCATCAGACTCTCATACTTCTCTTTCAAAATCTTGTGTTCAGCAAATGAAACATTTTCTGACGATTTGTTGTACGTCTTCTCCGATTTGTCCATTTTTTTCTTTAATCACTTCAAGCTTAACCTAGATTAAAAACAAAACAAAAATCAGGAAACTTCTCCTTAAAAATAGAAACTTTGAAATCTACAAAACCCTAAAACTCAGATCTTTATTGAGCAACCAAAAACATCACAAGATTCGGTCTTTCTCAAACGGATTCGTAACAATTTGTCCTAAACCCAAACCGGAAACCAAAGAAATAGAGAAAAAAAAGTGATCAGAATAGCGGAAATGTGATGAAAAACCCTAAAGCCCAAATCTTCACTGAGCTACCAAAACTAAAATGTGATGAAAAAAAGATTCGCACTTTCTTAAACGTTATTCCTACCATTTTCTCCCAAATGCAAACCAGAAACAAAAGAAACAGAGAAAAGGGATTTTCCCGAGAAAATCTTACTCGGAAAGTAAAATTGTTGATCTTTTCTCAGTTACAGAGAAAGAAGCACAGGTCGATGAGAGAAATTATGCAAAAAAGGTCGAATCGTAACAATGGAACCCCCAGAGGAACGAGCCCTAGAAAACAGAGAGCGGGAAAAGACGAAATGCGTAAGGAGTGATAAGTTAACGAAGAAGAAGATGATACTAATTAATTATCATTATTCAAAAATTAATATTTAGTTTAGTTCCAAGTCCCAACCAATCATTAGCAAAGCGGCCCAAGCCCATTATGACTCAACACAAATTATTATTTTTTTGGTAGGAACTCAACACAAATTATTACTGTACTTTTTTTACTTTTCTTGTTTTCTACTCTTTCCATGTTTAATTAATTACACACTTCTGGTCTCCTAATTAGGTGATCCTTCATATCAAGGGATTTAAATGTATTTATATGAGAAAAAATGTACAAGTTTTGGAAAAAGATGTATAACTATTTAAACTGAAAACTATACATCAATGATCGTTAAAACAATTTCTTACAAATCTTATAAATTTGTTTAATTAACTAACTAAGGCTTTGCTTGTTTCTTTTTTTTTGTATCTATCAACTATAAGGAAGATAGTAATAAGATCAAAATGACACAAGCCATGAAGTGATGCTATTTTAAAACAGTTTTTGAAGGAATTGAAACAAACATTCTTTCATAAGTCATAACTCTCCAGTCATGTGTGATATAATCAGATTATTAGATTAATACGTCTTTATTCATTATTTTACTGTATGGTTCTTTTTAAGAAATGGTCGAATGATTTATATCATATAATAAAGAAAAGTCCTCAGAGCTTTGGTCGGTCGAATAACATAACACATATACCAAAAACAACTGTGCAAATCTTCTTCAGATGAAGCTGAAGTTGTCATCAATCTCCATGAATCATAAGAATGTGCTTCTCATCAAGCTCATCTCTGCTATTCTGATCACGTTTTTTGCTTTCCGTCTCTTCATTCTCCACTCTAGCGAGTTTTCTCCAATCTTTGCGTCGGTCACCGGCAAATTCGAAGCTCGGTTTTTGCCGCCGGAGGTTATTGTGCCGGAAAATGAAGATCTGATTCCTCAGGGTAAGATCAGTTAGTTAGAAAGCAAAAGTATTTGACTTTTATGTGAATTGTCCACTGTGTTTGACTGTTTGTGTCTAAGACTAAACATTGTTTAGTGAGCACAATTATGACTTATGAGATCTATGGCTTTTGGATCTGCAAGATTCGGGTTTTTGAGATTGTGGATCTTGGTCGTCTCATTGGAAAGTTAGTTCTAATGGTTTGATTCTTTTAACATTCACAGCTTCTTTTGGTGACTTGTATCATTTGATAAAGTGATGTTAATTAGCTGCGATGTTCAAAGACTGGTTTCTAATAAATTGATCTTGATTAGTGTTACAACATTTTGTATCAAAGTTGATCTCACATTGGGACTTAAAAACAAGTTTTTGTTTGGTTGTTGTTGTTTCTTGAATCAGATATTGAAGTAGAGAAGTGTGATCTTTTCTCCGGAAAATGGATCCCAGATTCAGTAGGGCCAATCTACACAAACAACTCATGCGGATCGCTCATTGACGGTCACCAAAATTGTATCACGAATGGCCGGCCTGACTTAGATTTTCTCTACTGGAAATGGAAGCCTCATGACTGTTTGTTACCACGTTTTGACCCTCGAAGATTTCTTCAACTTATGAGGAATAAATCTTGGGCATTGATTGGTGACTCTATATCGCGAAACCACGTCGAATCACTGCTTTGTATGCTCTCTACGGTATAATGCTGCTTGCTTTTAACAGCTCTTTGTTTCGACTTTTTACTTTTCAAGTTCTTTTAAATCCTTTTTTTTTGGGGTCTCTCCAGGTTGAAGAACCGGTTGAAGTATACCACGACAAGGAGTACAGATCGAAACGATGGCATTTCCCTTTACATAACCTTACTATATCCAACATTTGGTCACCATTTCTTGTTCAAGCCGCTATTTTCGAAGATTCAAACGGTGTCTCGACCGCTTCTGTTCAGCTACATCTTGATAAACTCGATGAGACATGGACCAATCTTATGCCTAGCCTCGACTATGCGATTATCTCAACAGGTAAATGGTTTCTTAAATCCGCGATTTACCATGAAAATGGAAAACCCGTCGGTTGCCATAACTGTCAGGAAAAACCTCGCATAGAAGAGTTAGGATTTGACTATGCCTATAATGCTTCGTTGCGGAATGTCATGGACTTCCTAGCTGCGGAAGATAACAGTAAGGGCACGGTTTTTTTCCGGACTTCGACTCCCGATCATTTCCAAAACGGGGAATGGCATAGCGGCGGGACATGTAAGCAAACAGAGCCGGTGAGCGATGAGGAGATTGAGATTAAGGATGTACATAAGATACTAAAAGACATTGAGATTGGTCAGTTCAAGAGGGCGGTTAGAGAGAAGACTGGCCAGGACGGTGGAAATCTAAAGCTTTTGGATTTCACCGGGATGTTGCTGACCCGACCTGACGGTCATCCGGGTGCGTACCGACAATTCAGGCCGTTTGATAAAGACAAAAATGCAAAGGTACAAAACGACTGTCTGCATTGGTGTTTGCCTGGTCCGTTTGATTACTTGAATGATGTTATATTGGAGACCATAGTAAATGGCTGAACCGGACCACCAAAATGTGATTGGTACATTGCCAATCGATCAACCCGGAAAAATTGAAACCTGGTCTCTGGGGTTACAAATTTGTGTGAATTGGAAACATGTAAAATTATGTAAGAAAAATTGAGATAATGTGATATTGATTCTTGGGAGCTAACCGGTGGAGGAAGCAAAACCGGTTTGGTAATTGAGTTAATTTTTCCCGGTTTTGTAACATCATTATTTATGTATTTTCTGTTTACAAGAACCAGATTTTGTCCGGTTTGAACTCGGTTTAGATGTCAGTGATAAAGGAAAATGATAAACAATAATCCCTTTGAAAAAGGAAAATGAAGAAATATTCTTCCAACTGGTCAATATTCAAAAAGATTTAAGTTATTAACAAATCGGCTTAACAAATCTATCCTCGGACGCCAAAGAAGTATCAAATCCACGAAATTTATTTTTTGAATTTCGAATTATAAGACCGTTGTGTGTTTCTTTCTATATAACCCCGAAGATATTTTACAGAGGCTCCACCTAAAAATCACAATCCCTAATTTTCGAAATCTTCTTCTCTTTCATTTGCGATTCAGAAATGGCTTCAACCGCAGATCCAGCTCCGACGAAGAAACCAAGGAACAGTAGAAAGGCGTTGAAGCAGAAGAATGAGCTCGTGGAGACGCCACCATCGCCTGTCTCCGTCAAGGCGAAGTCAGCGAAGTCTTTCGAGAAAGATCTGATGGAGATGCAGACGATGTTGGAGAAGATGAAGATCGAGAAGGATAAGACCGGGGAGTTGCTTAAGGAGAAGGACGAGATTCTGAGAAAGAAGGAGGAGGAGCTGGAGACCAGAGACGCTGAGCAGGAGAAGCTCAAGGTGGAGCTGAAGAAGCTTCAGAAGATGAAGGAATTCAAACCTAACATGGTATAATCTCTAGATCTAGATTTTTTTGTTCTCGATTTGGCTGGGTTTTTGTGACTAGATTGGAATTTTGTGATTGATTCATTTGAGATTTTGGCTTGATAGTTGATTTCTAGATCTAGTTTTGGCTTTCGATATACTTTAGGTTGGAATATAGCTGGTTTATCCTTTGAAATTTGATCATTTGAGATTTTTGCTTTGATAGTTGAAATAGATTCATAGGTTAGAGAGTAGAAGAATCTTAGTCAGATTCTGAATTGTTTCTCTTTTAGTGTATGTTGCGCTTGCTGTTGAGGAATTTCTTGGGAAATACTTTGGATATGTTCATATCAATTGACATGAATTGATTTTGGTCTATGTTTTCTGTGTTTCCTGTTATTAGTGATGAGATACTATTTACTGGTTTCTGGTTGTTGATTTCGAGAGTGTTTTTGTGTTTTTGCTCTACAGACTTTTGCTTGTGGTCAGCCATCTCTCACACAGGCTGAGCAAGAAAAGGCGAATAAGAAGAAGAAAAAGGATTGTCCAGAGACAAAGAGACCATCATCATCATACGTTTTGTGGTGTAAAGATCAATGGGCTGAAGTCAAGAAGGAAAACCCTGAGGCTGACTTCAAGGAGACTTCGAACATTCTTGGCACTAAATGGAAGTCTCTTAGTGCAGAAGATAAGAAGCCTTACGAGGAGAGGTACCAGGTGGAGAAGGAAGCTTACCTCCAGGTCATTGCTAAGGAGAAACGCGAGAAGGAGGCCATGAAGCTTCTGGAGGATGACCAGAAGCAGAAAACTGCAATGGAATTGCTTGATCAGTATCTCAACTTTGTCCAGGAAGCTGAACAGGACCACAAGAAGAAGAACAAGTAAAAAAACAAACAGACCTTCCATGAATACATCAATTGATCACCAATGGTGTTAACTGACTAGAGTTATTTATGGTTTGCAGGAAGGAGAAGGACCCTCTGAAGCCAAAACATCCCGTATCTGCCTTCCTGGTTTATGCAAACGAGAGGAGAGCTGCTTTACGCGAAGATAACAAGAGCGTCGTGGAGGTAAATCTAATTCCTTTAGTCGCTTTCCAGATCAGTTTTTGTCAAATTATGAAGCTAACTTATGGCGTTTAAATGTGGTTGACTTATAGGTCGCAAAGATAACTGGAGAAGAGTGGAAGAACTTGTCAGACAAAAAGAAGGCACCCTACGAAGAGGTCTGTTTCCAGACATATGCTTGCATTTTCACTGCCATTAAAGACTTGAGAGTGAATTAATTGAGGTATGGTATTTAACAGGTGGCAAAGAAGAACAAGGAGACATACCTGCAAGCAATGGAAGAATACAAGAGGACAAAGGAAGAAGAAGCCCTGAGTCAGAAGAAAGAAGAAGAGGAACTCTTGAAACTCCACAAACAAGAAGCTCTTCAATTGCTCAAGAAGAAGGAGAAAACTGATAATCTGATTAAGGTAACTCTCTCTCACACTTCACTCACCAAAGTCCATTACAATTCAGAGACTAACAGGATCATAATAACTGTCTCTTGCAGAAGGAGAAAGCGACCAAGAAGAAGAAGAACGAAAACGTTGATCCTAACAAACCCAAGAAGCCTGCTTCCTCATACTTTCTCTTCAGGTATGAACTTACTTCAAGTTAATGCTAAGCTCCGAATTGGTCTTCATGCATGAAATTTTCTAGCTTCTAAAAGAAAACATGTTTTGCAGCAAGGACGAAAGGAAGAGATTGACCGAAGAACGTCCCGGGACAAACAACTCTACTGTCACCGCTCTGATTTCAGTGAATTGGAAGGTATACAAAAATCATAATTACGAGTAAATAAAAACATTTGCTTATAACAATTTCATGTTGTTAATTTATATGAGTGAATACAATATCTTTTGTAGGAATTGAGTGAAGAAGAGAAGCAAGTTTACAACAAAAAGGCCGCAAAACTGATGGAAGCATACAAAAAGGAAGTGGAAGTTTACAACAAGAAGTCTGCGGCTACTACCAGTAGCTAGATAAATTCTCTCTAGTATTGAAAACATGTTCAAGTCCTGTTGAACATTTCTTATTATGCATCGTTAGATTACTCTAAGTACTTTTATGTTTTAACCAAAAAAAATGGATACAAGTTATCTTTTTAACTCTCGCTGATTACTTTCTATCTATCTCTCTTTTACATTTTATTTGTTTAATAATAAGTCGTCTCGTGTAAAAACGTGGGGAAAGTTGTGTCAATCTCAACCATTGGATTGAACCAATCAACAACGTCAAAGATCGGAGTAGAACTCTCCACGTGGCCGAAGTCGCCGTTGATAGTCCCGTAAGTGTAAAACGGTGGCGTATCAGGGAACGAGAAAACGTCTTTACCATCGGCAAGCCCATCGGTTCGAACGGTTAAGTTGGATTTAAGACTTTCGAGAAGATCCTTTGGCTTTTGGGTAATTGCTGGTCTAACTCTGATGTCTTCTCGCTTCTTCTCCGGCGAGGCTGTTGGTGGACGTGGTGTGATCGCCTGCGAACAAGTGTGTGTTCCTCTGTACGTAACTTCGAACACCGTTGCGTCACCGTCCGATCTCTGGACTTGTTTCGTTGCCCAACAGTTTTGTGTGCCACGATGTGTGCATCTGTAATAACTCCTTGGGAATTTGGCGCCTAAAATGTCTTTTTGACCATATTTTCTCCAGCTAAAGACATCATCTTGAGGTCCTTCTAAGCCTCTCTCTGGGTTTATTCTCACTTTTTCTGACCACTTTGGTAACATCTTCCTGCCAAAATTACCCAATTTCCAAATTAGTTTATAGAAAGATCAGATTTTTATATTCAATTTGGTGAATTGTGAAAAAAAAAAAAATGTTACCTTTTCTTTGAATTGAAAATGTAATCTTGGCGATGACTTTCGCTAGAACCTCCTCCATCGACAAACTCTTCACTTCTCGGACTTCCGTTTATCGATGCCGGAGATTCTGGAACACTGCCGGAATTCGCCACCGGGACTACAGTAGCCGGCGTCGGAATGAGTTGTACGGTCGGTGAGGATGACCAGTTTAGTAGAAGAAGAGATCTCTCGTAGGAAGAAACTATCTGTTTCACCAGAATCTCGTTAGTCTCAGCCACAGCCGTCGCCGGAGATAAAAATGATGATGATGGCGACGGAGCTTCTCCGATTCGTGCCTGAAGCTTTTTGGCCGCATCAAATCCATTGATAAGCTCGCTTAGCAATGTCTTTTGCTCCCAACTTAACAAATCTTTACCTTCCATTTTGAGTTAATGATTCCCAAAATAGAATTTTTTTCTCAAAAACTTTTTAAAAATCTTATTCACCAATGATACCAAAAAATGATGAGAAAGATATATAATGTGTGTAAAGTATAATCAATAACGGGTTATATAGATAAGAATGAAGAATGATATGATCAGAAATATAATGTGTGGTATAATCAAGAATAAGTTATATAGATTGAAGAATGATATGATGAGAATGAGAGTGTTATAGGCTTTATGGTAAAAATGGATGAGTGTTGGTTTGGAATATAAAGGCATTGGATTTTGAATGTTTGAAAATTTGACCAAAATGACCAACCATAAATAATTATTTATTTCTTTTAAAAAGGAGACAAAACTTTCAAAGTGAAGAAAAGTCTTTGGTATAAGGAAGTATAGAGGGCCAGAGTGTAATTGATAAGTGGGGTGGTGGTAGTGAAAGAGTATAAGGTCAAACGCTGACCAATTCAACATTTCATTTTTGTTAATGTAGTTGTAACCAAGTTAGTCATTTGTTTAACTATAGTGGTTAATTAAATAATTAGACAACAATGAGTTAAACAACTGTCCCTTTCAATGTACCCTTTCAAAACTACGACTTTGTACATGTGATTGAGATTCTCTTATATGTTTCTTTTTTTATTTGATAAAGAATTTCAATTATATGTTGTTTTTGATTAAAAAAAAAAAAAAATTCCAATATATGTTGGTTGATGCTTTACTAGTATGCATTATGCAACAACCGTTCTATGGATGATATTTCAGTTGCTAACTATGAGGTGTAATGATGTTTAATATCGTTAACATTTAACATTAACAATAAGAAAATTTAACTATTTTAGCTACTACTAGATAAAACCGTATAAGTATCACACCACAGATTAGATGATATAGTTCTTATTAACATACAATATTTTAGCTATAACTTTAAAATTTATATTGAATGAAATCAATTGAACTTTATGAACCAATAATCTTCCTAATTTTGTTTAGCAAAAAAATTAAATAATAATTGTTGTAGATTGAAATATAAATAAATAAATAGTTACTTTATATATGTATGTGAGTGACTAAGTCAAGTTTTAAACTGCATCTAAAGAAGAAATATTAAACTCGAGGGAGAAATATTTCTTATTGTATGAGACAAATGGGATTAATTTGGACAAAAATATATCTCTATAATGATATGTTCCACAAAATAGAAAACCCAGTCATCTACAAAAATTATGTGATAATACACCAAGAGTGTGACAAGGTTTTTGCTGACCAAGTCACCATGGAATGATCTCAAATAGTCATATAGGTATGTGAATAAGAAATATTAAATTATCGAGGGCGAAAATATTTATTTATGGTTGAGACAAAGGGCCATTAATTTGGACAAAATTTATATATACATAGTGATTGATATGTTCCAAAGAGAAAAATAGAAAAAAACCAGTCACTGTGTGATACAATACAACAAGAGTATGATAAGGTCTATGCTGACCAAGTCCACCATCAAGATATCTAAAAAAGAAAATAGATAGATATATTCCATTCCAACATTTCATTTCTTATGATTAATCCTTTTTAACTTTATTTGTCATCAAATATTATTCAAATGTATTTGGACCACTTATACGTAAGAAATAACCTTTGTAATTATTGAACCGTTATCCAAAAGTTACAGCGAATTTCTCATAGCTGAAGTTGACATACAGGACTACACGAGTGTAGTGTACAGTAATAACTAATAACCACTAAAAGGCTATGAATCAAATTTACATTTTAACTAATGAAATTATTACTACTAGGACTCAGGACCCCCGCGATGTCGCGGAGGAATATATTTCCAAAATCGTTTAAAAAATATCAAACCAATATCATAATGAATTGTAATAATTTTGATTTTTTTAATAACAAATCAATATATATTTTACAAAATAATGATAAAGAAAACTTTCACAAGCATTTATTAAGTATATTCATATTAGAAAATCATTAATTTGTAACTAAAAAATTATTCCCAAGTGCAAAAATTATCAAATAATAAACCAACAGTTTGATATATAAGCCAAAATGTTCAACGTCAAATAAACCAAATGCTACTATGTTAAATTAAACGGTAACATCAATTCATTTAAATATATTTTTGTAACTAAATTTTTTTAAAAAATATGATGAACTTTAACCGAGAGACGCGACCGTAGATATCAAATATACCAAAAAGCTGTAACTGTTTGTCAAATATACTATGTGCCGCAATGGTTCATCAAATATACTAAAGATTACAATGTCTCGTAAAACAAAACCAAAAGTTGCAATGATTCGTCAAATAATTCAAATGTTGCAACAATTCAATTAAATAGTTACAATCTCATTTAAATACATTTTAGTAATTAAAAATTAAGAATTAAAAATAATAATTTATGAAAAATTACATCCGGTAGATAATTAAATGTTATAAAGATTTATAAAATAAACTTAAAGTTGCAATTGTTTGTGAAATAAATTAAATGTTGCAATGGTTCAACTAAACGATTGCAACCGTTTTATGAAGAGGTACAATAAAAAGATGCAACCGTATAAACATTTACTCGGATTGCAACTTTCTCAAAAAACATAACGTAAAATATATTTTTTAAGTTAACAAAAAATAAACGAAATATTGCGATATACTAAAAGTTGCAACGGTTTGTCAAGTTAAAATAAAGTAAAGATTGCAACAGTTCGTAACACAAAACCAAAAGTTGCAATGATTCGTCAAATAAACTAAATGTTGCAACGGTTCAATTAAACGGTTACAATCTCACTGATACATTTTGATTAAAGAATTATGAAAAATTATACCGAGAGACGCGACGGTAGATACTTAAATGTTATAGCTATTTATTAAATAAACCAAATGTTGCAATTGTTCGTGAAATAAACTAAATATATGAACCAAAAGTTACAATTGTTCGTAATTCGAATAAGCGGTTTCAACTGTTTATGAAAACTTACAATAAAAATACGCAACCATAGAAGACATTCGGAATGAAATTTATAAAAAAAAAAGACATAAAACCAAATATATCTATATGTAAACTATGAAATAAAACCAATTTTATATGTAGTTTATTGGTTTATATGTAAACAACATGACCGTACAAAAATAACTGTAATAAAAACAACTATAAATATTTAAACGAAAGGTTGCAATAAAAAGACGCAACCGTTCAGATATGCAAATGGTGTTTATTGGAAACGACATAACCGTAAAAAAAAATAACCGATTAAAACGAAAATTGCGATAAAAAGACGCAACCAAAATAACCGTAAAAAAATAACCGATTTAAACGAAAGGTTGCGATAAAAAGACGCAACCGTTCAGATGTGCAAATGGTATTTATTAGATTGCTATTATATATAGATTACTTTTCTTTTATTTGTTTTAGGTATGGGGTTACCAAGTTCGTATTCGATAGATTTGATCTGCGCTATAGTGTTATTGATACAATACCTATTTTAAAAAAAATTCTTTTGTCAACTTTATAACATTCACTATATTTACTTGGACGTAGAGAAAACGTAATTGCCATAAACATATTTGTTGATTGATAAAAAAAGAGCACAAAGAAAAACTCTAACAAAAAAAAAACAAAGAAAAATCAAAAGAAAAGATATTCAAAAGGACAGGATTGGACCGAAGACAATTCAAACCTCTCTCCGCGTGGATTTCCCCTCTTTCATTCTTTTTGTTTTTGTTTGATACGTTTTAACACTTCCAATGATTTTTTTTCTTTTAATGGCGTCACTCTCTTTTGCGTCATTAATTCAATTTTTTTATTATTTGGATCTCATTCATCATTCATCCTTATCAAATGAATCTAATGAATCTTTTGGCAGTTAGCACCGGAAATATGTATTTACTTCATCTCAAGTCTCAACTTATAATCAGCTGAAATATGTAATTTGACATATTTGAATCCAAAATATATCTCTTGAAATCTTTGATTTTTTTTTCTGAAAGAATTGAATCAGCTCACAAGATGATGACATAATTTGACATCTTATTTCTGCATTGCTTCATTACAAAACGAAGAAGATTTTTTTGTATGATTTGTAAACTTTACGGCATTAAAGTATCGCATTTATTTCTTATTAAGCAACGGTATTGTGTTGTGTGTGTCAACGCTACACAGGATTTTTATAAGAACTCGAATAATTAATGAATTAGTTATTTGCTACGCCAAAAAATCAGTAGCCAATTGGACTCGCTAAAAAGAGCAATAAATTAGTAAAGTAGGAAAAGGCCAAACAATAAAAAAAAAACGTATGTACGGAAAAACATTGCTTTCAACTCGTTTGATATAGTCAACACTTATTCGACACTTTCACACTTAAAATAAACGAATTATCCTTCAACTTTAACTTTTTCCTCACAAAGACAAACATTGGTCGTGGAGGATACATTAGCCAAACTTTAGTTTTTTTACTTACAAAAGCAATGGAGGTAAAATGGTAATTAAATCTATTAATTTATCGTTGGGATCAACAGGCCCATATCTAACTTTGTTGGCCCAAAGATGAGAGAGTCCCTCTCACCTTCGTTCTATTATGGAATGAAAACCCAAGTTAGAGAGAAGTAAAAAAAACATGAATGTAAAAATAAAAATTTGATGTTCATTGCAAGAGATATTCATTGCATCAGCCGTAAATAAATCCCAGAATATTAATCTTAACATATATAAACATACTTAAGTTTCTACTTTCTTAATTTTCAAATTACAATTCATTATGTAGTTTAACCTCTTTACTTTTAAACATACAAAATACAAACATATAAAATATTAATAGAGGAACTGCAAAAGATAAATTATTTTTAAAAAAATTGAACCAAAGAGGTAAAAACTTGCTCAGAAGTTTTCAGAATGTGGAAGAACACGAATAAGATCCGCCGGTAGTTCTCAGCTCCGAACACGGCCAAGGACTGACCTTCAGTGAAGTTCCAATGACATCCGAACACTTCCACGTCTTATACGAATTCAAGCTTCCATGTAGATTTATCTCACTCAAACATATACCCGTAAAAGGTGAACCCTTAAGACCTTGAATAGAGCCAGCGTTTCGAACGTTAACTCCCCAAACGTTCTTGATATGTATTCCCTTAACGATTGGAAGAGCGTTCGGGTTATAATTCTCGTCTGGGTGATCTCCTGTGTCACCGGCGATCTTGATCCCGTACTTTGCGGTGTCTATATAGACGTCTGAGATTTTGATGTTTTTAATGTATCCTCCACGACCAATGTTTGTCTTGATGTTGACTCCAACTCCCATATTGGAGAGAGTGATGTGTTCTGCTACAATGTTCTTGATTCCTCCTGATGTTTCGCTTCCTATTGCGATACCTGCGAACGGGGAAGATCCTGTGATGCGGCGGATGGTTATGTTTGAGCTTGGACGGCCATAGGCGATTCCATACTCGTCCCAACCGCTTTTGATGGCCACTAAGTCGTCTCCTGTTGAAATGTAGGAGTCTTCTATGCAGACGTTGTAGCTGGAATCTATCAACAAATTAATTTGGTTCAGATGATAATAAACGGCTTTGATTATTTATTGATGTGGCGATGAGCTACATTCTCTAGCACGGAATAGCTATTATGCACACAAAAACATGTTTCAGGTTCCTATCTAGATATGTTTGATCCCAGCCACCAATCTAGTAGTCTATTGTGGATTGGAAAAAGAGTCAAGAGTAAGACGAACCTGGATCAATTCCATCGGTATTGGGGGAATCTTGTGGAGCTAAGATGGTAACGTGATGGATGACAACGTTGCTGCCACGGATCAAAACAAGTAACAAGTCAATACCATACGAAGAGGAAGATATATATCTATGCTTGGAAGATCTAAAGGGTTTTAACTAGTTTTATATACCTGCAATACACAGGATGAATGTTCCAGAAAGGTGAATTTTGGAAAATAACATTGGAGATTATGATCTCCTTAGAGTCCTTGAACTCGATTAGGTTCGGTCTTGTGTACTTTAGTGTTCTACTGCGCCACATGTTCCACCATACTTCTCCTTGACCGTCTATTGTCCCATTTTGTCCTGTGTATATAGTTGCAATGTAACGTCAAAACTGTGTCGACATGGTATTTCTTGAAGATTTGCTTAACATTATATCTATTTAGCCATATAGATATAACTGATTATATAAGATGGTCCAAACTAACCAGTGATGACTACATCACGAAGCCCATCACCATGAATAAAGCTCATATACCGTCCCCCTGGTAACTCTCTTCCTCTTCCATAAGACGGCAAAGGATCTATCAATGGCCAATTCCAGGTATCCTGAAGTCAACACACACCAAAAGCCAAAAGGTCACAAAACAATCATAAGATTCACATTCTGCAATTCCTTGATCTTATATTAATGATCACCCAAATTTCAAAGCATCCGATGTCCTGATTCTGTCTCAGGCCAAATAAAATTGTCGTGACTTACAGATATGAAGATATTTAGAAGCTCAAAATCGGTCATAAGAGACACACACACACATTGATATAAACTACATACAGTAATAAGTAATTTTTTTGATTTTTTCTTCTCCACTCACTTGAAGAAAAGACAACTAGCCAAGCAGAGAATTTAATCAAATGGTTCAAAATATGTCGCAGCATCCTATTTCATTGATCTGAGATTCTCACTAAACGACGATGAAACCCATAACTGTCCAGAGTCCCATAAAACCCATAACTGTCCACAGTCCCAACTATAGAAAACACTCTAACCAGGATTTAATCTTGGATATATTTTCTAATAGTATATAGTATATTCTATACTGCATATACACTAGTAGAGAATAACCAAATTTTGACAAAAATTGGATAACGCGAAAGACAAAAATTGCCAGCTATTGAAACATAGACATAAAAGCAGTACACCACATGCATACAATAACGTTTTAGCCCCGACGGTCCCATGATGCTTTGGAGTTTGGACCTACCTTTACCAAATTCCATATACCCATACTTATTACTTAACAATTATTATACGTGCATGGTTCCCCAAATCTTCTTTATTCTTTCAAAATAATTGTCACATAAAAACTTGATCAAAAGATACTAACATTTTCATAATTCAGATCCAAGCAAGAAGGCAAAAATAAAATAAAAAATGAAATTCTATTTTTAGAATACTATACTTCATAAAAATATATATAGTCGAAAAATTTGAAATGTAATCACTCACAGGACTCACAGTTAATTATCGAACTCAATTCCATAGAGCAGATAGAGACCATTAACCAATCCCATTAATACATAAATCACATTGACTAACGACCTAATTTAAATCTTAAATGCAGCAACTAAAGAATTTGTCACTCATTAGTCATTTCAAATTATCTCATACCAATCCCAATTTCAGAAACCAAAATTCACAGTGAATAAAATCGAAATCTTACCTGAACAGCTCTAATCACAGCACCTTTAGCTAAGTAAAGAGTCATATGGCTAGTGAGATTGAAACTCTCCGTCAAATACACTCCCGGAGGTATATACAAAAGCGTCCCTCCTCTCCTCTTCAGATGCTGAATCCTGTAAATCGCCGCTCTAAACGCCTTCGTATTCACCGTCCGACCATCTCCAACGCCTCCATAGTCGGTTATCGAGATCTTATCGTACCGGTACCGTAACGGAACTATACCGGAACATGTCGCCTCCGAATCGCCGAACGACGACGAAGAAACGGCGAGGCATGAGAAGAGGAAAATTGAAACAGAGAGTCTCCACATTTTCGTTGTAGAGAGGTTTATTTAGGATGAGAGTAAAATCTGCAGAATTGGAGCTAAGATTAGTTTAATATATACATTACATAGTCGACAACGTTCAAGAGAAGAAGGCACGTGCTAATACACGTGTATCAACGGGCCAACACAAGCTATAAATTATTGGGCTTTATAACGGCCCAATAAGGATCTTTAGAGAGACGAGAGAACATTTTTTTTTTTTTTCGCGGTTCGATTTATTTAGGGTTTTTATTTCTATATAAAGTTTTGGTCGGTTTGTGAAATTTGGAGCTAAGATCAGAAATTTCAGCGGAGATTGAAGATGGAGAGTGCATTGGTGCGTCTATGCATAGAGGAAGCTTGTAAGAGCGGAGATGCGGTGGAACGATGGCGACTTCAGCGGCGGAGTCTTGAGAGGCTGCCTCCTCACCTTGCCGATGCTCTCCTCCGTCGCCTCCTCCACAAGCGGCTTCTTTTCCCTTCGTTGCTCGAGTAAATCTCTTCACTTCCTTAATAGTTCTGATCGTTTCTAGCATGAATTTGAGTTCTTATCTCGAAATGGTGAGCTATATATATATGCTTGGATTTGAGATATTGAGTGATCGCTTGGGATCTTAGTTTTTAGATTTGATTAGAAAATTTGGTTTCTGAATTCATGTTGAAATAGTTATTCCTGAACTGTTTAGCTCTAGAATCGTGTTGGTTTTGGTACATTGTTGAGGAAATGCAATGATTGCATCGACACTGAACTATCGTGAGCTCTATCAGGATTCATAATTTTGCAACCAGCTCATTAGTTACTCCTCTCATTTGCAACCAGGAACCTTTACTTGGTATCTCTATCACAACTAAAGAAGACTCTTTTCTGTGCAGAGGATTTAAACATTCTGTAGAGAATATAGATCTCCGAGGCGAAAGCTCAATTAACGCAGAATGGATGGCTTACATTGGAGGCTTCGTTAATCTAATTTCGCTAAATCTTTCAGATTGCCAGAGAATCAACAGTTCCACCCTCTGGCCGATCACAGGTATGTTAAATGATATACTCCTAAATCCTAATATTTTGGAATGGAAGTTGAAGACAAATTTGAGTTTTTAATATCTGATATTGGATTTTCAGGGTTAACAAGTTTGACAGAGTTGGATCTTTCAAGATGTTGGAAGGTTACGGATGCTGGTATAAAGCACCTCCAATCTGTTTCAAATCTGAAAAAGTTGTGGATTTCACAGACAGGTGTTACTAAAGTTGGAATTTCTCTTCTTGCTTCACTTAAAAAATTGTCTCTTTTGGATTTGGGTGGCTTACCTGTAACCGATCAAAACTTGATTTCTCTCCAGGTATATGTTCTTTACCTGTTCTCTTTCTTTATTTTGTAGTCAGTTAGCTGTTTTAATTGCTTGATGTATGTTATTGAACTGTGTAGTTCAATGGTTATCATCTACCTAGTTAAATTTGTTAGAGCTCTACTAAAATTGTACAGTTCTAGGTACTATGTTGAGTATGGTGCATTATGTGCATAGAAACTATTTAGTCTTCAGGATTTTAAAATTCAAACATCATTTCCTGGTTATTAAACCCATTAACCCATACAAAATGAAGTTCAAGTGTATGTGCAGTTTAGTATTCTTGCGTGAAGATGTTTGTATGTCCGAATTCACTTATGAAAAACATGCCTGTGTGTAAATAACATTTAACATGTAGACGATCAATCTTTTTAAAGTTTTTCTGACCGCCAGTTCCTTTTTTGCTCCTCAGGCACTGACAAAGCTAGAGTACCTTGACATCTGGGGAAGCAACGTAACCAACCAAGGAGCTATCAGTATTCTCCAATTTTCAAACTTGAGCTTCCTAAACCTCTCGTGGACAAGCGTCACACAGACTCCAAACATACCGCACCTTGAATGCTTACACATGAACATGTGCACCATTGTCTCTGAACCAAAAACTCATAGCTCATTAGCTTCCTTGAAAAAGCTAGTTTTATCGGGAGCTAATTTCAGTGCCGAAACAGAGGCCTTGTCCTTTACCAACAAAATCTCTATAACCTACTTAGACGTTTCCAAGACTTCCCTCCAAAACTTCAGCTTCTTAGAAACTATGATTAACCTAGAACATCTTGATTTGAGCTCCACAGCTTTCGGGGATGATTCTGTTGGGTTTGTATCATGTGTTGGTGAGAATCTGAGGAATCTTAATGTCTCGGATACAAAAATCACTTCTGCTGGGGTCGGGAATCTTGCTGGACATGTGCCGCAACTCGAGATATTCTCTCTGTCTAAGACATTTGTAGACGATCTTTCCATCTTGCTTATCAGCACCATGATGCCTTGCGTTAAAGCCCTTGACTTGGGCATGACCAGTATCCGAGGTATGCATGAGCCTTCTAAGATCTAACGAGTGATTAATAACCCTATCAAAATATAACTCTATGACTATTTTTTTCAGGATTCATCCTACAACAATCTCCACAAGAAGAACAAGCAGAGCCGTCGTTAGCAGCACTACAATCTCTAACTTCCCTTAAAACCCTGAGTCTAGAACATCCGTACCTGGGCGACACAGCTCTTTCCGCTCTAAGTAGCCTTACTGGATTAACACATTTGTCCCTAAGAAGCACATCCCTCACAGATTCCACACTCCACCATCTCACCTCTCTTCCAAACCTAGTCAGTCTCGGAGTCCGAGATGCAGTTTTGACCAGCAATGGTCTCGAGAAGTTTAGGCCACCGAAAAGGCTGAGAACACTCGACCTCAAAGGTTGTTGGCTTTTAACCAAAGATGATATCGCTGGTCTCTGCAAAAGGTACCCTCACATCAAAGTGAGGCATGAGCATGACGACTCTTCTTCTCTCGACCAGAATCAACTTCTTCCTCGGTCATCTACTCCGCAGAGTTTTGGAAAGGTAGCAAGGAGGAGGAACAACCAGAGGCCAGAGAGTTCTGCTGCTGTTCCCAGGAGTTTCTTAGGTATGCCCTTTTCTCACTAACGTGCTCTCTATTATAACAATTCATGTTAAGGAAGAAGAAGGGCTCAAAATTTAAATGTGTGATATTTGTGGATACAGATCAGAGGGTGAAGTATAATAGGGAAGAGTTGGTTGCTCTACAGAATTCGCCTTTATCACAATTGCTGCCACGGGAAGAGCTTGTCAGTGTACCGGATATTCTAGCTGATTCCGTGATTTGAAGCATAATGGTTGAACAAGTTGTATTTTAGTACCACCTGACATGAATTAGGAGAGATCTTAGCATCTGTCTTGTTGACAGATTTTGCGTCATTTTCTCATTCTCAAAATTGTAATACGTTTTTTTTTATAAGATCAAAATTGTAAGACGTTTGAGATATAGACACATTACACGATATGTTTTAGCAGGAATCGCAGAAAATATTGTATTCTTTGCATTTTATCGGATGTTTCGGTTTAATACATGTGACCTGACTAAATTTACGAAGAAAGTAAAAAATAGTTTCAGCAAAACAAAAATGGAGACAGTGCCATGTATTTTTTAAATTTTATTAAAACATTCAAGTATTGAACATAAAGTAAATTTCCAATTAAAAAAAAAGTGTTGCAGCTCTGATCTGATATGAAATATCCAAATATTGTACACAGATGAGAGAAGAGCCTATTAACAAAGTCTTCGTCATGCAAAATGAGAGACCCAAAGACCGAGAGTGAGGAGGATTCTACCCTCTGGAAGCTAATTTTTCATTTGTGGACTTGTACATTTCATCGATCACACTCTGCAAATGACCAAGAGACCGTGTTAATAATGTAAGATGATTTTACGCGTGTTAAAAGTCTGAATAAGCAAACGCAATTGAGTTTTTGTATTACCTGGTAGTATTTCAGCAACTGAGGCCTTTTCTTTTTGAAGGTCGGCGTAAGAAGATCGCGTTCCATGTCAAACGGCACTGGGTCAAGATGAATCGCCTTGATGATCTCAAACCCCTTCATCTGCAAAAATTCAACACAAAAAATTAAAATGAGATAAAGACAACAAAGAATCATGAATACATAATGGAAAACTCAAATGAAATAAAGACGAGGAATAACCTTTTTCTCTTTCGCCATTTTAACAAGTTCTCCAAGTATGAATTCCTTTGCCTTTTCATTTTGACAGAGAGCGTTGTAGTCACCGCTCACACCGTTTTCTGCAGCCCAGCGTTCAAGGATTTGCTGGTTTGGGTTGGCGATAGCGACTAGGAAGGACTCAAAGCTGTTCCCGTACACCCACACCTGATAAATTTGATGGAACGATGAGGAAGATTGTGATTATTAGTAGATGAGAATCTTTACAAAACCTCTGTGACAGAGAAGACTACAAATCGGTAGCTATACTTACGGAATCAACAGCTTGTACTTCACCATAGATGTTTTCTATGTTCTCGACCGCAACATACTCTCCTTGTGACAGTTTAAAGATATTCTTCTTCCTGTCAATTATCTTCATGCTTCCATTTGGTTGCCACTCACCAACATCACCTGAGATTATAAGAAGCAAAGTGTGAGAACTGAGAAGAACTCACCGGACTACAAAACCCGATATTCTAACTAATTTGACATTAATTGTATACAGGTTCAGAGAAAGAAATACCTGTGTGCAGCCATCCATCAATGAGAACCTCTTTTGTGAGGTCTTCACGTTTGTAGTAACCAGAGAAAAGGGTCTTTCCCCGAATGCAGATTTCACCACGTGGAGTACTTGCAAGAGCATCATATTCCATCTCGGGGACAGATTCAAGGCGTATATCAACGTTTGGCACTGGTGGACCAACTGTGCCGAGCATGTCCAGTTCGTCTGGCAGCGAGACAAAAGTTCCAGCACAGCTTTCAGTGAGACCTGAATAATAATACAAGAAAAAACAGACAACTAATCACATTCTCTGTTAATGTGGGATCAATATACTACAGCACTCTAGTTGGCAAAGACCAATGAGGCTCAATTAAATAAAATAGTTCACACAGAAAAATAGTCCAACTGTTCACACATTCTAGGTGAATTATGGAAGATAAGTGACTTTATCGAAACTGGCTCATTTATGCATTTCATTTGGATCTGAAAAAAACTCAATATAGTGAATGGGTACCGTATCCTTGTAGAACATGACAGCATGCCACCACTCTAAGAAATGACTCTACGTGGCTAGCAAGAGGAGCAGCTCCAGATAGAATAATCCTTACATTGCCTCCGAGTCCTTGTTTAACCTGTGAGAAAGCAAAAGAAATAAATGCTATAAAATTTCGTATCAAAGAGTGATAGGCTCTTCCGATGAAGATATTTTAGTGAAGAACTTTGCTACCTTGCTGAATACATGTTTGTCACAAAGTGGAGAGGCCTCCGCATGAGACTTTCCCTTCTTCATATGTCCAAATTTACTGAGAAGGTTTGAGTGTGTTAGATCTCATAGCTTAAAGATTAGTGAAACAGATAAGCAAAGAGAAGTTTAACTTACTAGGAAAATGCAGAATCAAACAACAACTTTCTTAAGAATCCACCATCAGAAAGCTTCTTCTGAAGACCTGTTTAATGTAATTGGTCAACATAATGAGACACGGGTAAGTTGTCAAAGAGCATAAACCATGTATATCAATCATATGAAATCGAACTGATAGTTAGAAGATGAATTAGGAATATACATAATGGGAAAATGAAACAATCACCAAAGAAGAAAGAATGAAAGCTTATCATAAAACTACTTTTGTAGAATTGAGAATAATATTCACATTTGGTATATCTCATCATCAGCCAGTAATAGTTTTGTGCAGGTGTGTAACGTGGTACAAATGTACGACCTCAGATTCAGTTATATGGAAGAAACAGATGATACAAGAACATAACTCAATAAAGAGGGGAAGTGGACATATGATCTTTCAAACATCTTACCTGAGTATACTCTATCGAGGACACGAGGTACAGCACAAAAAATAGTTGGTTTAAGCTCACCAAGGTCTTCAATCAATAATTTTACATCCTGAGGGGCCAACCCGGAGAGAATTGTAAGAGACAAATTCTTTTTTTTTTGTGCAAAAGAGACAAATTCAAAACTGGTTTTAAAATAATAAGCTTCGAACTGTACTAACCCCACGCCAGAAGCCAATTGCAGCACCATGTTGAATGAAACACTCCTCGATCACTCGGTCAAAGATGTGAGCAAGAGGAAGATAAGAAAGAAACACATCTTTCACAGTCAGCTGTTGATTTGCACAGCCAAAAAGAAAGAAAGAAAAAAGATTAAGAACATGAGAATCTTAGAGATTGCAGCTTCTTTGTGAATCATGAAAAATGCATGAAAGCAAGAAGGTAACTCACAGCTACGTTAGCACTTTTCAGTAGACGGATCACTCCAGCGATTAGAGTAACAATGCTTTCGTTAGAAATCATCACTCCCTTTGGGTCACCAGTGGTTCCACTCGTATACATAATAGTGCAAATGTCACTTTTCTTTTTGATGGGGAGATCAAATTGTTTTCCTTCACCCTGGCAGAAAAATATTCACAAAGTATAAACATGATAAGCATAGTTATAAGGCCACTAGAAAGAACTATCACAGAATCATTATATTTCAGGAAGAGCAAATGACAAGTTTCATACCAGCTTCAAAAATTCATCCCAAGCATATATAACCAACCCAAAAGTTTCAGCTTCTTCTTTTTGTTCACGTGAGACACCACCGAAGCTCACAACAGCTGTAATTATAATCACGTACAATTGATCAAGCACCCTACGTTAAAGGCCTAACAGGCATACCACAAGTAAAAATCACTCACTTTTCATGTACTCTGTCGAGTTTGGGCATGTCTTAAACAACTGATAATCAAAAAGTAAAGGAAGTGATGAGAAAAAGTTCCACAGAAACATGAAATTGATAAATATATATTTAACATTAAAGATATACTCTTACTGTACCTCAGAGATCTTCTTCTCTTCCACAAAAACAATTGAAACCTCTGAATGGGAAATAATGAATTCCACAGCACTAGCACCTATAAAATTAACACGCAGCAAAAATGACAAATCAGCTAGCTAAAAGATTTGTAGAAGCTCACTAGATAAGCATTGGTGAATTTATCCTTCTAGACTATATTGGAAAATAATGAAAAGGCATACCTAGTGTATCATATAACGGTACACAATAGAGTCCATGTGCATTACAAGCCTACATCAAAAGTTCACTGTCAGTCCTCTAACAAAACATAACCAATGATATAATCATGATCAAGCCGCAAAATTACCTCCATGCTGATAATCCACTCAGGAGAATTTGCACCATAGATACCACATTTTGCTTCCTAAAATCCCACATATCAGCGAACAGAAGATTAAGCAAAGGAATACTCACATTGCGGCAAAAAAAAAAAAAGGAAATAATGAGACTTAAGATAGATATCAGAAAGGAAAAGATGGATCTTACGTCCTTAACTCCAACACTTCGGAGAGAATTTCCAAGTTTTATGACAATGTCGTAGACTTCTTGGTATGTTTGCCAGACATACTTACCCGGCTGAGAACAATCAAAATAACAAGTGAATAAATCAGTGATAAAACACGAAACGAAAATCACAAAACCAAAATCAAGAAGAAACAGTAACAACACCTTTCCGTCTACAATCTCACGGCGTCCCAGCATTGGATTGTTTGGATACTTCTCAACAGACATGCTGCAAACACACAAGTACAGTAGAAAAATGGAAGTTATCAACCAAATAAATCACCAAATCACACAACAAAACAAAAAATTGTCAACCAAAATACATGCAATTGTTAATTAATCACATGCCGCTCAAAACAACGTTATTATAGACAAAATCATTAACCAACTAATTATATATCTATGATTAGAGCACTTAAGTAGATCTTGTGATCCGCAAAACTTAAACACACATAAATCAAATCCAGATAAACAGTAGATGAAAGTAAACTATACGATTCTTACTACTTGAGAATCAAAAAGAGCAAAAAAAAACGCAAGTCAGAACAAATTCCATGATCAGTCAACAGTCAATATATACAGATCGGAAAACGAGACTCATGCAAAACAAAACTCCGATCGATACGAGAATCTCACCGGAAAACATCCCAACAACTATCCATTCCTTCGATCGGCTCGGGAAATCCGTCCTTGGCGTAGATACTCCGGTACACTGGTCCGACTGATGGTCTTCCATCGCTACCTTCTTTGCCTTCCTCAACCTGGAATATGAATTTCTTCTCCTGCGACATGATCGATCTCTCTCTCTGTGGAACGAGAAACTTCTGACGCGTTTTCTCAGATCGGAGAAGAAGTTAATACTTCCTACTACGAAAGCGATTGGTTGCTACTCACTGACCATAACCTGAAAAAGTCAAAGTCATATTCAACCTCGCAATGGGCCGTATACGTACCGTCTTATTAAGCCCAATAAAGTCAATATGATCCAAATTGAAATTTATATTAGCCAATAAATAGTATTTAGATTTTATAATTAAGATGTCAAAAACTAAACAAAAATTGTTAGATTTTGATTTAGTTAACTTTAGATTTTATCAATACATTTGACCCCTTTTAAATATTTTAGAGGTTATCAATAAATCTACAATAATTAAAAAATATGCTTATTTTGTGGATATATTTGACTGGTTGACACCAAATATGATATATATTAAAAAATAATTATCAAAACAGTAAATATATATACTTTTTTAAATTCACTAAAAACCATATAATAATAATAAAGTTTTTGGAAAAAAACATATGTCAAATAAATCATCTATATTATTAATTGGGAAGCACTCAAACATAAGTAACCTTATTTTGGTAGATTAATTACAAAGAATGCCATTGCAAAAAATGGATACAAATAAACAATTAAATCTCACGTGATCTTCTCATGTTACAAACGGTAAAAAACGCCTCTCTCAATATTATTGGGTTTTTAAAATTTGAGTTGGGCTTCGTATTTCTCTAATGGGCTTCACCGACTATTACGTAGCCTGGCTATTACTCCCAATATTTTGTGAGATATTCGGAGATTAATGACATAAACAAATTAGTTAGTTACCATTTAAAAAGATTTCCATAACAAACATATTCATTCAATATCGATAACTACACAAATTTAAACTGATTTCCATAACAAACAAATCCTCAACAATCTTTTTAGCTCAAGAAATCATAATCACATATTCCCAATTTTATCTTAACCAATTATTTATCTTAACAAACTATTATATTACCAAACATATTTCACAAACTAGATATTGAAATATTTTTAAAACGAGAATATACCTTTAAAATTCTGCATATACCTTAAAAATTATTTCTCGCTAATATACGTTGTTGATTTAATTCTCTAAACCCTAAAATCTTCTTACCCCCCTCAACTCATATAAATAGACGCCTAATGTAACAACTTCAGAAACACACTAACCTTTCATAAAAGCATTCTTCTCTTTTTACTATTTCGTAATCATGGCTGCAAATCACAGTATCACCAAATTTCACGTAATGGGTAAAATATGAATTAGGCCCATCGTTAATATGTATAGAAATCTCTTTCGGCCCAACGTTATATTGGGTGCCCCATACAAAATATTTATGTTTCAGGTAATGGCCCATGTATAATTAATCAAACTGAAAATAAATTTGTGCAACAAAGTTTATTCTAAAGATTGATATTTTTACAATTAATTACATAAAACAAAACAATACATTTAAATTACAACTTTATGTAAATCTTATCAATTCAAAATAACAACCCGCACGTACGTGCGGGTCCGGATCTAGTAGCTTAAGTAATTACAAATCATTTCCTTAGAGATTTGAATTTTTTTCTTATGTAGCAATATATCCTTTTATATATACAAATAACAACAATATAAAGACATGATATGATGATGTCTTATTAAATTGAAAAAGTGATTAATTTTGCAAAAAAATTTTTAATGTTATGCATAAACTTATAAATAATATTTTTACGATCGTTAACAAATTTTAGCGGATAACAAACAGAATAAATAATCAACATGTAAAATACAAGTAACTCACAAATAGCAAATAATAGGATAGAACAAATAATCTTCACATATATCACAAATTAGCAAGAATTTGAGATTGCGATATCCGAATTTAACAAACTTTACAAATATATACTACATGTTCAATATCAAGTAGCAAAGTATACCCAAATTAGCTGATACTTAGTTGATATAGTGGAGGGAAAAGAAGAATAGAATTTCATAGAATTGGAGGGTTATTGGCGGGAAAATGTCGATAAAGTCCCTGCCTTTATATATAACATACATAATTTTCTCGTTTTAACATCCGCTAGATCCTTCTTATTCACAAACCCTTGTGCTTATTAGCTTCTTCACCTTCATCTTCCCCAATTTCTTCTCTCTCCGCTTTCGTTTGTCTATGTCGTGATAAGTGAAAAACCTTTAGGGCATCTACAAAGTCTGAAACTTTATCAGTAACTGGGTATTTTCCGATTTAACATTACTTTTTTCATGTTTTGCGAAGAATCTAGGGTTTCTTGTTTTCTCTGGAATTTAGGGAATATCTCGTTTGTGTCTTTTAAATAGCTTCACTTTGACCCAATTTCATGTTTTTAGTGGTGATTTCAGGTGAGAATTTGTGAAAATGGCATCGGGTGATTTCGAGGATGAAGCTGAAGGAACTGTAACTATCAATGAATATATCGAAAGCCTTGACGCAGAAGAGCTGGTAAATGATTCTCTTTCTCTATCAGATCCATTTTAAAGCTTATGTATGTTCCTAATTTTACGAAAGTTTAATACTTTTCCCCATTTTCACTACTTGGTTTGTGATATAGGGACATGTAGGTTCCTGATGTTGGGCTTTTTGTCTAATTATGTTAACACTTAATGCTAAAGCCTTTTTCTGAAGCTAATAATAGATTGTGTTGGATAGTTATTGTACAGTCTCTGAGCTTTTGGCTTACTAGTAAGGATTGTTTGTTTCTCTTCATCTGTTTCTGTTAGTTCAGTAGTGTGTATCTGTTTCTGTAATCATATGGTATTTGGGTTTTAGCGGTTTAATAATAGTCATTAACTGCTTTTTTGTGATTCTTGGTGTGAAGGCAGCGGATTTGGTGTTGGGTGGAGATGAGGGAGATGAGTGTACTTACCCTAAGGGTTACATGAAAAGACAAGCAATCTTCTCATGCATTACATGTACACCAGACGGGAATGCTGGAATTTGCACTGCTTGTTGCTTATCTTGTCATGATGGCCATGAGGTATATATGGTTGATCTTTTAATCTGATTTCATTGTGTTAATTGGATTCCTAATGGTTGAACATTGTTCTGGTTATGAAGCTTTTGGAGCTGTGGACTAAGAGGAATTTTCGATGTGATTGTGGGAACTCAAAGTTTGGAACTTTGGCGTGTAAGCTTCTCCCGAGCAAAGATATAGAAAACTCTGAGAATTCTTACAACCATAATTTCAAAGGCTTGTACTGCACTTGCGACCGACCGTACCCTGACCCAAATGTGGAAGAACAAGTGGAGATGATTCAGTGTTGTCTTTGTGAGGATTGGTTTCATGAGGAGCATCTCGGTCTCAAACCTTCAGACAGTGTTGGTAGCCAGGTTTGTGGCCAGCGCTTAATCTTGTGTACCATTGATTTTTTGTTGTTGTTGTTGACATTCTAGTTCAATTTCTTATGTGATGTTAACAGATCCCAAAGGATGAGGAAGGCGAACCGATCTATGAGGATTTCATTTGTCAAAACTGTTCCCCAGTTTGTTCGTTTCTGACACTTTATCCTGAGAAATTGTGGGTTGTTGCTAAAGTAGATTCCACTGGTTCTGCTAATACTTGTTCAGAGACAACTGAGTCAAACAAAACCCACATGGATTCTGAACCCGGCCAGCCAGAGAATGGTGCTGATGCTGAGAAATCTGTTGTAGGAAAATGTTCTGAGAAGATCGATGACTCTGAACCCGGCCAGCCTGAGAACGGCACTGAAGCTGAGAAATCTGTTGTGCGGAAATGTTCTGAGAAGATCGATGAATCTGAAGCCGGCCAGCCTGAGAACAGTACTGAAGCCGAGAAATTCGTTGTGCGAAAATGTTCTGAGAAGATCGATGACTCTGGACCCGTTCCTGCAACTGGTTGCGTTATTAGGACTGATCTAAACTTGTGTCCTGAGTTTGAGAAGAAACCTTTGTTTTTGACCAAAAACTGGAGGAATATCCTATGCAAATGTGAAAAGTGCCTTGAGATGTATAAGCAGAGAGGGGTAAGCTATCTACTTGATGCAGAGGACACAATTGTAGAATACGAGAAGAAGGCGAAGGAGAAAAGAACAGAGAAACTGGAGAAACAAGAAGGAGAAGCACTTGATCTTCTGAATAATCTCGACCACGTATCCAAAGTTGAGCTCCTTCACGGTATCAAAGACTTCCAAGACGAACTCCAGGGTTTAATGGTATATATTGTCACCTTGAAAGAAATTTGATTGCAATTCTCAGGAACCCTTCTAAAAAGACTTGATTCTTTTTTATTTTTGTAGGAGTCTGCTGGGCCGTCAAAGGCGATAACGGCTGCAGATATCGAGCAAATGTTTTCAAAACTGAAGAACAAACGTAGAAGGATGGAGTGAGAGGAGTTATGAGATTTAAGGTAGTAAATCTTTCTTTTGGCATCTCATGTTAACTCTCTTTAGATATGTTGTTTCGTTGGTTTGAAATGAGGAGGTTTTCTCGTTCCTCTGCTCTTGTCTGTCTTTAGTTTCCTAAGTTATGCAACCAACTTTTTACTTTAGTGTATGAAGTTTGTAGCTTATGAAACAGTTGACTATTATATATAATAAGCTACTAGTTCTAGAACTACTATTTACTTTTATTTTTTCAACTAATTTTATATGAATTTAGAAATACAAACGTAATTCCATTTAGGAGTAAATATCACCAATACGTCAGATAACCAACCCATGAAGATAAATAAACACTTATCATCATAATGTGGCTTGGACTCGGAAATACTTTGACCATTCTAAAAGGAGAGCTTTTTATCTGTCTTTTATTATATAACCAACGATGCTCCATTGTCAAACCAACTAAAGAACAGAGAGGGAGAGAGAGCCAAAATTGAAGCAATGAACAGAGCAACAATTACACATCGGTAATGTCTTCTTTGTTGCCACATCCGAAGGAAGGCGAAGATCATCAGCTAAACGTTTCGTGTGCTCCTTTGTTGAATGTAGGAGATTCTGTAACAATGTCCTAGTTGAGCATAACATACCCATTTGTAACTCCGGAAGTTCCGTTAAGAAGAGCTTATAGAGCATGCTAAAAGAAGAGCTAGTACCAACAAACAAACATAACACTATTATAAATTGGGCCTCCTAAAGTACTAAGATTATAGGTTTTGGGCTTCGGAAAACCAAATTCAATTTACATGTGAGGTCATCATAAAAGATAAGAGTAGGATGATATGAGATTTTTTTTTTTTGTTAACGGGCTATGACATAATATAGATAAATAATATTGCCTGACCAAAAAAAAAATTGTTTACCAGAAATCAATAACCGAATATTTCCACGTACATTAGTGTTTTTTTAGTCGACATGAGTTATTGTTGTTTTTAAGAAAATATAGATCGAAGTTGGAAGCTCGTGAGTGTTGGCCCCTTAGAGTAACGACAGCCCCCGTGACACCACCACGTACTTGTGTTGTCCTTTTGTAAATTTCCACGAAGTTTCGTTTCGATAAGAAGAATTTGATAAATGATAACAATCCAATTATTATATAACGCGTAGTGCTTAATGATAGGATCATCTGATAAGATCGCTTATTAATGACATTTACGTCTACATGTAAAATATGATGAATTATTTTTGTGTTCTTACGTTATTATTATAAGAAGTAATGCAATAATTGTGCTAATTGGTAACACATCGCAATCAGGCTTATGCAAACGATATAACCATATGTCACAACGGTTTCAACTGTATTTGAGCACCGATCTACGAGTGCTTTAAAATTCGTCAAATGGCTTTAGTTTAATGGTTTTGATTGAGTTTAGAAGATCGATTTTCTGTTGGTTATATATATTGAATCCATCTTGTACTAATATGGTTTTTGGTCCGTAAAATCCGGAGGGAATATTTCAAAAGAAATAGGTTTGACATTGTTTGAAACAGATCATACTATGAATGATTGGATTCGACTAAATGATATGAATTTCTTCAAGGAAACGAATATGAATGTATCTACGAGACTACGACCACAAGCTATTAACATGTAACACTTATTTAATGAGTAGATGAGTTTTATATTGAAGTATAGTATTTGTGATTATTGAATCTAACGACGATTAAAAAAAAAACAAGACAGGTTGGTGGTTGGTATAAATGTGAGTTGCCAGGTTTTAACACGGTTTTGGTTTGGTTAAAAGACACCAACTAACCGGAGAGAACATGAACTTGTGTTCTTATGTCTTCTTCTATTCTAATAATTTAAATTAAATAAAGAACGACCAGCTAGGAGGATTAAAAGTACAATGCCCACTATGTAATTAGCTAAATGCTTATTCAATATGCAGTACGTTTCGGTATGTTGATTGAAATTGAAATTTAGATGCGTGCATGTTAGAGATTTTCAAGTCTGTAACCGTATGTCACACACGAAAATGGTATAAACTTAATATTAATATCCAAAAAAAAAGTAGAGAAGTCACACAATGATCTACATGGTTTTTCAGAAGACATTAGCAATTCTAAACCATTCACGATTTATATAGCTTCCGTTTACATTCCTCGTTTAGCTAGTGTTTTGGTGGATTATTGTATTGCTAAGAGAGCTCTTGTAGCTCCAGAACTTTGTTTGTTTTGAATTAAGCTAATAGGAATCATTGTTTGATCATAAAAACAAAAATGCATGAACAATTCATACGTAACCGCATTGGATTTTGACTGAACTTCTATGTTTTGATTTGGCTAGTATGTATTTCGATTAATTAACTGATGACAATTTGTTTTTCTTTTATGTATAAATGGAAACTCTTTCTCATTTAAACAATTCCATCCAAATATTTTAAAGTTACACAGGACAAAAATAAAATTTCGACGTTAAGTTCTATCAAATATATTATAACAACTTACAAATCAATTGAAACAGAAATTTAAACAATTTCATAGTCACCAGTAAAAAATGTTGCAAATTTGCAACAATGTCAGCTTAATTAGTTGAGCTATCGCCGTTAATGTTGTTAATATTGTGTTCTCTCGCTATCACCATTGATTCATGACATATAGGGGTGTCAAAATGGTTTAAAATTGATGGATCAATCCAAACCAATCCAACTCATGGATCTAATGAGTTGAAAATTTGGATATTAATGGATTAATGGATTAAATGGTTTAATGAGTTTAATGAGTTGGATTGAAATGGTTTGGTTTAAAATGGATTACTGGGTTATCCATAACCAAACCAATAAAAATTATATAATTGAAATCAAATATGTAAACTAAATATAACCGAATTGAATCACGAAACCGATTTTAGTAAACCGAAATAAACATAATTTTCTTAAATCGCTTAACCATCGATCTTTCTCGGCGTCAAATCTCTCACTGTCGATCCCTCTCAATCTTATGGTTTCACCGGCAAACGACGAAGCCAACAACGCCGTTCACCGGCAAAGCCACTGACATTCGGATCCCTCATCGTCACTCATGGAGTCCTTGGTCGTCGTTTTGTGATCAATTTATGAACCAATTCATTGACATATGACTATATAATTAATTAGCATATTGCAGTGGGATGTGTTTAGGTTTTCAGTTAAAATTCAGTTTTCGGTACTTAGTACTGTACTTTTTATTTTTTTAAATTGCATGCATAGAGTTTATTTTCATTTCATTATTATATTTATATGGTTCAGTTCATTATCTATCAAAAATGAAAATCAAGTAATCTAAATGAAAAAATTCAATTCGATTTTATGAACAATTAAACTTAATTGTAATTAGCATCTTCATAACCGAATAACAAACTTTTGGTTGGTCTAATTTATAATCAATAAAAATAACGAAGATTTACAATTAAAAAATATAAATCCAACAGATCAGCATCCTTACTATGAGTCATCCATCTATCATTAAACAGAAATACTCAACATTATATATAAACTCAACATCACACATTGATTCATACAACTCTTCAAGCTTCCATCAACTTTGACCCACACAAAAAGAAAAAGAGAAGAAGAAAGATTTTTTTTCTTGGGCATTTCCCAAGTTTTCTTTTTTCTTCTTCTATCTATTTTTGTGGGTATTTCCCGAAAGAGAAACTTTTTTTTTGTTAAAGCCGAAAGAGAAACTTTTTTTTTTGTTTTTACATAAATCTGCTTTTAAAATTTATAAAAAATGGGAAACTGTTTGATGGGAGGAAACAACGTTGCAAAAATGGTTCAAGAAGACGAGGTAATGAAGAAAGATTACAAGAGAAAAGATCGTAAAGTAAAGATTGTTTTGAGAAGAGATGAGTTAGAGAAACTCATTCTTTTTCAGCTAAATGCCAACGGCAACGTTGAGGGCAAAGGAGAAACAACTTTGGCTTCTTTTGGCGACTTTCTCAGGGAGTTAGAGGCGGAGAGATCTGCCGGAGAAGCGGCTGCAAAGGCGGCTGAGGAAGAGGAGGAATCTCGTCGGAGATGTCGTAAGTGGAGGCCCTCGTTGGAAAGAATCACTGAATGGCCTGAAGAAACACTTTCGTAATCACTTTCTTTAATGTTTTTTTTTTTTTTTTTTTTTTTTTTTTTCATTTTAGAGATCTTTAAGGTTTTTATTTTTCTTATTAAAATGGGATTTTTTGTGGGGGAGTTTGCTCTTTTGCTGATTTTTTTTTCTCTTTTTTTACCGAGGGATATTTTTTCACCTGAGAAATGTTTTGTCTCAGAGTGTTTGAAATCAGCAAAGGCTTATTTACCCCAGAGAAAATCCTAAGAAAAAACGAAATTATGTATTTTATTTTCGTCTTTCATGTAAGGTACTTCAATTTGTCAACATAAATAAACTAGTTTAGTATAAATTTGTTTTCTTGCTTTTAAAGTTAATTTCTCATATATATATCCATTTTCATTTCTTACCAAATTACCGATGTGCTTTTTGTTGGAACCTACCCACAACTAACAGCGCATAACTGTTACTATAAAAATAATTAATACGTTTTACAACAATTATCATCAAAATTCTCAGAATTTAATTCTGCTATCTACCTGTTATTAAATGACCCAGCTGATCTGTCGTATCTCGTTGGGCGTATAATAAAAAAGAGTAGATGATCTAATTTTTTTTTTTTTTGGTGAGCAAGAGGGAGATCTAGTCTCCCATTTTATTAAAAAAGAAATACGAACTACACTCGGACATTTCGCGGATGCGAGAGTCCTATAGAATCCTCAAACAAAATCGAGCTAACAAAATCCGGCGTAGACCCCAACATATGGAAGCCCAGCGGTAACGAAAACGCATAGTTAGCTAATCCGTCTGCAAGACGATTAGCCTCCCTATACACATGTGAAATACGGACAATCCAGTCCTTCGTAATAAAGCCATAGCACAAACGTACTAGGAACGACAGCGGATGCGAATCATTAATCCCTGTCTTAAGAAATCCCACGACTATCTCCGAGTCCACCTCCAGCTCAACCCGTCTAGCTCCTCTCTCCCAAGCGATAAACAACCCATAATAGACTCCCCATAACTCAGCTAGAGGTGCCGTACAAGCCCCGATGTTTACCGCAAAACCGCCACACCAATTCCCATCACAATCCCGAAGCACTCCACCTGCAGTTGCTAAACCCGGGTTGCCATGAGAGGCCCCATCCGTGTTCAGCTTCAACCAACCCTCCTCTGGCGGTATCCAAGCAATCTGTCTTACCACCCGAGTAGGACCATCCCGGCCTCCTGCCTTAACACTCAAGTTCGCAGCCGTAACCTCTCTGGCGATATCCTTCACAAAACACACTCTATCCCGACATCGACCATTTGTTCCAAACACATTCCCACATCTCCACTTCCATCCCCACCACACTGTCATTGCAAAAAGAGTAGGCCACGGGCTGTCACCTACTTCCACGGTTGCACTCAAATTTGTGTGTAACCATTCCAATAGGGTCTGCGAGAAAAAAGTATTCAAGACACGTCGAGGGATGATACGAGCCCACAAACCAGACATTGCAGGACAGTCCCGTAAAACGTGAAGAATAGTTTCTTCTCCTCCTTTGCAAATCTGACAAACCGATGAGTCTCCCAAATGACGTCGGGCTCTTTCCACGTTTGTCATGATTACTTGATGTGTGACTAGCCATAGGAAAACTCTTACTCTTTCCGGTGCGACCAGCCTCCATATCTTCTCAAAAAACTTACTCATACCCGGTCTCGGCGTCTCATCTTTAGTAAGGAAAGCATAGGCTGACTTCACCGTAAATCTCCCATCCGCAGTCCCTCCCCATGAGACTCTGTCTTTAGCGCCGGTGACATTATCAAGTACCACTGCTAGAAGTTGCAGTTTTTTCTCCTCCGACAAATATCCCATAATCTGATTAAAGTTGATACATTAGCTTTTGAGAAAGTTGATAAATTTACAATTTTTGTTTTTAAGAAAATAAAACATTTCCCTAAATTGTATTTTGAGTAAAGAGACGTCATAATTAACAGAGACTTAACAATTGTAGTGAATCATGATCATGGTTTGATCAACGTTCTATGCTTTGTTTCTGACTTTAGTCTTTTTTTTTTTCAAAATGTTTCCCTTGGAATATACTAATGTCAAATTTTTTGATACATTAGTTATTTATGAGACAACAACAAATTTTCCCCAAAATCATGTTACTTCTATTGATCTTTTACAAAATATATACACATAGTCACACATATATTTTGTATCGATGCTACCCTAAAACTACAAAAAAATTCAAAAGATAAACTCAAAATTAACTTATTTCAGCTGGGATAACCAGCAGCCATTTCCTTGTCGTTCATTATTACAACCAACCATCACCATAGCGACTTGAAGCTGATGAACAGGGACGTGTGCGATCTGGTCCACAAAATGCTCCAAATCAAAAACGCTGTCGTTTTTGCATTTCGATATCAGCCTTTGAGCTTCTTGCTTTGTCATCTTGATCTTAACCCTCACAACCTCTTCCTTCCCTTCAACTATATTCAAACTCTCTTTCTCTTCCGGAGGCTTCTCCTTTGGTTCGAGTTCGTGATCATCATCAAACCTCACCGTTTTCTTTGGCTCGAAGATCTTATTATTCTCTAACTGAAACCTCACAACCTTACGTGGCTTAGCTAGAGGCTTTTTCTTCTCTTCATCTTCTTCGTCTTCGGCTTCGAACCTCAACGCTTTGTCAATCCTCTTGGCTCTCTGCAAGCACCGAGACCTTTTGGTTGATTCTACTGAAACCTCTGATTCGTTCAGAGGCAACGTTATTTCTAAGTCGTCTCTGTAAATAGGTTTAGCTTCTAGAACGTTGTCGTACCTTTCTTGAAGCCTGTTGAAGCATTTAGCTAGAGAATCCATCATCATCTTCTTCTTCTTCTTTAACAAATAGGGAGAGAGAGGTTTTGTGTTATCTTGAAAGTTTTTTCTCTATATATTAATTTTTCGTGGGGCAGAATATTATATAGGCGACCAAACTTTACCATTATTCGGACACGTAGTGGAGTGTGATTTGGGGTAAGAAGATGACGTCACTTCGCCGTGGGATACTAGAACTTAATTATTCGAGTTTGCTTTGCTTTACTATGCAAAAAGTGTAAAAACCATCTTTTACGTTAAAATTTTATCATGCATAATCGAATACAAAACAATTGACAAGTTCATTAGTTCACAGTCGATGTTGATTTACGGGAAAGGTTATATTGAATAGAAGATAACTGGTTAAATTGTAAGAGATTTGACGTAAAAATTAGAGATAATCTGCGTATGTGAATGTGACCATAGTCTATTGATGAACTTAAGGTAAACCAAGGAAAAGTGATGATATCATGCATCATTAATCAGTCAATATTTTACCATGACTTTAAACTTTTCTCTCATACGTTTTTTTTTTTGGTAAAAAGTTCTCTTATACGTTGCTCATCTGAAAATGACATTAAGTATATTGGTCATCTTTATCCAATTTTCAATTATCATTTAGCGGAATAATCAACTACCAGACGTTTTAATATATTAAAAAAAAATCAACTTTCCACTGTAAAAATTGGTGCCGTGCCACTGGCGGCATATGACATGGTCAAATACTCCATTTTGAACAAGTCTAACTAAATAATTGAATAATATCCACAAAACCAAAATAAAAACAAATACGAAAACAAGTGTTTGTCACAGTTTCTTTATGTAATTTTGGCGTAAAGTCATGTTCGTCCAAAACCAACTATTGACAATGTTCAATTAGGTCAAGTCGAGTTTTAAACGAGGAAAATTGACACGTACTATCTTGTACTTGTAGAAACTTCAAACTTCTTGACATGAGAAGGAAAGCCCTCACCACACTATAGTTTCATTTTTAGTATGCAAATCTGCATAAACAAACACGATCTTGGTCATTACTCAAAATCGGAAGATAAATTGGATTTAAGAAACTCATACAAACCCAAAAGTCCAAAACAAGTATGTATCTTCCCTTACTAGAAAGTCCAAATCCTCTATTATTGTTTTCTCAATATGAAGATAGCTACGGTTTCTAATAAAGGGAGATGATCTCGTTCGTGGATATTCAAAAAATGACGTTACATTTGATTACGAGGATACCAAATTTGTGGCAATGTATCCACCATACTTGTTTTTTTTTTTTTAAATCGTCATTTATGATAATAAAATAACAAATAACTCACATTTAGATTTTGGTTTTGTTTTTGTAGGGTACAATATCAAGAGAATATGGAAACCGTATAAATCCAGGCGAATATACACCAATTCCAGCAATATATCAAAACGTCTATGGACTCATTTTGGAAAGTAACTTATCTCATATATATTATACTCATTGTCTTCTTCTACATTAGAGTTTCAAGTTGAAGTGTGCGTATATGCAATGTCAAACCTATCTCCACCAGTTCGAGTATTTTCTTTCTCTCTTCACTCTCCCGAGGTTTTTGCATCTCCTTTAAGATTTTGCTAACGAGTTTTTATGTGTGATATAACTGTAGACTTGCGTTCTGAGAGTTGGAATCAAGTGTTGCAAAGGTTGCCAGACCAAAGCAAAGAGAAAGTTGCTAAATGTGTCTGGTAATAAGTCCACAGTGAATGTTGTTTAAGCTATATCATTTGTTAAATATGTTTATTTTGTTTAGCTGATATTGTTTTCAAATGGAAACTAGGGGTGGATGCAGTTGAGTATAACGCAGAACAAGGGCTCTTGACAGTCTTAGGTGATGTCAACCCAACAACATTGCTTCATAAGCTTACCAAATGGGGCAAAAAGGCAGAACTTGTCTCTTTTCTTGGAGACAACTCTTCCTATGTTCCTAGAACCCCGGAACAAAACCAAAACAAGACAATGGAGAAGAAGAAGGAGAAGCCAACAAAGCGTTGTCTTCTAATGTGTTTTGGGAAAAGACGCAAGAACACAAAGGTTGAGCCTATGGCAATGCCAAACTGGAACTATCGAGGAATAGGGACCGAAAATGGCAATGCCACGCCCTTCATTAACGCGGCAATGTCACCTCCAATGGTGTATCCCCCTCCACAAGCAGTGCCTGGCTTCACAACACCCATACCATACCCTCCTCCTAATTATTTTGGGGCAAGACAACCACCACCATACACTGGTGCTGGTATGTTCCAGTCAGCTCCACCACAATCCCCACCATATTTTCCAGTTCCCAACTCTAGGCTGCATTACCCGCACCACTGACACAGTTCTTTCAGATGATACATTCATTGCTTGTTTCTTCTCTTTAGCTATGACTCAAATGCTGAGTAATAAGATGATGAATTCTTTTCAACATGTAAGGTATATGAAAGAAATGCAAATGAATGATTTCCACAAGAAAGCAGACTAGAAAACATATAGACATTAACCTGATAATTTTTTTTGGGCCGGACTCATGTGATATGATACCAAAAATAAACATATCTTGTTGGGAAATTAGTATATTTTATCAAATTTCTTAGCATTTTTTTTTATAGAACCGTATATATATTAGGATGGATTATTTAGTGTAGACAATAGAGAGAAACAAAGAAGTGGTTAGAGATAACGCGTTGAAAGCTTATCAAATCTTGGTGGATTATTTACGACCAAACCACCCAAAAAGACTTATGCGCTTGACTAAGTCCTTGTTCTCTCTTAGGGGGTGTTATTGGTTGTATAAGTTGAAGTCAATTCCATTAGAATTAGAGTTTATCAGATTTTAAAACATCTGGGCTCATTGAAAATGAATCATTATTCATTTTATCAAATATGTGGAAGTGTATTATCAATGATACATGATTTCATTTGGTTTTCTGTAACAGAACTGAATTCTATAACAAATGATTGTTATAATCTAATCGAAATCTGGCCAAACTTTTGTCCATCTTTTTTCTTCTTATATCATGCTTTTCTACTGTTTTGAAGTTTTTACAAAATCTTGTTACTAGCTATGAGTATAATGTCTTTAGTAAAGAAATTAAAAAAAAAATGATGAAGAGAGATATACTATAATCACCGTATGTAAATTCTTATAAGTAGACGTGAAAAGAGAAAAAAATGGGGTTTTGGTTATTCTCATATGATTGTGAAAATCTCAGGGTAGAAGGTAAGATTTTGATTGCTATAATTTACACATGAAATCTGTTTCAGATTCATTCAAATCTTTTCAAATCAAATCATTTGTGAAAATCTATTAAACATGAATAACACAGAACTTTAATTGATCATTGTAAATATGATAACCAATAACACTAGATTTTAAACTCTTTTAATATAGATATTAGAAATATGAGAACCAATAACACTTGATTTTAAACTCTTTTAATGAAGATATTATAAATATAAGAACCAATAACACTTGATTTGAATAAAGAAGTTAAGATCCACTAACCAATAACATTAGATTTGGGTTAGAGTTAGACTCTATTAAAATCCATTAACCGATAACACCACCTAAGGCAATTAATGGAATTCAAACAAAAATCAGGACTGAGTCAAAAACAAATAGAAATTTCCTATTTTGATTTATTTATGTTTTTGAAGACTTGAGAGGATTTTTTTTGTCCCAACAGAAACGGGTTATATTTAAATGGGTCATATGCGCCTAGATGGGCCTAACCACCGAAAAGGGCCCAAGTTTGGAGATTCGTGAAACTAAACCCGAAGGTTCGGGAAAAAGCAGAGAAAATTTCCAGTCGCCGTCGTCAACATTCTCCTTTGGTACACGGACGAGAACTAAAGAGCGAAAGAAGATGAACGTAGTTCACGGTTTGAAGAGGATTCCTCGCATCAAATTTCCACAGCGACATGTTAATCCTTCAGGTTTTGATAATCGTGAACACTTGTATGCAATATCTATATTGTTTTTGGTGTCAAGTTCCATAATTTTGCTCGGTGCTCGATTCGAAATTTCTGAGTACGGTTTCATTGTCACGAATTAGATATGAGATTGTATCCGTGTTTGGCTGTGAGTTTTTGCTTTCCGATCTATCTTGCTCTGAGAAAATACCCAAAGGAATCATTGATTTTCATTTACATAGTTAGATTCAAAGATATACAGATTTGTTTAGCCATTGTTACGAATCCTGTCTCTTACCAATTTGAAATCAAAACTCAAATCATTGTAGGAATCTTCATCAATTTTGCGATTTACTTGCTGGCTTTTAGAGTTTTTTTTTTCTTAAAACTTTGCAGCTTCAGAAGGAAAGACTCAGGTGGCAAATGCTTCAGAAGGAAAGACTCAGGTGGCAAATGAAGCAGATACATTATTCTTCTCCAATTTGAACATCCAAAAGACTATAGGCGGGAAGGCGTCATCGCAGCCAAAGCGTACGCCAGTTTCTAACGAAGAAATGGAAGCCATTTTGGTAAGTACCTTCATAGACATGAATAACACTTAGATAAAGAATTGCCTTTTCACGGTTTAAGTTTCATTGCTACATTTCAAATTTACTTATTCTGAGTTTAGCTTTGAAAACAAACACATATATGCGTTTATCCTAACGTTTTAATGGTGTGATCAACTACTAAGTTTATGGACCAAAAGAACGAAATCCGAGTTTCTTTTTTCTATTATGTGATATTATTGTTCTGTTTCTAACTTCTTCTCATTTTTCTGCAAATTTTGACAGTTGGGAGGCTGCCTCTGATCATTTCAACATGATCTGTTGACAAGAAATGGTGGACCTCTTCTCATCTTTACCAGTTACACAATATACTCGATAGTCAAGAAACTGATATGGTTGATGTTTACAACAACCAATGATACAATAAAACAACTCCCTTGCAGTCTTAAAAGTTTTTAACTTCTATACTGATTCATTATTGATTGAGTGCATTTGAATCTCTATTAAGTGCTTTATGGTTGAAATTCATCGTTTATTATTTCTTATATCACATGATGAAGCTCTTTTAGAACCAGTCAGAAATCTCGTAGCCTAAACGCAAAGGTACGTACGTTACATATACATTCACAGGAACTTACATACAAAGAAGAGAAGATCACTTATGGTGCTGCCTCGTCCTTTTGCATCTGTTCGATAAGAGGCTCAAGAATACAAGACTTTGGATTCTTACCCGGTGGACCTTTCTCTCTTCGCTCGAGCTCTTCAAGCCTGAAAGTAATGAGACGGTCCCAGTTTCCTCCTTCGAACAAGACACCAGCTTTTCCATCAGTGATCCTCTGCACAATCCCACAATACATGTGATACGGGCTGTTCCGGTTCTTGACTATAGCAATCATCCCCGGCATGAGAAGGGGTAGCTCGGGCGCTTTCGGCTTCTTATCTGTAACAACTGCAGATGCATCGGTTCCTCGTTTTGCAGGTGGTGGCGTCGGAGGAGGTGGTGGGTTCTTTTCAATGAACGTTTGCAATCCCTTTTCGCCACCGGGAAATCCTCCTGTGAGACCCATCATCTCTTTGTCAAAACCACCTTCAGGTACTTTAAACGACAAGTTACTGTCATCGCTCTCTTTCTCCGTCTCGTTATCATCAGCCTTTGATGTGTCTTCCCCGTCTTCAATGTTCCTCTTGAGCTCCTTCTCAATACCTTTCTCTCCGTTGCATAATCCTCTTCCTCCCATCACCTCCCATAGATTGAATTTACCCATGGCCTTTACTTGATAAACTTTTGATTGCTGTTTCGGAGGCGGGAAAATCGACTGGTTTGCAGTTGAGAATTGATGGGTTTGGCCTAGAAATTTCGATCGATGAATCGGAGTTCTCATGGTCGGGATAGTGATCGAAGAAGTTGCCATAACTTTTTCTGTCTGCAGAATAGTTTAGAGGTTGTGACCAAGGGAGATATGAAGAAGAAGAAGAATGAAGAAACGTGTGATTCGCTTGTTATAATGACCACATATCACGATTTCAGTTAGATGAGTTTTATCTATTTCCAGAGGACCTGAACCGGTTTATGTATAACCGGACGGTTTGTTTCGAATAATGATTTAGGAGGAAGAGTAGGAACATCTGGGCTTTGTCATAAGTTTAAACTGGACCAAGTTTGAATATTCTTCATATATTATGGGCCTAGATTAAACATATTACTAATGTGATTTCTTTTATGATTAAACATAATGCTAATAATTAATGTGATTTCTTTTATGATTAAACATAATGCTAATAATGTGGTTTTGTTTATTTATTAAGAAAAAGCAGCAAGAACAAGATAAAGCATTATTGGTCAACGACATTAATAATTGGAATCCCATACTCCCAAAATCATCATTACACATACACTTTTGTCTTAGGCTGTGTCCTTCACACTCATCAGCATCACCAAATACTTAGTTGGCAATTTATTTATTTCATGAATGAAAACAACTTTAGCAATAATTTTGATAAATTCAATACATTCTAAATGAGATTGGTCAAAAGCTTACAAACATTATTTTACCTAATAACAAACCAAGTTTATCACTTTATCTCTTACAATTTCGTTAACAATTACAAATCTTATCCTTTAACAAAAACAAAAAACATTGTAAAATCTCCCACGTGTGTAGAGCTGGCTAACGCAACCTGGGGGTAAAAGCGTATTTTTCTAACCAAATTTAAAGTTTCTTTATGAGTAAAATTCCCAAACCCAACTTGTTCTTGCTGAAGCAGTAAGCACCCAACCAAAAAAAACCAATTGCGTCAAAACACTTTCCCTTAAATACAGAGATCACATTCGATCAGGTAAAAACAAGTTCTCGATCTTCTCTTTTGTCAATTTTTCAAATTATTTGATGTTCTCTTGATTTGATTCCGACTTCCGAGCTTCTATTTCTGCTCAATGTTTTTGTATTTTGTTAGGGTTTCCATCTTTTTGTTGGATTTCCAGATAATTCGTTTCTGTTTTTTTTTTTTTTTTTTAATTGAGCTAAAAAACCAGAGTTAGTAATAAATATTTTCCTAAGTGATGATACTTCTTGGATTAGATCTATGATAATAATAAGCATAAGACAGAGACTAACACAGGTCATTTAGCAAGATTAAGTTTTCATGGGATACTGAAATTCATATAAGAGCTTGGTTCATATCATAATCTAGATTAGTTCATTTTCAGATGACATCTCTTGAATTTTCATTTGAATGAAGGTTCTTTGGCTACGCTTAATTCATTTTCTGGTGGAGGGTTCTGGAGTCGTTTCAAAAGCCTAAGTTTCAATTCATGGATGATAGTACTCCTAAGAAGCTAAACATATTACCTGACCACTTTAGTGCTCCTAGTTCCACAGCAGAATCTTCTCAGGACGATACTCCATCATTTTCGCAGACAAAGGACGATATTTCTCTGAGGTAACTAACTTGTTAGCGAATAATTATGCTAGATAGGGAATCCTTGTGCTGACATTGATTGTATTTTGGGTGCTTTTATTTAGAATAGGTCTCATAGTCAGTCACGGACTCGTAGAAACTTGAAAAGAGCAGCAACTATGTTGAATTTGTTCACTCTTCGCCGTCTTCCTTGGGTTTCAGATGGTCAAGAGAAGGTTCCATTCTAATACCTTTCTTCTTTCTTTTTGATTCACCTCATTGAAGTTTGAGGGTTCTTTCCTGATTACTCTCTCATTGGCAGGTAGAGCTGTCAGCAGCCGAGTTAGAATCACTTAGATCAGAGCTTTCTGATTTGGAAGAAAGAGAAGCTTACCTCAAAGCCCAGTAAGTCATATTCTCAAATTGTTCCATTCTCAGATCAAAAGTGCAGATCTCAATTTCTACTGTCTTTCTGTACTGTTACATAGGTTGGAACATGTGGATGAAGTCTTGCGCTCTGCCCGTTTATCTGGTTATTTGTTTATCCGAAGTGTAGGGTCTTACTCCGAATCACTTATCATTATTGATCAACAAGACTCACAATTCGTGTATATTATCATTACAAGTTTGCTCCCTTTTTGGTTTAACTTCAGCGTTGGGCAGCTCTTCCGGGTGAAGAACCGCCAATAGACGATACAGAAGTAGACGACTGGCTTCCTCGGTTTGTCGTCCTTCAAGGCCCTTGTCTTTTCTTCTATTTATTGTCAACAGGTGAGTTAAGTTTCAACTTTTACGATCTTGTTTTAAATTTATATTCTTCTTGTAATGTCTCTTGAAACTCTCTATTGCAGACTTGAGCCCGCAAGATTCGACATTGCTAGCAGATATTGTTGAAGTTGGTTCGTTACCAAGCTACACGAGAGAATTCGATGAAACCCATTATTGCTTTTACATCTTAACCCGTCAAGGTCTAAGATTTGAGTGCTCAAGCACCTCTAAAACACAGGTGAACCAAATACATATACATGTTAACACACAGATATGTTGTTGAGAGATCCCACATAATTTGATCGCGATGATTTCACGTTTTGTATGATTTTTAGGTTGATTCGTGGTTGTCGGTATTGCGCCTTGATTGCAAGTCTGAACCAGAAGAAAGGTTACCAAACGGATCAAGCCAAGCGCCACAATAATTGAAGATTGGTCACTGCACTGTATAGTTTTCATTTTTATGTATATAAAATGCTTCTTTTAGATGTAGCAGAATTCACGTCAATGAAAGGTTCTTTTACTGAACTGGTGATTACAATATTTTTGGTTTACTTCTTTTAGCTGCTAAAGACATTGGAATATATTCGTTACTTGAATAGGCAATAATTCTAGTTGGAAAACAAAAGTGATTAGAAAGGCAATAAATCCTGAGCCTTTAAGTCCTCTGATCCGACCCGAACCGACACAGACCCGATCAAAACATGCTGGTATAAAATCCTCCAACAGGTTCCATTTCCGAGGTCCCTGTTGTTGCACATCACTCTTCTCAGTCCTCACGCATCTTATAAGAGAAAATGAGCTCTCAAATCTGCAGATCTGCTTCCAGAGCAGCGAGGTCTCTTCTTTCTTCAGCCAAGAATGCTCGTTTCTTCTCCGGTACGTAATTTTTTCTCCCTGCTTCTCTTTTTTCCTGAAAATGTGATAAACCTCATGGGAAGATGTATGTAGATAGACGTCAAATATTTTTTGATCCTAACTTTGGTTTTCTTCGTCTTCTCGATCGAATCGAATCAGTGATCTGTTGAAAAGTTTTCAATCTAAAATATTTGATCCAAACTTTTACTTGATCCTTCCCATCAACTCAAGAAACGAAATTGTTTGTTTTCTGAATATGGCACTTATTTGGCTTGTTCTGTTAGAGATATTTTGTGAGGGAATCCTTCTTGCAAATACATTTTCTATGAAACTATTGGATAAACAAATTTAGACTCTCATATTCCGGTTTTTGACTCATGATTAATTTGCATACATAAGATTTCTTATTGATTATCCCATTAATATAAAGAGGGTGTTTTAGATCTGTTGTTTTTTCTCATTCCCATATGAACAAAAGTCACAACATAATTCATTAACATTTTGCGGATACAATTATGTTATCAGAAGGCCGAGCCATTGGTGCAGCAACAGTGGTGTATGCGTCTGGAAAAGTCCCTCAGTATGCATCCAACTTTGGAAACTCGGGTTCTGGCTTCGCCTCTAAGAGCTGGATTACCGGACTGCTCGCTCTTCCTGCTGCAGGTTTTTCATACATAATGCTTGCTGTGATTTACTGTTTTATGAATATATTCTGTAGGACATACACTCAAATCTTCATTTTGGAACCACAGTTAATGTTAATTGCATGTCAACACTTTGACTCCACAACAATGTCAACTTTTTTGCTGAATTTGTATTTGTTGTTGAACTATACCAGCAAGACATAGCTGAATTTCAACTTTGATTTGATGACTAACTCGGCTTATTCATTTCACTTCTTTCATCATTTCTGTTATAGCCTTCATGCTCCAAGATCAGGAAGTACTTGCTGCTGAGGTAATAATCGCTAAACCAAACACATATCGATATATCCTTCTCTTGAGGCTATCCCTGCTTTCTCTTTTTCACTAGATTTCTCTGTTTCAATCAGATGGAACGCACTTTCATCGCTATCAAACCTGATGGGGTGCAGCGAGGACTGGTTTGTTACTTGTTATTATTCTCTTTTAATTTCATGTCTCACATCTTATTCAAATGCTCAAAACTCTTAAATCTTTAAACTCTCACCAGATATCAGAAATCATTTCACGGTTCGAACGCAAGGGATACAAACTTGTTGGTATCAAAGTAATGGTTCCTTCAAAAGGTTTCGCGCAGAAGCATTACCATGATCTAAAGGAGAGACCTTTCTTCAACGGCTTGTGTAACTTCCTTAGCTCAGGCCCTGTTGTTGCCATGGTAAAGAAACAAGTCTCACTCAAACTTTTGAAACCATTAAACCGACTTGGTTTAGCTCTCATGATCCAATAAAACATTGGTTTAAGGTATGGGAAGGTGAGGGAGTGATTAGATACGGACGTAAACTGATTGGAGCTACAGATCTTTAGAAATCAGAACCTGGAACTATCCGAGGCGATCTCGCTGTTGTTGTTGGAAGGTACCCTTCTACTTTTATGCATTGTATATATGATTGTTTGGTCTGATTATCAGAGATTATAGATTTGGTTTTGTTTGTGTTTATTGGGAAATTGCAGGAACATTATACATGGAAGCGATGGACCAGAGACAGCTAAAGATGAGATAAGCTTGTGGTTTAAGCCTGAAGAACTCGTTTCTTTCACTAGCAATGCTGAGAAGTGGATCTACGGCCAGAACTGAACCACCCTTATTTTCAGCCGTTAGATTAGACATAAATAATTACTGTTTTTTTCTTTCTTCTTACCGAAAAAATAAAAACGTGATCACCTTTTTACTTTGTCCAAGATAAAAAAGGCTCGCGGATCATTGTGAATCAAAATTAACTCACTAATTTATCGGGAAAATAATTATTTTTTTGAATATTAATAAATTTACTGAATTTGTTATAATAGACCCAATGATATTAGGCCACGTGAGCGATCATGTAACCGATTTACGCGTAAATGTGGACTTGAAATCCGATTAGCAAGCGTAATTTTTGTTTTAATTTCTCGTTGGAATCCGCCGACTCCATTAAAACTCGTATAAGAAAATCTCAGAGAAACTGGTTTATGCTGTGACGAGTTGACTCAGTCATTGTATTGTTCAGAAAGATTCTTTAGCTTCGACCTCTCTCGCTCCGATCATCTTCTTCGACTCTCTCGTCGCTTTCTCTTGCAAGGTTCTTACTTCATAATCGGTAAGGCTTTCCTCACGAGTCATAATCTTAGGTTTTGATTCGTAGTCTTTCTCAATTGAATTGTCGAAATTAGGGTTTATTGCTTCCTAGGGATTCTGGGAACATATGCTAATTGTAATTTAGTACTCGTTCTATACGGAGTTGTTTTCATTTCATGTGTAGATTAAAGTTTTAATCTTCCTATATCTTCAATCTTTCGATTCTCTTGACTAATTTCTTGCAATTGTAACGGATTTCTTACAATTGTAATGTAATGGAGTTTTGTTTGATTTGTGCAAAATTTCTTACATATCGTGTAAACTTTTGTGTAAAAGAAATTGCTTTGTTTGTGCAGATGGAGACTGAAACACCACTTATAGCGGAGACCATTGCCCTCACTGAAAAGAAAGTCGCCATGGCTTTAGGTATTTTTTTTTATGTTTATGATGCATCCCCTTAGCTTCTATGTATCCGGCTGTGTGGTTGCTCATGATTATATTTATATTTTCTTGTTTTTAGATGATATTATCAAGTTGGCAAAGAGAAAGACCAATGTGAATAAGGGCAAGAAACCAAGGAGAGGAAAGGTAAAAACCCTTCTTTATAAAGGTCTCTTGGCTTACATGCATCTTGTCTTTGCGAGACTTTAATGTCATTGAACTGGTTGTTGGCTTATAATTTATTTTTTTTCTGTGCAGAACAAAAACCAAAACTTTAATGGTGCTGCGAGAAATAACACCTCTAATGTGCGGCATCATATGAACTCACTTTCTGCTGTTAGACAGGTTAGCTTTGCAGTGTTCTCATTAGGATCTGTCGTCTTGGCTTCTTTGTCTATCATTAGGATCCCTTTTTTCTTTTGTTTGGATTTGTTTTGTAACTTATCTCTTAATTTTCAGGGTGCTGTTGGTAAGAGAAGGTCTAGGTTCCAAGGAAATCAATTTCCTGTAACAACAAACATTGCTCGTAAAGCTGCTACTGCTGCTCCACTCGATGTCCGCGGCAGAGCTTTTATTGGTGGAAGGACGACGAGTGCCAATCAGTCAAGGTCTAGAATGCTGGATAACTCTCTGACCTGTTTGTTAATCTGAAGTCCTTATAGTATCTTCGATTGTTTCTGATTCAAGAAGCTTCTATTCTAAGCTCCTGGTCACTAGATGGTCAATCAGTTTGATGACTGCATAATACAGATTTATGTAGTTGAATTTATGATGGTGCTTGAAGGAGTCGGTGCATATATTTGGATTGGAGATGTGAGTTAGAGGAAAACAATTCAGAACGTTTAGATTGAGCATAAACTTTGCTGATGAGTGGCTAGGGTGTTTTTCTCAAGACTGGGTTGGCCTTTGATATGAACTTGGGTGGTTAGAATGTGGCTAGTTTGAGCACAAACTTTGCTTTTGCTTGAAGTTGGAGTTTTTATTGTCAGATTAACAAGTCAAGCAGTCTGATACCGTACTTGGCCTTTGATATAACCTCAGTGGATTAATGAAACTCATTTACATTCATATCATCCTCCTAGGTGTTATGTTTCATCTTCTTGCATCCTGAAGATTATAGCTTAGCTCTCTGAGGTTGTGACACTGTCTTGGTAGATCCCTGTTACTGGGAAAAGAGTCAGACTTCAGGATCTTTATCAATATACAATAATTGTTACTTGTTTGCACCTTGGGTCATCTCTCGAGATCTCTTCTCTTAGTCTTTGATAAGTTGCTTTGTCGGGACAAAAGCCATCTTTGGTGGGTTGGCCTGGAAATCTGTCAAGAGCTACACTTTTTCTCTGTAGTTACTGCGAGTTTGGAGTTGTGTCAGTGTCTGGGCGCCTTTAGGACTGGGAAGTGAAGTGTTGCATGCTTATAATAAAATGGCTATCTGCCATCCTTATGTAATTTGGATAGTTGGATTTCGCTTTGATCCTTCTATGTATGAAGAGATTCAGCTTTTGTTGTGAACAACTCGATAATAGATCCCAGTTACCGTCTGTACTTCAAGTTTCTGATGTTCTTAAAGGTTGTCTCCGTATGTCTTCTCGGTTCCTCAGCACTCCCTCTTTGTTTTTTTTCTTGTGCAGGTGTATTGCTCCACCAGTTCAAAATATATCTGTACAGGCTAGAGTCAACGCAAAGGTAACTTACTCATGATTATCTGTTAGATTGCATTAGTGTCTCTCCCTCGTGACTATTATTCGTTTTGATATGTTTATGGGGGACCATAAGATGTGCATTTTAGTCTACTTCTGCATCCATAGCTGTATCTGCATATTGATGGTAAGGAGTATCTAAAATGTTTCTTGATTGATTATTGCCTTTTGGGTTTGTAAATTCCAGACCATGGAACGTGATAGGGGCTTGTTCTGGTAAATGGATGGTGTGTTAATACTAATGAGCATTATTATTATTGAACCGTATATCAAAGAGCTTTATACTGAATGTTCAGAGGGCTAATAACAATTGACCTTTCTTTATCCTCAGAGGCAAGAAGTAGATGAGAAAGTAGAGCACAGAGGATGGAAGACATTGGACTCTCGCTTTGCAAGTATGAAAGAGCAGAGAATGACGATTAACAACTATGGTGTTACAGTACAAGTTCCAAGGTTGCCACCATGGGCTAGAGCCAGAAGATTTTTCCACTGAGAAACCACAAAGCTTTTATGGATTTTTCCAATTTATATTTTGGGTTTAGAAAGCACTAAGCAATGCAATTCTTTTGTGAACCTATGACTTTATTATCTTTTTAATGCTTCGAAGAATGAAACAAAAAGTTTACAGTCTTGGGTTCTCATTATAGCTAGTAGCATTTACATTTCTGTCAATTACATGTTTGCTGCCCTTAAGTGTCGTCAAGAAGAAAGCCTATCATCTAACTTCACTTAAATAACGCTTCACTTAAATTTTGTGGTCTATTCAATTTGTAACATGTTATTAGTCAAAATTTTGTGGTCTAATTCAATTTGTAACATGTTATTAGTCAAAATTTTGTGGTCTATTCAATTTGTAACATGTTATTAGTCAAATTGGGGGTGTAGCTCATATGGTAGAGCGCTCGCTTCGCATGCGAGAGGCACGGGGTTCGATTCCCCGCACCTCCACTTTTTTTATCTGTTAATTCTGCAGCTTCCTTTCCTTGTACATATGTGGCCTCAGTTAATTTAGGCGAAAGATATTGGGAACTTTTCTTTGTTTCCTATTGCCATTGCTAATTCCACTTTTCATTCTTTCCAAGATGACCATGTAACTACTTAAGGAAACAATAAATTATGACTGAAGTAAATATGGCCTATTCCAAAAACTGAACCAAAACAAAATATTTACGTTTGATTGTGTGTTTAATTACACATTACATGTTTAAAGTCTGGTCCCTGGGCCTAAGTACCACCATCCAGAAGCGGCTAAAGATTTCGACCTAACTCCCATCAGATATAAAGATCATATAATTATGGCCCAAAGACTAAACTGACTCTTTTGTTTTTTAGTGTGACCTGATCAATTTTAACTGGGTAACCCATTTTTGTAATCGTTTGTATATCACTTTCATATGGTGACCAAAAAACTACGTAACATACAATTCGTTTTCATGTGTGTACACTTTGGCCACACGTATTACCGACGTATATTTATGCATAGCTAGAGTATGGGGACGGCTTCAAAAACAATAAATAACTAAATATTATAGAAACTTGGCGATCATCTTCATCTAGTATAAAAATGGTATAATTTATCTTGTGAAAGCACGTTATTAATCTAGGCTTTACCAAGTGATCAATAAAGAATTTGACGTAAAACTGGTGTATTCAATGGATTAACATTGAAGCTTATTCACAAAGTGGCCGGCTATCGAGTCACTCCTTGTGCTTTGACTTTAATAAGCCTTCTCTAAACGAGTTATTTATTGTTCGTTGCTTTACCTATCCATAGAAAAATATATTAATTCAAAGGCAGTTTACGATGATCTAATTTACTTTCATGCATAGGAAAAAAGGAAAAGAAAAACATTTGGGGGTTGCGATTTATATATATTACATCTATCTACCTGCTTATTGATTTCTTAGAATATTCACGAGAAATGTAGGAAATCTATAAACTTAAAACAGAGAAAAAGGTGACAAAAGAAGAAAATAAATATCATACGTTTCTTGGCTGACTCAAGTCACGGAAAGTCCTTGGATAAGTTGATATCAACGGTGCCACCAATCTATATCATATGATTTAATATAATATCCTTTAACTATTACAAAATCTTAATTATATCTACGTATCATCCAATTTGCTAAATATTGAAAAATTGAATCCACTAGTATGTCGCCACATGTTTTCAAAATCTTAGCTACCTTTTCTTGATCATTTTTAAAATGCTAGCAACCTCAAATATTCTCAAATCTCGTGACCCCGAATTTTCTGGAGAAATAAATTCTACTTCTACAGAAAATCCTCGTTTACAAATCCGTCCAAATATATATCCATTCGTTTGTTAAATCTTTAATTGAATCCAATAAAATTACATTTATTACCCAAAAAAAAATCAACTACTATAATAAATACATTTCCAATAACAAAAACGTCAAAGGGGTAAATAAGACAATTCACAACATTCCGGTATATTCGCACCCAAACCAAAACCTGCCACGTAGCAATATTTCCTCTTCCTTTTTCTCTGTCTCTCGAAGAAACGTAGAAATCAGAAAGTAAATTATACAGTCAAAACTCTAAACCGCTTCTATAAAACCCTTTTTCGCTCGATCCCAATAACCAAAACAAAACAAAAACGCTCTACGAATTTTGAAACTTGTGCGAATTTCATTTTCTCGATGGCGAAGAACATTTTGGTTACCGGCGGCGCTGGCTACATCGGGAGTCATACTGTGCTTCAACTGCTAGAAGGTGGTTACTCCGCCGTCGTTGTTGACAATTACGACAATTCCTCCGCTGCTTCTCTTCAGCGCGTGAAGAAACTCGCCGGCGAAAACGGCAACCGCCTCTCCTTTCACCAGGTTCCGTTTCGTTCTTTCTCAAACCGAAATGGTTTTTTTTCTCGACGAATTTTTGCTGATTTGGTTTAGGAAACGTGTGCTTGAAGAATTTCATTTCATCGGTTTCGTATTGTTTTGGATTTCTACGAAAGTGTCTATAAATTTGATTAACGAAGTAGACGAGTCCTTAATTGTTATTCAGGGTTTTGATTAAATTTTGATAACAGGTTGTTTATTGATGATGTTTGATTCCATGTGACTGATTTTTCTTTGTGTGTACACATAATCCTGAATAAAGTATTGATGATGATGCCATGTGAAAAAGAGTAATTTAATAGTATTATTCAAAGTGCTATAATTTAAATTATATTGACAAGGTTGATCTGTCTGTGTCTGGAATTGGGATGTTCTTGGGGAGGGCTAATCAGAATTTTACTATTTTTTTAAACACTGAACAATAAATTTATAGCCTGCCATTGCAGAAATCAGAATCTATGTGGTCAATTTAGTCTCTTAAAAACTCTATTTTTGTGTACCTGCAGGTGGATCTTCGAGACAGGCCTGCGCTTGAGAAGATTTTCTCAGAAACTAAGTAAAAAAACTGGTCTTTTTATGACTCTTTTGACTTAAAGAATGATTATTAGAGTGTTGATATAATTGAGGGGTCGAAGTTTGATGGAAACGTGGAATTATTATAGGTTTGATGCAGTGATACACTTTGCTGGACTTAAAGCAGTAGGTGAGAGTGTGGAGAAGCCTCTGCTCTATTATAATAATAATCTTGTTGGTACTATTACTCTTTTGGAGGTTATGGCTCAATACGGCTGCAAAAATGTAATTTATTCTTCCTCTTCATTTTGCTAATTGCCACCACATGCATTCCCTTTTTTGTTTGATTATTTTCCCCCTTTTGAGTTTTGTCTTGTTTGATCTCATTATTGGGTCTTACTACTCTGTTTTCCAGCTTGTGTTTTCATCATCAGCTACTGTCTATGGCTGGCCTAAAGAGGTTCCTTGCACTGAGGAGTCACCAATTTCTGCCACAAACCCATATGGCCGTACAAAGGTAGTACCTTTAGCCTGAGTATTTACAAGAACCCACCTTCTGATAGCTGATGATATTAATTAACACCAAATGATTCTGACTGAGATTCTTTGCTTTTGCTATGTAAGCTTTTTATCGAAGAGATTTGCCGGGATGTACATCGTTCTGATCCTGAATGGAAGATCATATTGCTTAGATACTTCAACCCTGTTGGTGCACATCCTAGTGGTTACATTGGTGAAGATCCTCTTGGAGTTCCCAACAATCTCATGCCTTATGTCCAACAAGTTGCAGTTGGCCGGAGACCTCACCTTACTGTCTTTGGAACAGACTACAAGACAAAGGATGGTACAGGGGTATGTTTGTCCTATGATATCTCTTATAGACAAGAAACCATATGACAGATCTTACAATCTGAAATTGTGTTATAATGTGGAGTATGGGAGATAAGACAACGAATTGTGTATTATAGACCTGACTTTGTTGTTCTTCTTTCAGGTTAGAGATTACATTCATGTCATTGATTTGGCGGATGGACATATAGCTGCTCTGCGCAAGCTAGATGATCTCAAAATCAGTAAGGATCATCTTTAAACTCTTTTATGTTTATCCTCTCCTTATGATTTGCGATTGGATCTAAGCTTAATTCTTGGAAATGATCAGGTTGTGAGGTATACAATCTCGGAACGGGTAATGGAACATCGGTTCTAGAAATGGTTGCTGCCTTTGAAAAAGCATCCGGAAAGGTAAACCATAGTTGATTGGTATACTAGCACAATGCTCTAACCAAGTGAGCCAGTTATTGGCCTTTAATACCCAATCTTTTTGTCATTGTTTTTGAACTTTTTGATTGTTTACCAATTAGAAAATCCCGTTGGTGATGGCTGGACGACGTCCTGGAGACGCTGAAGTGGTTTACGCCTCAACGGAAAAAGCAGAACGCGAACTGAATTGGAAGTAAGCTCATTTTATTTTGTCTTTGTCAACATAATAGAAGAATTGGAACTTGGAATAAGTGGCAATTTAGCAAATAGCAATAACTATATGAATGACAAACATAGTGCATCAATCTCTCAGTTATAGTTAGGCCCTGTTCGTTTCTCCATTCAGATGGATCATCTGGATGGAGATGAAAAATGATGTTCGTTTTTTACAATTTAACAGATCATTTGGATGAATTAGTTGGATGGATCATCTGAATGAGTTTGTAATTTTAGGCAAATTTGTCAAACTCATCTGGATGAACATGATTGGAACATTTGGATGGAGATGATTCAGTCAAAAATAACAAATGACAAATATACCCTCATTTATAATCATAAATCAAATAATATTTATTTTCCATAGATTTTTCATTTTATATTCTAAAAATTACATATTTTAACCAAATAAAATCTCTAAAAATCGTGAAATCAATGATTATCATTTTTCGTCAAAATCATAAAATCGCGGAATTGTGTTTTTTCCCGCCAAAAAGTGAAATCATGATTTTTGATAGAAAATTATGGAATTCATCAAAACCGCAAAATCATATTTTCTCGCCAAAACTGCAAAATAATATTTTCCCGCCAAAACTATAAAATCACGATTTTGGCGGGAAAATTACGGAATTCTGTTCTCCCGCCAAAACCGAAAAAAATTGAAGAATTCTGTTTTCCACCAAAACCGTAAAATCACATTTTCCTGCCAAAACTATAAAATCACGATTTTGGCGGGAAAATTACGGAATTCTGTCTTCCCGCCAAAACCGAAAATATTGAAGAATTGTGTTTTCTCGCCAAAACCGTAAAATCATATTTTTCCGCCAAAATCACAAAACTTAATTTTCCACCAAAAAATTATGTTTTCCCGCCTAAATTGCGGAATCATATTTTCCCGCCAAAATCGCAAAATCATGTTTTTCCGCCAAAATCGCGGAATCATTTTTTCTCACCAAAATCGCAAAATCATGTTTTCCCGCCAAAACTGCAAAATAACATTTTCCCGCCAAAAATCGCAAAATTATGTTTTCCCGCCAAAAATCTGAAAATTATGTTTTCCGCCTAAACCGTAAAATTATCTTTTTCGTCAAAACCGTAAACTTAATTTATATGTTAAAATAATAATTTAAAATTTATTTAGATGAAAATATATTTTAGAGCAATAATTAAATTAATATAGCTTAGATTAAGATTTAAAATATAAGTAAATTAAAGTATGGGTATTTTAGTCATTTTTTTGTTAAAGTCATCTAGATGGAGATAAAGATTTGTAAAAATTAAACAAAAAACAAAAATTCATTCAAATGTTCCATCCAAATGAACATCCAAAAATTAAAACGAACATCATTCAGATGGAGCATTTGGATGGAACATTTAAATGGACCATTTGGATGGAAATGGTAGATGATGAAACGAACGGACCCTTAATTATTTTGTATTTAGGCAGTTTTTTGGTTTTGTTTGGTATGAATGCAGGGCTAAGTATGGGATAGAGGAGATGTGTAGGGACCTATGGAATTGGGCAAGCAATAACCCTTACGGCTACAATTCCTCCTCTAATGGCTCCTCTTCATAATTCTCCTTTTTTATTCTTATTTTACCTTTTTGCTTACTTATTCATATAAACAAACACATGAAAAAGGAGAGGCTGACAAGTACCCAAACTTTAGAAGAAAATTGGGGAAAATTCGTGTACAATTAATTTATCATAGAAACTATATTTATTAAATCGTCAGTTCATACATTTTCAGTCGTTTAAGTTTTTTTCTTGCATTTGTGTATTTGTTCTATTTTTCTTATATTTTGGATCATTCATTGTTGGTCGACTAAAAGAGAATCTGGATCTTTATTTGGATAAAAATAATGTGGCAACGAAAACAAGGAAAATGATTAGCTAGATAATGATCTCCACTTGTGCCTTTCTCGCTGCAATAATCCTCTGGGTGGATCGGTAGTACACGGCATACACAACTACTTGGACTAATCCAAGTACTGTGCATAACACAAAGGAAACCTGAAATACAAAGACATTAAATTTAGTTATTGAAAAATCAACTTATGTGTTTTTCTTTTCCAGAATTCGGTATATTTAATGTACGTGAATAAATAATTTAAAGGAACAAAAAACTTACAAACATTATTGGATCAACAGGTAGTAGGAGAGACCACGGTCCAAACGGTTCGTTTGCAAACATTGCAAACGCTACCAAGAAGGACATACTGTATGCTCGACGCTCTTAGTTCTTACAACTTTCATCTGCATTTTATCATTATTTACTTGGTAAAAACTTTGTGTTTTCTTTTTTCGTAGTAGTAATGCAGGGCCATTTATTAATCTTTGATATTAAAAATATAAACTTACCAATACAGATACCGGAGAAATATACATGATTATATTGCAGACGCAACAAGCATCCCCAATCACAAATCACCGTAGTCCCATAGAATCGACTTAACTCAAAGTCAACGTGGCAAATGCAGCTACGAATACGACCTCGACTAGAAAAACAATGATAATCACTAGTCGTTGCTTAGACTGCTCGCAAAATCTAAAATATGCGACCAAATAGATCTCATGATCCCGACTCCAATCCCATTAGTGATGAGAATAGGAGTCCCAAGAAAAAAAAGACTTGCAAACATAATTGGATCCACCGGTAGTAGGTAGACGACGGTCCAAACGATTGCGTTTGCAATGTTTACATACTTAGCTTGTTCTTTGTTCCACCTCGTAAAAATAATTTAAGAAAATTGTTTCTTTAATCAAATAACAAGTTCTCTCGAAGATCACGAAACAGAGAAAGAAAAGTTGCAATCTTTATAGAAATGAAAAAAATAGCATGTTTGAAACCTATCTTTTAGATAATGAATTATAAATATATAGATGCATGCATAACATTATTATGCATAACATAAGCAAAACATATACATAACATAAGCAAAACATATGCAAAAATCTTTTCTGTGTGCATATCACATCACCTAGAATTTGTTTAGCAATGTAAAAATCGTAAAATTTATTCATTATTTAGAAAAAGTAAGAAAAAGAAGGAGAGAAAGAGGTAAAAAGGATAGATAAGAAAGCAGAATTATATGCCTTAAATTAGAAATAAGAAATATGGGTTATGGCTATAAGAGTATTTACTATACATAAAACGTTAATCCAAACAAAGAATTCGGAGAGCATCCATATCTTTATTACCGCCGTTTGCAGCATTCGTTAATGCGATTGTATGGAGTCTTTATTCTTTGCTCTCTCTCGACCCGTTTATGGCCGTATAGTGGCTTATTTTCCTATCTTGTTTCTTCATAATAATATCTATTTTTAGTGACAGTGGTCTTAATTTGAATTTGAATTTGAATTTGTATTTTTTTTAGACTGATTCAGTTGATATTATATGCTGTATTCTATCAATCAACTTGAAGGATTATAGAGGAGAAGCAGCAGAAACTGGCCGGTGGCAATACTGATATGGCTTTGTCTGTTGTGATCGGCCACACTGAACCGCGAAAGTCATCCATACACTAGACCAGTTATACCAAAGAGTTTTTCCAATATAATTAAAAAAAATGGTTATCATGTAACAAAGGCTTTTCAATAAATGACCACAGGTCTGTGTGGGTGTTTTTACTATGGTATATATATTGCTTGTTGTTTAAAAAATATTGTGATTTGATATGTTTGAACTTTGAAGTAACACGTCCACCTAATAAGAGGTTTACATACATGTGTTTTGGAAAAAGAACATGTCACTTTTATACAATTGTCTTTCATATTAACAACGGACGGCTACGATGGAACCATCACTCGTGGAAATCGCGATCCTACAATTACATTTAGCCGCGATTCGGTGAGTAAACAAACCGAGAACCCGAACCCGACCCGCCATCTCCAGCTTCGACTCTATTTCCACTGTTGACCCAGACCGATCCTCCGCTAAACCGGATCCAAAATTCTGAAATTCGGCGGCGGAGATTTGAGAATTAGAGGCGACCGCGAGAGGAAACGACTGAACGGAGAAAGTAGCTAACATACGCTTGGTTCGACCCGATTGGATCTCACCAGCGGGTACGAAGGTATAACCGATCCGGTTTCCATAGTAAAAGAGCTGGATTATGTTGTTGTAGTGTGAGAAAGCGGCGCGGTTAGGGTTTCTAACGGCGGAGAATTGAGAGAAAGTGAAACTAACGGAGCTATTGGCGACGGAAAATGACGGGACCTTGACGTTAGTGACGGAGATCTCGGGATCTCTTGGTCTGAAGACGGTGAGATAAACGGTAAGGGCGGCGATGATTAGGAAGACTATGAAGAGTGTGGCGACGGCGCATGAAGCGAGGTTTGAACAAGACTTGGACATTGTTTGGAGGAGATGTGTTTGGTAGCGATGATTTAAGTGTTCGCCGGTTGGGATTAGAGTTTATTTAAGTTTTGCTTAAAGCAAAAGGATGTTTGTTTGGACATAGTGATAACGTTAGGACGGAGTTTGGACTGAAGTGTGTGTGATGTAGCAAAGTGGCCGACTAAAAAAATAAAATAGTGTAAAGAGAAAATAGCCCCGACCCGGAACGAGAACCGGATTTATGGAGTCGGATCGGATAAAAATCGAAGGAAGCGAAATGTTGCAGTATAGTGTGGAGCTAACTGAAGAGAAACCCCTGAGTCCCTGACTGATTAAAACCCCCGATTGCTCTTTTTCTCTTATCCAGAACCAAAGGCAAATTCGAATTTCTCAATGCAATTCTATCTTACAAGGATCAGTTTGTGAAGCTTTTTTTTTTTCTGTTTTTTCTTCTGTACATGGTTATCGTCGAAAAATGGCGTCTATAGACACTGTCTTCTCCCTCGGTACTCGTTTCCCCACAAGTGTTCCCAAGAAATCGATCTGGAAACATGCGATTACATCGAGTTTCACCGCGAGAACTCGATACAGAGCTCCAATTCTGCGTCGTTCGTTTACAGTTTTGTGCGAATTGAAATCTGGGAAATCTAGCTCCAACGAGACGAACAAACCCCAAACTGCTGATGATTTCGTAACTAGGGTTTTGAAAGAGAATCCCAGTCAGGTGGAACCTCGTTATCGAGTTGGTGATAAGCTGTATAATCTCAAGGAAAGAGAGGATTTAAGCAAAGGCGCCAATGCGACTGGTGCGTTTGAATTTGTCAAAAGGAAGTTTGATTCGAAGACGAAAACGAAAACGGAGACAGAGAAAAGCGAAGAGTCTGTTTATTTGAGTGATATTTTGAGGGAATACAAGGGAAAGCTTTATGTTCCCGAGCAAGTTTTTGGTCCAGAGTTATCTGAGGAAGAGGAGTTTGAGAAAAGTGTGAGAGATTTACCAAATTTGAGCTTGGAAGATTTTAGAAAAGCTATGGAGAATGATAAAGTTAAGCTGCTGACTTCCAAGGAAGCTTCTGGTGTTCCTTACACTAGCGGCTATAGAGATTTTATTGTTGATCTTAAGGAGATTCCTGGAGTCAAGAGCTTACAGAGAACCAAATGGTGAGTTACTAGGATTAAGAAGAAGAGAAATGGTTTTAGTTTTGATGTATGGAGAATATTGCTTTGATTTCTTATTGATATGTTTCTTGATAGGTCAATGAAGCTTGAAGTTGGAGAAGCTCAAGCTCTTCTGAAAGAATACCCCGGTCCGCAGTACGAAATAGAAAGGCACATGACGGTGATCACTCTTTTGTTCATTTGGTTCTTATCTACTAGATTATGATCTATTGTCCTCGATATTTTTGTACTGTGTTGTTTAGGAATTTTTCAGAATCTATTCACTAGGTTGACAAACAGATGTACTGTGTTCCGTTATTGACTTAGTTTGCTATTAAATGTTTATTTGCAGTCTTGGGTTGGAAAAGTGACGGACTTCCCGAACCCAGTTGCGTCTTCTATTTCAAGTAGAGTGATGGTTGAGCTGGGAATGGTGACAGCAGTTATTGCTGCAGCGGCAGTTGTTGTTGGAGGATTCTTAGCCTCAGCTGTTTTTGCAGTCACTAGTTTCGCCTTTGTCACTACAGTTTATGTTGTTTGGCCTATAGCAAAGCCATTCCTCAAACTTTTTGTTGGCATCGTCCTTGGTGTACTTGAAAAATCATGGGATTACCTTGTTGATTTTCTCGGCGATGGGGGGATCTTCTCAAGGATTTCTGATTTCTATACATTTGGTGGTGTATCATCAAGCTTGGAGATGCTCAAACCAATCCTACTTGTTGTCATGACTATGGTTCTTCTTGTTCGTTTCACACTGTCACGGAGACCAAAGAACTTTAGGAAATGGGTATAATACGTCAATCATTTAAAACGTTTTTGCAGAATTTATTGATATTGCTTGTGCCCTCAATCACTTAAAAACTTTTTTGCAGGATTTATGGCAAGGGATTGCTTTTTCTCAGTCTAAAGCAGAAGCTCGTGTTGATGTAAGTTTCTAAACAGTACTCGTATATGCACGTTTCTTCAGTCCTAATACCTTTTTGCTGTTTATGACTTCGAATGATTATGTTACAGGGTTCAACCGGTGTTAAATTCGCTGATGTTGCAGGGATTGATGAAGCAGTTGATGAACTTCAAGAGGTATTGTTTGTTATGCTTGCGTCAGTTCTTCCCTCAGTATGGATCTCTTGTTTTATTATGTGCATTCTTGGTTAGCTTAGCCTCTAAAACCCTTACCATTACGGCTTTACTGCTACACCATCAAGTATAAAGTTGCATGACATTATTTCTTTGAAATCTTGGAAGCTCGAGAGAAACCGGGAACTGAAGTTTACTAACCTCTTATTGTCATTACGATGGTCTCATTTTCTTGATAGCTTGTAAAGTACTTGAAGAATCCCGACCTGTTTGATAAAATGGGAATTAAACCTCCTCATGGAGTTCTTCTGGAGGGTCCCCCAGGTTGTGGCAAGGTATGTGTAACCATCTATGTTAATACCAATCTAAAAGATTCGTTGTTGTAAGTAGTGGATAGTATTTTTGTAGCAGCATTATACTTTAGAATACTTAGAAATACTATAGATAACCAAACTTGCAGCAGTGCCTGTTGAGATCAGTTCTACTGAGGTTGATGGTTTGATTTCAGAGTCTGCTGAGTGTTTGGCAATTTCATAATTTGGCGATGATACTAGAACAATCTATTATCACTACTGCTTCAACTTAAACCTGAAATTTGTCTAAAAAAGTTCTGAATTTTAGATGCTATGAACAAGTTACTATTGATTCCCTATCTCGTTTGAGATCTTATATAACGTCAAATTGTCAATCTTTTATACAATTGTCAATGATCAGTTAACTTCTTATCGTAGACGAGTTTTTTCTACAAGGATCTTTTGGCAACCCAGTTGCTAGCAATATAGAGCCTAACCTAACCTGATTTTCTTTCGTAGACACTCGTTGCAAAAGCCATTGCGGGGGAAGCTGGTGTGCCGTTCTACCAAATGGCAGGATCTGAATTCGTCGAAGTTCTTGTTGGAGTTGGTTCAGCGCGTATCAGAGATCTGTTTAAAAGAGCTAAGGTGAGTGGACAGATGTGTATTTTTGTATTTCTGTGCAGTGATGTTCAATAGTATTTGATGATGTCCATGTCCTTGTGCAGGTAAACAAGCCATCCGTTATTTTCATCGATGAAATTGATGCCTTAGCAACTCGGTATACACAATTTTCATCTTATAGTTACTGCCTTCTCTGCGTAATTTTTCAACATTAGACAGAGTTTAACTGATATCTATCTTTATATTTTGGTATTCTTTAGACGTCAAGGGATTTTCAAGGAAAACTCAGACCAGTTGTACAATGCAGCCACTCAAGAAAGAGAAACCACATTGAACCAGCTACTCATCGAGCTTGATGGTTTTGACACCGGCAAAGGTGTGATTTTCTTGGGTGCCACCAATCGCAGAGATTTGTTAGACCCTGCTCTTCTACGTCCAGGTCGATTTGATCGAAAGGTTTGTGATTAACAAAATCCAGACACAAAATTTTCTGCGCTCAGATTTTTGATAGCAGTTATTTCGAATTAATAATCTACCAAACCAAAAGCGCAAGCCATTTGATTTTATCTTGCATTAATTTAGTAGACTTACGAGTTTCTGAAAGACCGTCAAAAATAATCTTTTTATCAGATAAGAGTCCGTCCCCCTAATGCGAAAGGGAGATTGGATATTCTGAAGATTCATGCCAGCAAAGTCAAGATGTCGGATTCTGTGGACTTATCATCTTATGCAAGTAACTTACCAGGTATAAAATCTACAATTGATGTTGCAAAGAATATTTGTTTTGCTCATGGTGTTGTGTTTGAACGTATTGGTCTGTATAAAACTTTGATTAAAGTAATGGTTTATGTCGAATACAGGATGGTCCGGAGCAAAACTGGCACAGTTGGTTCAAGAGGCTGCTCTTGTAGCTGTCAGGAAAACGCATAGCTCGATTCTTCAATCGGACATGGACGACGCTGTGGACCGACTCACTGTTGGTCCGACACGTATTGGTTTAGAATTGGGACATCAAGGTCAGTGTCGTAGAGCCACAACTGAAGTCGGAGTGGCAATCACTTCACATCTTTTATTGCGGTATGAGAATGCAAAGATTGAGCGGTGCGATCGCGTTTCTATCATCCCTCGTGGTCAGACACTGTCTCAAGTTGTCTTTCATCGGCTTGATGATGAATCCTACATGTTTGGTCGTCTTCCACAACTGCTTCATCGTCTTCAGGTGCTTCTTTTTTCTGGATTAAAATCTCTTCTTTCATTTCTTTAATATTAGACCTAACCATTCAGTTTTTCGGTTCAGTTTGGTCTATATGCCAATCTCTATTCGATGTTATGAGTTTATACTTCTCCAAATTTATATTTCAGGTCTTTCTCGGAGGAAGAGCTGCAGAAGAAGTGATCTACGGCTCAGATACTTCAAAGGCATCAGTTGATTATCTCTCTGACGCCTCATGGCTAGCTCGTAAAATCTTAACCATGTGAGGCCCAACACATTCCCTTTTAAAGTAAAAGCTTCTTCTCGCTCAAGACTTATATATTTGGATTTCAGATGGAACCTGGAGAACCCGATGGTGATACATGGCGAACCACCACCATGGAGAAAGAGGGCTCAGTTCGTGGGACCACGCTTAGACTTCGAAGGATCTCTCTATGACGACTATGACCTCGTCGAGCCGCCGATTAACTTCAACATGGATGATGAAGTCGCAGAGAGAAGCGAAGAACTCATTAGCCAGATGTATAACAAAACAGTTTCTCTCCTCACGCAAAACCAAACCGCTCTCCTCAAAACCGTTAAGGTAATTTCGAACATTTAACCGCAATTGCAGTTTTCTTTGTTTGTTCATACTTTTATTTTCGTATGTGTAGGTTCTATTGAACCAGAAAGAGATAAGTGGAGAAGCAATAGATTTCATACTCGACCATTACCCACCTCAGACTCCGTTAAATTCACTCTTACAAGAGCAAAATCCGGGAAGTCTTCCTTTTGTCCCTGAACATCTCCGGCGTGAATCCGGCGACTTTGTCCTTGTTTATCACTCTACCGACGTCAATGCTCAAGCATGATGCCGGCGTCCCAGAGACATCAAATCACTAAGCTTAGGTTTATTCTTTGTCCGGCATTGTAACTTTGACTCAATTTCTGAAGTTTCGGACTGTTTATTTTACAGAAATAAAGAAAAAACTTGGGTCAAAGACACTTCTTGATTTGCTAACAATAGATTAGACAAACTTAAGTATTAATTTAGAAACAAAAAAAAAGTTTTTAATTCCGAAGAAATCGGTCTCTCGACGGACAAAAGTTTGGTTCTTGTTTCAAACCACACAACACAGCAACAACACGAGTCATGCACTCTCTCTCTTACCCTTTTTCTTCATCATCTGCTTCTTTTGCTCTTGTTCCTCGTGCCCTCTTCTCCGTTTATCCAGATACAAGTCATAGTCATACAACCAACGATCTCTCTCGACTCTCTCCATCTGTGCATGTACACACACGAGTATAGATCTCTGCACTGCTTACAGAAATGACGAGGCGCGGAATGTGTTCGACGATATGCCTGAATGAAAAATTGCAAAGGTTTCGAATTGTCAGACTCTCCGACAAGGCTGATAATTTTAATTTAAGAAGCGGCAGCTTCTTCGAACGGTCTATCTCTCTCGTTCTCTTTCTTTGGTGCTTCCTCTTCCTCGTCTACTCCAAGCTTGGCCAAAGCCATGATTATGGAAATGGAGGTAAATGTCTTCCTATGTTTCCTCCGTTATACATGTTTCAGATGGTAATTAAGGAAAGTTTGATCAATGAAATTATAATTATCTTTGAAAATGGTAAAGATGGGAAACAAATTTAGGATCTTTAAACTTGGGTATATTCCAGAGATTGCTATACTGAAGAAATTCATTTACTTTGTAGATAGAATTGGGAATTACACTGATGGATCAGTCTCAAAGACCCTGAATTCCACGAGTTCTGTTGTCCCTCAGGCCACTGGGAAAGAAAACAACTATTGTCTTCTGAGAAACGGTCAGTTACAAGATGTGTATGAGCATGTTCTTGGGAACAACGCTTTGTTGGTCTGCAAAATTGTGTTGCCAGAACGAAGAATAAGCAAGAAGACTCTGGAAGCTCGTGATCCCAGATATGTCAATCTTGAAGATAAAAGTCTCAAAGTAAATGGCTCTGGCATGCCATCACAGCTTGTGAATAATGTGACTCATTATAGGTTAGAACCAGATGGAACTGGGTATAACTACGCTTCTGCTATGAAGGGCGCAAAGGTAGTTGACCACAACAAGGAAGCGAAAGGAACTAGCAATGTACTTGGCAAAGATCATGATAAGTATCTAAGAAATCCATGTTCAGTGTCAGATAAGTATGTTGTGATTGAACTCGCGGAGGAGACCCTGGTTGATACTGTGAGAATTGCGAATTTGGAGCACTACTCGTCGAATCCCAAAGAGTTTAATATGTCAGGGAGTCTAAGTTACCCAACTGATATGTGGACACCTGCTGGGAGTTTCGTGGCTGCAAACGTTAAGCAGATCCAGACATTCCGGCTCCCGGAACCTAAATGGTTGAGGTATCTGAAACTGAACTTAATAAGTCACTACGGGTCTGAGTTTTACTGTACTCTGAGTGTTGTGGAGGTCTTTGGAATTGATGCTCTTGAGCAAATGCTTGAAGATCTGTTTGTTCCATCAGAGACTCTTCCCAGTAAACCAGCTATGCTGGAACTAAAAACCGCAGATGAAAAAGAAGTTGGGGAAGTGAAAAGCAATAGGACAGATCAGATTGGCAAGGAAACGGAAGCGCAGAAGAAGAAAGATGATGTTGTGAAGACGATTAATATCATAGGAGACAAAAAATATGAAGTCAGGGAGAAGCATAACGTTTTGAAAGTGATGATGCAGAAAGTGAAATTGATTGAGATGAATTTATCGCTTCTTGAGGATTCTGTAAAGGAAATGAATGAGAAGCAACCAGAAGTTAGCTTGGAGATGAAGAAAACCCTAGTACTTGTGGAGAAAAGCAAAGCTGACATCAGAGAGATCACAGAATGGAAAGGGAAAGTGGTAAATTCAATAATTTCTTATGATTTTAAGTCTTTGTCGGATGAAAAACTACTAATGAATTTGATATTCTTTGAGCAGGAAAAAGAACTTAGAGACCTAGAGCTATGGAAAACTCTTGTAGCTTCCCGTGTAGAATCATTGGCCAGAGGAAACACTGCATTGAGGTCAGTACTGTTTTGTATTCCTAAATAGAGAAAATCGAAGATTTGAAATCTACAGCAGAGAGCTATCCCATGACTTGAGACGTATTCTTAGTTGACCCCATTTTTCTTCTTGTTTGTTGATATCAGATTGGATGTAGAGAAGATTGTGAAAGAACAAGCAAATCTAGAGAGCAAAGAGCTGGGAGTTCTATTGATAAGCCTCTTTTTCGTGGTCTTAGCAACGATTCGGTTAGTCTCAACACGACTCTGGGCGTTTCTGGGGATGTCTATTACGGATAAAGCTCGTTCACTATGGCCGGATAGTGGCTGGGTCATGATACTGCTAAGCAGCAGCATCATGATTTTCATTACTTTGCTCTCGTAGTTATCATACGTAGGAGTTAGGCTTAGTTTTTTTTTAACAGTGCCTTGCTATTAAAGTTTGTAACCTTAGGATTAGGAATAGAAAGAATTTTCATTGATAATATTGGACCCCAAAAAATCAGTGACCACTGATTTTCTTTAGAGCTTAAGACTTTAGAATTCAGAGATTAACCATGTGTTTTGATGTTACTATTGCCCCATGCTTTAAAACCAAATAAATTGAAAACCCAAAATAACTAAACCGAATTGAATTAAACGAGTTTCTTCCCAATTTCCAAGAGACGCAACGGTTTTGTTTTTTTAGGGTTAATTTTAAGGAACCACAAAACAAAACAATCGCCTTGATCTTTTCCCTCTTGTCACCACTCTCGGCGATTCCACCTATAATCGGAGCACAAGAAAGCTTTAGGAAATGGTGGTGTCGAAGTTAGGTAATGATAAGCCGGGAATGTCGATGATCGAACAATTGTTTCCGGAGGTTACAAGCTACGCGCTCAGATACTTGGATTACTCAAGTCTCTGCCAGTTATCAATGACGAGTTCCTCCATGAGAAAGGCCGCTAATGACGATGACCTCTGGAGATCCCTTTATTACCAAAGTAATTTTGGACTCTCTTTAACCATTCTGTGTTGTTATTGTAACTTTTATGGAATAATGTGCTTCTTAGGTTTGAAGAAATGAGATTTATTATATTCTTGCCTCTCAGATTTTTTAGAATTCATTGTTTGCCTTAATTAAAGACTGGTACTTGCTGATCCAACTGTTTATCTTCATTTAAATCTCTACTTAAGGAATTTACAGAGGAAACAAATGGTGGAACCCCGGTTAATGGGTGGAAGGCTTACTATGCAGTCACTAAACAGTCCGAATTTCCTAATCTTAAGACAAAGTTATGTTTCAGATGCACAAGTCGAATTGCAAGTTGATAGTGAAACACAAAAGTTGTGGACTCGTATAATGGCGTTTTTGTAACTTGCACCAGATTCGTGATGATGGTATTCCAAATCCAAGATTTGGGAGCCTCCGAATCCGACGGACTCAAAAAGAGTACTCAAAGATCCTACGGCTAGGGCCTAGGGGAATCTCAGAGAGTAAGTCAAAGAAAGTCAACATCATTCGGAGGAAACGTGAGGAACAAAGATCCCACTTATCCCGGAACATTTGTATTGTAGCCGGTCCAATAATCAAATCCTACGAAAACATTATTAGTTTACTAAATATAATAATATGAACATCAGTGACCAATAACATTTCCATGTATAAAAGCTTATTTATCCGGCTGCTTGAATCAATTAAAAATATGTGGTCCCTTGCTTTTCAACTTACAAATACATTTTATAAGTTCATAATTCAATTTAATTTGTTATAAAAATATTTAATTATTTTAAAATTATAAATATGTTAGATAAAAAGAATATGAAAAAGTGTCCCTCTCATATTCGGACTGTTTTAATTGTTTAACACTCAAACTAATATATTCCCGTGGAAAATGTCTTAAATTGAAGTCTAAACGGATAGGCTTTCTTTTATTTTTAGCATTTTCCAAATTTTATATATTTCTGTTTTAAGATGTTTAAATACTCTTAACCAACATCAATGAGAAATCTGGTACCTCATGTGATGAATTATTTTTACTAGTGCTGCGATAATATTCCAAAATTTATCCCAAACTTTCTTAAGTGATTATACTCTTGATCCAGTTTTCTGTTATTCAAAAACCCCTAGCTATACTCCGATCCTTCTTAGATCAATAATAAAACTTTAAACCGTGAAACCATAAATTCCTGCTAATGTATCGATGTTCTCTAGTTGACATCAACTTCTCCTCAAAGTGGTAAGATTTGAAATTGACACTTTTCCTAAAGTTGAAAAGTTATTCTACTTTGAGTTATTTTTGAAAAAACAATTCTATAAAGATATATATATATGTGTTATCCATCTCATAGTAGTTATGAATCTGGTCTAAATTGCGATTAGTGTATTACTTTATATAATAAATCCACTCGTTAATATAAATGAATTTGTGTAGATATATAGGCCACGAAACATTCAAATGGTTGGTCTCCACATGGGTGCGCAAACTCTATCTTTGTCCAGCCAATCATAGTACTATATCTTTTGCAATTTTCTCTCTTTATTCCTTTTATTAATTTTACTTGTAAATTATTATGTATTAAGTTTTAAGATCTTCATTCAAAAATTGTTTAATATGTACAGTTAACGTGTGCAGAAAAACAAATGTAGTTAATCTAAGCTATCGTTAGAGTGTTGTTGTTCACACGTATAGAAACTTATTAAATTATTTGTTTATTGATCTTATTCCGGTTTTATATACGCATCTTAAGAATTCTCATTTACTAATTACTAAACATTTCACGACAAGGTGACTTGTTCAACTAAATGATCAAAATCACAATTAAGAATCATTTTAATTATTTAATTATTGCCAAATGTGACCCTTGACTCTTAAGAGGGGGTTAAGGGACACTTTGATTAGAAGTATAAGTTAAATAAACACACACACGAGCATATACATAGTATAAAGTATAGTCCATTATGTAAAAAACGACAGGTGTCAAGCAAAAAAGCTATGTATACAAAATTCTATTTCCAACCATTAAGGCGCAATAATGAGCAGTGTAAAGATAATCATTCACACAAATCCTTACTTTGATTGGCAATTTCTCTCCTTTTTGTACTATTTTATGATTTATAATAGAACTCTAAAAGCCAAGTTATAAAATTTTAAACCCTAATTATCCTTCCCACTATCGTCCTCTGTGGGTTTTATTTGTAGATGTACGTACGAAGCCTACTATCATTCCTTTTCCGTAGCCACTTAAAGGACATTTATAATTCATTTTATAGATTTCGAACTATACAAAGATTTCAGAGTTTTTGAATGATAATAATAATAATTAAATATATAGCGATCATGGTTAAATAAGAAGATAAATCAGGAAAGAACTCATTTGGAGAAACTCTCAATTTCTAGCTCTCAGAGTTATTTGAAACATGCACAAATGCCACACCAATACATTAGGTTTAGCAAGTCTGGTATCATGTTTTCCTCTCTGCGTGTAGAAAGCGTGAATTTATAGCTTATGATAATATGATCTATACCTAGCTTAAATCAAAGCCAGTATCTGATATATAGTATCGACCTAAAATTTATTGTGTACTGATCACCAGTCCTCGATATGTAAAATAGTTAATTCAAGATGCAAAGATATCGAACACATCAACTAACAAACTATAGCAATATTTAAGATGAAAGTCTTTTTCTGAATGTATTCTTCTTTCTTTTACTCTTTTTTTTTTTTTAAACAATGAACATATTCATTGTTTCTAGGTTTTTTCTGTCAAATATGACGTATTAATATATATTTTTTCATTGAGGTGAAGACAGGGAATATGCCATCAAATTAAAGAAGCAGGGAATCAATAACAATTATTTTAATAGAAAATTCATTGACTTGTTATCAAGAAATTAACTTCTAGTCCATGAATCACCAAGTCAATGCTCATGCCTCATGATTTTGAAGGGGAAGAAAAACAAATACACACAATAGTTGTACATTTCATTTCCCCTCAAAATTAGCAAATTAAATCAAACAATACCAAAAAAAAAAAAAACCAATAGTGACTTCGTCAAGGCTTGAAGTACACCGTATAGGCGTATACTCTAGAGTATACCGATTGACTATAGGGTTAAAATCAAAGCACATACAAAGATAGATGAACAAATGAATATTCTCCTTAGAAATAGTACCACTAAATTGACTAGAATTCAGTAAATGAATTGAACTAATTTGAGACCAAACATGTGGGAAAGATATATATGGAAATGAATGGTTTTTAATGGACCGACGAAAATTATATATTACAGTTGCTTACTAATATTGAGATTCGTTTGAACAAGCTCTGGGGAATATACGGGGACAAGATACTAAGTTATTACTAAAAAATACACATTAAATATGTCTAAAATGAGAAAGAGAAAATCCGGAGATGGTGGTGGTGGGTTTGAAGGCATCTCTGCTTATTTATATCCTTAAAGGGAACAGAAGTTGTCAAAAATACGTCATACGTGACGTTTTCTGGCAATATTAAACATAATAAAATTAGAACTAAACGATAAAGTAATTAGTTTATTGGTATATAAAAATATGGACTATGGAGTATAGGCTTTTCGTCTTCATATTTTGCTTGTTATTTATTAAAAAGTTTGGCATTATTCATTGCTACAGCAAATATACGATTTGTTGTAAGAATTTAAATTTTTTGATAATCTAAAGAGCACTAACTTTATTATACGAAATCCATGCATTACAATACTAGAGATGGTGTAAATGTTTGGGAAATAAAAAATTTTTCTTTCAAATATTGTACTATTGAAGTAAACATTTGTGCGAGTTTCAATATATAACACTGAAATTAAATAGTTAGACAATTTTTTTATAAGACAAATTAAAAAATAGTAGAAAGGAGATGTAGAAAAAAAAAGTAATTATGCATTTTATGGGTTTGATTGTAACAAAATGATATCAACACAAATTTAATATGTCACATGTCCTGGTTAAAATGGAGAAAATCTATTTGAAATCATTTTGGTGATTCTTTTTAGCTTGTCATATTTTTTGACTACTGTGTGAGCTATTTCTAACTTGAGTATCGAAAGATTTTTAAAAATTACTCTGAACGATCTTAACCGTTTTTCATAGCATATGTTCATCTACTAATTAACGATCGATTTTTACCGATTCAAAAGAATTTACGCATAATAGTCTCGACCAAAATTCTACACTAACAATAAATAAAAATAATTGGTTTTATTTTAATATATTATGTAGTTTTAACCGGATAATATTTGTTTGGCAACAATCAATCACTATGTAGCATAATTAAAATAAATTTCCATGTTTTTAGTTAGTACTTATATATTATATGGAGTTGGAAAAAGGTTTTTGCAAAGGTGAAAAACAAAATCAGAGATGGAAACACTACCCACATGCTAATGTTGGTCCCACATTTTAGTGGCAGAAATGTAATTTACACAAAAACCGAGGTCAAACCTGATTCCGTGATTCGTTTCTAATCCAAGTCTAGCCAGTCCTGTTGCCTGCGTTGGAGCAAACGGCGAAAGTGACGGAATCTTAACGATGACGGGTGTTACTGTTAATGTCTCCTGGTCGACTTTCGTTACCGTAACGGCAACGACACGCGCCTTCACGCTCCGTACCAGCCTTAAAAGCAAACACATTTATGATTATTTATCCAGTAACTAATAATTCCTTCATCCACTAACGCAATTGCATTTAATTGTTTAGTACGTATTACAAAAGTAAAAACTAAAAAGCAACGTATAATTATACCTTATAAAGTCTCTTTCAATTAGTAGAGTGTAAAATAAACAAAAATTTCTGTATTAAATCTTTTATATAAGGGTGTTTAACTGTTTATCATGGAAACGTTAATTATTTCATTTTAGCTAGTATCAAATTGTAAAAACATTTTCAACCAAATTATTTTTGTTAAAACATAAAACCACATAATTTGAAATTAAGTTTTTTTTTTTGTAAAACTTTAGATTGACATTTACTTTTGTTTTCAATTGTACAAGAATAAAAAAAAAAAGCGAAGATCGTCGTCACCAAACTTTTAAGAAAATGAAAACGTGTTGCATATATCTACTTATGTTTTGTTTCAATTAAAATGAAAATTAGTAAGAATATAAATTGTTGTGTTAAATATTTCTATCACCACTTACATTTTATACACGAAAAAAATTCTTAGTTAAAAATTATGTTTATAATTGGTTATTCAATTCCGAGAAAACAAAGCTATTACCGTAAAATATGTTACTGTCTGATAATTAGAAAGTAGTAGTAGTAATGAAATTACAGTTGGTTTACAATAAATATGTGTATATATACAAAAAGGTGTCCAAATAAATAATAATTAAAATAACAAATGTATTTTTTTTAGGTAGAGAGAGAAAGAGTGAAACGGAGATAAAAGCAAACGGAGGTGAGAGTGGCGTTAACATAAAGACGCGAGAGCGAGTGAGAGAGAGATTCTTTTGTGTAACGGCGTTGTTTGACAATTATAGTCACGAAGAGAGAGACAAAGTTTAGTCTTTTTCTTTGGGAGACGACGATAGAAGCGGTTTTGCGGGAGAGAGGTTACAGTTACAGAGAGCAAGATTGGGTGATTTCGTTGCGTTACGATTCAGATCTCTCTCGATCGTTACTTACATGCATTAGAGAAGAAGAAAACGTGGAGACGGAATCCAAGGGGCTCGTGTCCTCCTTCTTCTTCTTCAATTTAATTCCTCACTTTATTACGCAGCCATCTTTTATTTCGCACTGTTTCAGCTTCCGTTGTTCATCGGAGAGAGAAAGAGTGTGTGTGTTTGTTTTGGTGTGTGATTGACAGAGAGAATCAATCAGCTTTGGATTGAGAGCTGATGGGCGGAGGTGAGAAATTGACCTGAGTTTGTTTTTTTTTTTTTTCAATATTTCCGGCGACATTAATTAACAGGTGTACATTGCGAAAAGAGCAGGTGAATATTTGTACGATGAGTTATGGAAATTATGCGCGGGACCTCTGGTTGATGTTCCTCAAGCTCAAGAAAGAGTTTATTATTTTCCTCAAGGTCACATGGAACAAGTAAGCTTTTTTATTTATTTATAGATTGGTGAAAATTTGGCTTTGGTTTTGAGAAATTTTGTTTTATGAAACATTTCTATTTTTGGTGGCAATTTTTTTCAGCTCGAAGCGTCAACGCAACAGGATTTAAATACGATGGAGCCACTTTTTGCTCTTCCTCCTAAGATTCTCTGCAATGTTATGAACGTTAGTCTTCAGGTATAGTACTTTCTCGATTTAGCAAAAGTTTCTCTGTAGAATCTTTGAAGTTAGAAATGATTAGGCAAAATATATGAGTGGCTATCTTGAAGTTCTGGATCTTCATTTATGTTGTTGTCAGGCGGAAAAAGATACGGATGAGGTGTATGCCCAGATTACTTTGATCCCTGTAGGAACTGTGAGTGACACAATTCAGTTTATTGCTAAGTTGTTGCAACTTTCTTAAATTCAATGTTTAGTGGATCTCTAAATGTTTACCGGATTTGTAAACTGCAGGAAGTTGATGAACCTACGAGTCCTGATCCCTCTCCTCCTGAGTTGCAAAGGCCAAAGGTTCACTCTTTCAGCAAGGTTTTGACAGCTTCTGATACAAGCACGCATGGTGGCTTTTCTGTTCTAAGGAAACATGCCACCGAATGCCTTCCTCCGCTGGTATTAGAGAACAACCCTTACAATTTGTGCTTTGTTTCCTACTACCAAAATGGTGGCTTTACATTTGAATATGGATTTCAGCCTTCGACATGAATATCATTTGTTTGTTATCCTTTAGGATATGACCCAGCAAACCCCGACCCAGGAGTTAGTAGCCGAAGATGTCCACGGTTATCAGTGGAAATTCAAGCATATTTTTAGAGGTGATGAATCCATTTCCTTTTTACTCAGATCAAACTTCATGTATCCATGATACTTTTATTAATAAGATTTGCTGATCTTGTTTTACCTGAAAATCTATTAAATAGGCCAACCACGGAGGCATCTATTGACGACAGGGTGGAGCACCTTTGTTACATCAAAGAGATTGGTTGCTGGGGACACCTTTGTATTCCTGAGGTATACTTCACGCTGCTACCTTGTTTTGTTTCTTTTGATGGTCCATTGGTAGATTTTGAACTTCCAAACTATATTATATTGTCCAGAGGGGAGAACGGAGAGTTGCGGGTTGGAGTCAGACGTGCTAATCGTCAACAGAGCAGTATGCCTTCATCCGTCATATCAAGTCATAGCATGCATCTGGGAGTGCTTGCTACTGCACGCCATGCTACTCAAACCAAAACTATGTTCATCGTATACTATAAACCAAGGTATACAGAGTTATTACTCTACGGGATACCTGAGATGACTTTTTTGAAACTCTGCTTATTGAATTACTCTCGGTTTGAGCAGGACAAGCCAATTCATCATTAGCTTGAACAAATATCTAGAAGCCATGAGCAATAAGTTCTCTGTAGGGATGAGATTTAAGATGCGGTTTGAGGGAGAGGATTCCCCTGAAAGAAGGTAGTCTGATTTTTTTCTTTGCTTTGTTCCCTGCACTTTGTCCCCAAAGCTGTTCTCTAACATATTTGTTTCCTTACAAAGATATTCTGGCACGGTTATCGGTGTTAAAGACTGCTCTCCTCACTGGAAAGACTCGAAATGGCGATGCTTAGAAGTAAAATTCCTTTCACTTTTACATGTTTTTTAATGTTTATTAAGTGTGAAAACTCAATCAGTTTGCTACATGTTTGTGTAGGTTCATTGGGATGAGCCTGCATCGATTTCAAGACCCAATAAGGTTTCACCATGGGAAATTGAGCCGTTTGTAACTTCAGAAAACGTTCCCAAATCAGTTATGCTAAAGAACAAAAGGCCCCGTCAAGTTAGTGAAGTATCTGCACTTGGTGAGGCACAATCTAATCGCCACTGATCCTTGCTAGTACATGTTTCCTTGCTAAATATCTCACTCACACGTTATGTCTTTAGATGTAGGCATAACAGCTTCAAACCTTTGGAGCTCTGTATTGACGCAATCCCATGAGTTTGCACAGTCGTGCATCACCTCACAGTGGAATTCTCCTCAGCAATGTCATCGTGATGCAACTGAGGATGCTAAGAAATCTGACTGGATAAATAACTCTTACTCTGTGTCAAATGTATCAAAAGACTCAACACTGAACGACCAAATGGTTTCCCCAGTCGAGCAGAAGAAACCTGAGATAACCACTAATTATAGATTATTTGGAATTGATCTGATGAGTTCCTCCTTAGTGGCTTCTGAGGAGAAAACTGCACCCATGCGACCAGTCAACATATCCAAACCGACTATGGACAGCCACTCGGACCCAAACTCAGAGATATCAAAAGTATCAGAAGAGAAAAAGCAGGAACCTGCGGAGGGATCACCAAAAGAGGTCCAAAGCAAGCAAATCAGTTCTACAAGAAGCCGTACCAAGGTATATATATATATGCCTACATGGCTACCGAGAAGTGTATATACATTGTGTAATCTGTGAGTTGCAAAACAGATACACATTATGTATAATGTTTGCGGGATTGAACAGGATCCTGATTCCTTTATTGCTGAACAGGTGCAGATGCAAGGCGTACCTGTGGGCAGGGCTGTGGATTTAACTGCACTAAAGGGGTACAACGAGCTTATAGACGACATTGAAAAGCTGTTTGACATAAAAGGGGAACTGCGGAGTCGCAATCAATGGGAAATAGTGTTCACAGACGATGAGGGAGATATGATGCTTGTCGGTGATGACCCATGGCCGTAAGTAACACACTCTTTTATCTCTTAGTCAATAGAATCACTACACAAAACTCATATCCGTTGACTTAATTTGCTGGTGCAGTGAGTTCTGTAACATGGTGAAGAGAATATTCATATGGTCGAAAGAGGAAGTGAAGAAAATGACGCCGGGGAACCAACTCCGGATGCTGTTAACGGAAGTTGAAACAACATTAACAACAGCTTCCAAAACAGATAATCACACCAACTAATTTCCATTCTCTTCTCTACAGTCTTTGTCTCCTTCTTATCTGCTTTGTCTTTTGGAATTATCTTGTTCTGTGGTCTGTGTTTTGTCGCACGGGAAGAACGAAAATGGCTTAAACAGGAAACTACGTCCCCTTAGGCTAGAAAATGGCTCGTTTTTTTCTGGAGCCTCTTGTGGAGAAAGAGGGTTTATGGGGAGAGAGTTTTCTACTTTCAAAATAGGCTTTTGGAAGTTTTAATTTTAATTTTTTTTTTCTTATTAGGAACTTGTGTGTGTAAGAGAAACGTATATGTACCGAACAGAAAAAAAAGAGAAAAATGATATTGTGAATAACTGGTGAATGACTTTTGTGACTCTTGGATTATAAGAGGGATTATATACCTCATGGCTCTCGGGTTTTATGTTTCTTTTTCTTAGTTTTGTTTTCTTTTATTTATTTGATTTTGTTATTTTTCATGTAAGTTTTAATGTATATACACGTCTTGAAAAAAAAATGCAAACACGACTTATCTTTTTTTTTCTATCGTATATTCGTATGGTACTATGGTGTACGCGTAGACATAGTCACAATCGAAGACAAAGAATTATGGTTGTAATCTTAAACTGTATGGTACTATTGTGTTCTCCCTAGATTAATGTTTGAAATAATGAATAATATATGTATTATCTCAAAAGGTACATATATTATCCATTATTTCAAACATTAAATAACTAAAACTCAGACTCTAGATCTAAAACTATTTCAGATTTTACGACTAACCTTACCAACAAGGCAACAATTAATGATAAACTTTGTTTTGTCAGTCGAGATCATGTATATGGCCGTTCTTGCCACCATGTTCACAAACATAATTTTTTTTTTGCTAAGAATGTTCACAAACATAATTGTATGGACCACATTTTCAATACTACCTCTGGACACGCTTATGTTCATTAGTGTATTATACCCTTACATCACTCACATGCATTAAATATATCAAATTTTCGCAACAAAAAATAAAAAGAAAACATCATTTGGGTTATCAGAGCGACGATAGATTCATTGTTGGTCTGTTGTCTTGTTTTGGTGCTTCTCTTAGTTTCCAGCTTCATTATGAGAAATTACGGCTACGCTTTTTGAGACTTAGGACATTTATATATAGGTCCGGTTTGTTTCTCCATCCAAATGATCCATCTAGATGGAGATGAAAAATGATGTTTGTTTTTGACAATTTAACAAGCATTTGGATGGATCATCTAGGTGATCCATCTGAATGAGTTTTTAAATTTAGGCAAATTTATGAAACTCATTTGGATGAACTTGATTGAACCATTTGGATGGAGATGGTTCATTTAAAAAGAACAAAAAACAGATATACCCTCTTATACAATCATATTTTAAATAATATTATTTTCTATAGATTTCTTATTTAATATTTTTAAAATTACATATTGGAACCAAAAAATACTCTAAAAATCATGAAATCACGGATTATTATTTTACGTCAAAATCGTAAAATCGTGGAATTGCGTTTTTCTGCCAAAAACTGTAAAATCATAATTTTCGATGTAAAATTATAGAAAGCGATATTCCACCAAAACTGTAAAATTACATTTTTTGCCAAAACCGCAAAATTATTTTTCCCGTCAAAACCGTAAAATCATGTTTTCCCGCCAAAACCGCAAAATCATGTTATCCCACCAAAACTGCAAAATAATATTTTCCCGCCAAAACTGCAAAATCATATTTTCCCGCTAAAACCGCAAAATCATGTTTTCCCGCCAAAATTGCAAAATCATATTTTCCCGCCAAAACTGCAAAATCATCTTTTCCCGCCAAAACAGCAAAATCATGTTTTCCCGCCAAAACTGCAAAATCATGTTTTCCCGCCAAAATTGCAAAATCATATTTTCCCGCCAAAACCGCAAAATCATGTTTTCCCGCCAAAAATGCAAAATCGTATTTTCCCGCCAAAACCGCAAAATCATGTTTTCCCGCCAAAACTGCAAAATCATATTTTCCCGCCAAAACCGCAAAATCATGTTTTCCCGCCAAAACTGCAAAATCATGTTTTCCCGCCAAACTGCAAAATCATATTTTCCCGCCAAAACCGCAAAATCATGTTTTCCCGCCAAAACTGCAAAATCATGTTTTCCCGCCAAACTGCAAAATCATATTTTCCCGCCAAAACCGCAAAATAATATTTTTCCGCTAAAACTGCAAAATCGTATTTTTCCACCAAAACCGCAAAATCATATTTCTTATCATATTAATTTTTTCGTTAAAAATCACAAAAAACATATTTTCCCGCCGAAACAGAAAAATTATATCTTTTGCCAAAACCCGCAAAATCCCGTTTTCCGACCAAACTTGTATAATTATTTTGTATATATTTTAATAACTATAAATAAAATTAATTTTTATATGTTAAAATAATAATTTATTTAGTTTTTATATGTGATTATTTGTTAAAATGAAAGCATGGGTATTTTAGTCATTTTGGTCTATATGAGATTTAGGATGAATTACAAAATGATCAAACAAAAAAAGATCCATTTGAATGAAATAACAAATATTAAAACAATTATCATTCAAATGCATCATCCAAATGAATCATCTAAATGGACCATTTGAATGCAAATGGAAAATGATGAAACAAACAGGGCCATAGTCACTCACTTAAATGGGTTTTCCATCCGTTCATTAAAAATTTGTGTTACAAAAACGCCACAGAAAATTATCTGAATGTCGTCGTTTCTGCAATGTTGCATTATAACTTGTATTAGTCCAATTATTCGTGTACAAACCATTCTCGCTGTAAAACAACAAAAATATGTCGACATAGTTTGACGCATGCGCTAACCTGGTGAGATTATGAATAGTGAAGTATGTCTTATATAATACATAGTATTTCTTTGATTATGACAAGTGTCTTTAACTTGTGGAAAAATGTTAAAATATCATTCTTATAAATCCCATATGAAAGATTAGATAATGATTATCTAACATATAAGTTCAATCTAATTTTAATTAGTGTATTATTTGGGAAAAACATAAAAACACATAATCGTGCATATTATTTATTTAGTTGCTTGGTCCAATATTTATATTTTTTTGTGACGGTCCAATATCTATATATGTACCATATAAATACACCTAAAAGTATACGAATCTCTTGTATACGGATACCGTTCGGAGTTAGGTGTTATATAATGAAGTGATGACATACGTTATTTATTGCCGAGATTTGTGAAGCCAGTGGCTCTCACAATCCCTATCTTTATCCCCATGATAGTATTCTCTTCTTTTTGTTTTTTTTCTTTCCCACTATAGAGAAGTTTAAATTTAATTTTACCATTAAAAGCTCACCAAATACCAACTTATACATATTTATATCAAGAATTTATATGTATGTATGTATATGTGTGTATACTGGAAAATACTACTAAAATTGATGATCATCATTTTACTAATAACCAACTTGTTTTTTTTTGTTAAAGATATAATAAATAACATGTTATATATTATTTTAATATGTTACTATTAATCTATCAGCGTAAACATATTTTAAAAAATGATTAAACTTATTAAATGTTAAGTATATTCTAGTGAGGAATTATACATTTTATTTAAATTGCATATATGTAATTACTTATAGTACTATATTTAGTAATTTGCATATTTGTAAAATCCTAAAATCGAGGTGTAAAAGGTCTACTCTAAAAAAGAACTCGCCTATAAATATATTTTAGTGGTGAGTTTTGTTCTATGTACCTGCAAGTTTCTCCAAAACATTTTGTCTTCTATTAAAAATAAAGAGTAACACGATGGAGCGTCACAGAAAACACTCGGTCGGCGGCACAACCCTCCACACGTGTCATCCCTGCCGGCGCGCCATTCCATACAGAATCTACGCCGTAATCCACACGTGTGGCATCATAGCTCTCATGTATCACCATGTACACTCACTTCTCACATCAAACAACACTCTAATAACGTGTCTTCTCCTCCTCTCCGATATTGTTCTCGCCTTCATGTGGGCAACCACAACTTCCCTCCGGTTAAACCCGGTTCATCGGACCGAGTACCCTGAGAAATATGCAGCTAAACCGGAGGACTTTCCAAAGCTGGACGTGTTTATATGCACGGCTGATCCGTACAAGGAGCCTCCGATGATGGTGGTCAACACCGCCTTATCAGTCATGGCCTACGAGTATCCGTCCGATAAGATTTCAGTCTATGTATCGGACGATGGAGGATCTTCGTTGACTTTGTTTGCTCTTGTGGAGGCTGCTAAGTTCTCTAAGCATTGGTTGCCCTTTTGCAAGAAGAACAATATTCAAGATCGGTCCCCTGAAGTTTATTTCTCATCAAAGTCAAATTCTCAGAGTGATGAAGCTGAAAATCTTAAGGTATGTATATATTATTTATCAATTATATTAGGTTTAGTACGTTTTTAATCTTATTTCGAGTTTTCGACAAATGCTCAGACGTAGGTCAACGTAACATAATTAAGTCTTACGACTCTTAGACCTTGTACTAACCATCGTGACCGTTCCAATGATTGTTAACAGTTAACACTTACTTCATAATTTCCTTAATTGTCTCTTTCCATTAGTAATCTTTAATTTATCGAATGTAAAAATTGTCATTCGTTTTAGTTACGTTGAATTGTGGAGAATTAACATATTTTAAAAAGAAAAGAAATGGGACAAAAAAAAAATACTTGTCGTGGAAGAAGTAATTCATTATGACGTATAAAAAATAAAATGAGTAGAAAATGACAAAAATAGTTATTTGCTAAATTAATGGGAGCCATTGTTGTGTTGAAAGGGTCACTCCTTCAGAACCTTATCGTATCTTGTCCACTATAATGGCGATTTTGTCCTTTATGACCTAAGACTTTGGAAGACTGTGACATTACCTTATTCATTTATATGATTTTTTCTAAACGATAAGAATAAGAATCGTCGTAGTTACCTAAATGATTTCTCCTAAACTGATAAGAGCATTAGTTATCTAAATGATATAAATTTTTATTTGTTTGAATTTTCAAACATCCATGATTGCACATAAGTGTGCTTGAATTGAAATTTCCTACCACAATTACTATTACGCATTTCTTTTTGGAATAGATAAGTTTTTTTTTTCTTTGTTAAAGGTATAGATATGTTGTTCCTTGATATTCATCAATTATGAGTTAAATATTAAACAGTAATATTGAAGTTGGAACTTCTAAAACAAAGTGGAAAGTCTGTTTGACAACAAAATGATTTGGAAAAACAGGTTGACATAGAAAATTATACAGTACACATACCATCTCTATGATAGAAGTGTCCGTCTCAAAAAGAAAAATTAATATACTTCTATCATTCTCTGTTATTATTACAAGTAGTAAAAATATTGTCGTCAGAAGTACTAAGATATTTTGAAACAGTGTTATAAATCAACGGTAATAAACTATACAAGACCAAAGTATTAATTGTGTGGTGTAACAGATGATGTATAAAGACATGAAGAGTAGAGTAGAACATGTGGTGGAGAGTGGAAAAGTTGAGACTGCATTTATCACATGCGATCAATTTCGTGGGGTATTCGATTTGTGGACAGACAAATTCACTCGTCATGACCATCCCACAATTATTCAGGTAATTATAAAGAAAGAAAAAACTTAAAATATTCTTTTCTCACTACTATTTATCATAATGAAAATTGCATCTTGAATATATTTACTTAATAATTATACTGTGTCATTATTCTTTTATGTTAACAAAATCTCAATTTCATTTAATTTGAGGACAGGTGCTACAAAATAGCGAGACAGATATGGACACTACCAAAAAGTATATGCCAAACCTAATATATGTTTCAAGAGAGAAGAGTAAAGTTTCACCACATCATTTCAAAGCCGGTGCTCTTAATACTCTGGTATCAACTAAACCTAATATTTAACGATTTTCATTTCGATAAACTAGCATTTCAGTAGTTTTAAGATAACGTGTTTTGTTTTTATTATAGCTACGAGTGTCTGGAGTCATGACGAATGCACCGATTATTTTAACCCTAGACTGTGATATGTATTCGAACGATCCAGCAACACCAGTTCGTGCCTTGTGCTATTTAACAGATCTTGAAATCAAAACTGGTTTAGCTTATGTACAGTTTCCTCAAAAATTTCAAGGAATAAGCAAGAATGATATCTATGCATGCGCATATAAGCGTCTCTTTGAGATCAGTATGATTGGGTTTGATGGTCTAATGGGCCCAAATCATGTAGGAACCGGTTGTTTCTTCAATCGACGAGTTTTTTATGGGGCTCCGTCTAATTTGGTTTTGCCTGAAATAGATGAACTTAAGCCCAATCGTACTGTAGATAAGCCCATCAACGCTCAAGATGTTTTAGCATTGGCACACAAAGTAGCAGGCTGTATCTACGAGCACAACACCAATTGGGGATCAAAGGTAAGATAAAAACAACCCTCGTAGTTAATTACCTTGATCTAGTATTGATTTCCATTTGTTATAAAAAATTTCATGAAAACTAATTAATGTTAGAGAACCTCACATCTAAAGAAAAATAGACTTAAGTAATATAGAAGTGATATACACAAATCCACTAATTGTTAATCGATTTTGAGTTGAAAGTTAATGAAACTCAAAACTAAACCAGTTTCAATCTAAGTTAACCAATTAGAAATAGTTTTTTTCATATGGCATATGTGAACTAATAGCAATTAGGTTCTTTAATCTTAGATAACTGTAGTTAACTTTTAGAAACGAATGATATGATGTCTTGATTGATATGAAACATGGAAAATGTCTTTCATAAATAGATGTTCGATTCAATATGAGTCATTCGCAATATCTTTTGTTTCCTAGTTTGTTATATTGTATATTCAAATTATCATTCAAAACTATGCAGATTGGATATAGATACGGATCTTTAGTAGAAGACTACTACACAGGGTATAGGCTCCATTGTGAAGGATGGAGAACTGTTTTTTGCAGTCCCAAAAGAGCAGCATTTTGCGGAGATGCCCCAAAAAGCCTAATTGATGTAGTCAGCCAACAAAAAAGATGGGCCATTGGGCTTCTTGAAGTTGCCTTCTCAAGGTATAGCCCCATTACCTATGGTGTCAAATCAATGGGTCTATTAATGGGATTAGGCTATTGTCAATACGCATGTTGGCCCTTTTGGTCACTTCCTCATGTCGTCTATGGATTCTTGCCCCAACTTGCTCTCCTCTATGGAGTTAGCGTCTTTCCCAAGTCATCAGATCCATGGTTCTGGCTTTACATCGTTTTGTTTCTCGGTGCATATGCGCAAGATCTACTCGACTTTGTATTAGAAGGAGGAACTTATCGCGGATGGTGGAACGATCAAAGAATGTGGTCGATAAGAGGATTCTCTTCACACCTATTTGGCTTCATAGAGTTCACTCTTCAAACCCTAAACCTCTCCACACATGGATTCAACGTCACAAGCAAAGCCAACGATGATGAAGAACAGAGCAAGAGGTATGAGAAAGAGATGTTTGAGTTCGGTCCCTCTTCGACAATGTTCTTGCCTATGACCACGACGGCGATAGTGAACCTCCTTGCTTTTGTATGGGGGCTTTATGGTCTTTTCGCTTGGGGAGAAGGACTGGTCCTTGAGCTGATGCTGGCGAGCTTCGCGGTGGTGAATTGCTTGCCAATCTATGAGGCTATGGTGTTGAGGAAAGATAATGGAAAATTACCAAAAAGAATTTGTTTCGTAGCTGTGATCCTCACATTTGTGCTGATTGTGTCAGGTTACTTCTTCCTCAAGTAACTGCACCCAGTATGGTTCTGTCGTTTAATTTGGATTAAAATAATATTACGTCTGCATTGTGGTAATTAGAGAGAATAATGTGATGAAATCCCATTTCTCACCTCATTGTAGAACATACATTTCCGTATATCAGTATATGTGTCTACGTACTTTGAGATATTTTGATGTGAATACATATATATAATAGCCGATAAGACAACATTTATTTTTGCTTATTTCGATCTATTTACTCTCGTATATATATTTGGTGTTTCACTTTCACCACTACTTATCTTAGGCTTATAAACAAATTAATTAACTCCAAAATTTTAAATAAAATCCCTAGCAAAGCCTGGAAAATGATCTAGTTAGTGGGATTTAATTAATTTTCATACTCAAAATAGTCGATTAATGATAAAAATAAAATGATAAACTCTTACGCAGTCTGACTCTGTTTTTTCTCAAATGACTTTGCAAATAGAAACACAATTACACAAAGATTTATCAGACTTACTTAATGGAAACTTCTATCACATTTTTCTTAAAGTGTTATACGACTCTTTATGTACACATTTATGTACGATTGTGTGGAAGTACAGTTGTCCACAATCGCCCATATTTTGCAAGAACTTAATAAGTTGGCACTTGGCAGGTGCGCGACTCTCCAAGCCCCAGTCTTCATCCATTTGATAGTTTCGCATCATTTTCAAGTTAGAGAATTTTAACTTAACTTCTCCATTGAAAAATTCAAATTGTATAAGAGATAAAATTCCACACGTCTGATCACTAAAATCCAACATGTGACAAAAGATTAATTACTTAAAATATAACATATGTTACTCCCTTTGTTCCTAGTTAGTTCAAGTTTTAGAAAAGATTTTTGTTTCAAAAGATATATTTTTTTTAGTTTTTTATTCAATTGGTTTTCTATAACTATAAACCAATAATATTGTAAATTGTTTTCTACAGTGACATTACTGGTTTACAGTTATTTTAATATTTTATATTAATGTTTTTATTTTTAAACTATTGAAGTATTAAGTACATATTTTTTGGGTGGGAGTATTAAGTACATATATTAATTAGGCAAATAATTTAACTTTTGTTTTTGGTCATAAATATTTTAAAAAATCAAGGAATTAATGGTTTTATAATCTGTGGGTTTCAGTCAAAATCTAAATATTTACATCAGTAATTGTTATATTTTTTTTTTATACCTACGAATTCATCCTAACATATAACATATATAGTACTATATATAAGAAACTCGCCTAAGTACTATCATCAGAAAAATAATCAATCCAAAGAAACTGGCCTATATATATATATAAGTCCTATTTATAGATTTGTGGTCATTATTTTCTCCAAAAACCAGTTGCCTTCCTTAAAAAGATGGAACCTCGGAGAAAACACTCGACGGCCCTCCACACGTGTCATCCCTGCCGGCGCGCCATTCCATACAGAATCTACGCCGTAATCCACACGTGTGGCATCATAGCCCTCATGTATCACCATGTACTCTCACTTCTCACAGCAAACAACACTCTTATAACATGTCTTCTTCTCCTCTCCGATATTGTTCTCGCCTTCATGTGGGCAACCACAACTTCCCTCCGGTTAAACCCGGTTCATCGGACGGAGTACCCTGAGAAATATGCAGCTAAACCGGAGGATTTTCCGAAGCTGGACGTGTTTATATGCACGGCTGATCCGTACAAGGAGCCTCCGATGATGGTGGTCAACACCGCCTTATCAGTCATGGCTTACGAGTATCCGTCCGATAAGATTTCAGTCTATGTATCGGACGATGGAGGATCTTCGTTGACTTTGTTTGCTCTTGTGGAGGTTGCTAAGTTCTCTAAGCATTGGTTGCCCTTTTGCAAGAAGAACAATATTCAAGATCGGTCCCCTGAGGTTTATTTCTCATCAGAGTCACATTCTCAGAGTGAGGAAGCTGAAAACCTTAAGGTATGTATTGCTTATCAACGAATCACTTATAATTAATTAGGTTTTTGTATGTTTTTTTCTTTCTTTCAACAGATGCGCATACGGCATACGTAGGCCAACACAATTCTTACTAGGTCACCTCCATCAAAGGTCGCTCACATGAGTTTTAACATTAAAAAACAAAAAAAAAAAACAAAGAAAGATAAAATGAAATGGGTTTCCCATTTTAGAAACTTTGAAAAACTCATGACACTTGTCTTATTACAAGTGTGGTTCATTTTCAAATTTAAAATTAATTATTTAACTAAATTATATTAAAATTATTATTATTATATAGTTAAAATCCTCATTTAAAAGACTCAATTATGGATAAAGATGCTCTTAGCTAGTTCTCGTACTAAAAGTGATTTAAAACCGCCACAGCCGTTCCAATAATTGTTAACACTTAGCTTAATTCATAATTTCTCTCATTGTCTTTCATAATTAATTAAACACTACAAAAAAAAGATCATTTTACATCATTTATTTTGAATATTTGTATTACTTATAATTGATGTAAAAGAATTTTACATCACTTAAATAATTGATTTATATATTATTGATGCAAATAATTTACATCATTTTATTAAAAACTGATGCAATTATACATAATATTTGCATCGCTTGTCATAACTGATGTTTATTTTGAATCGGTTACAAAAAATGATGTTAATGTTTACATCATTTTGTGCAAGTGATGTTAGTGTTTGTAACAGTTATTATAACTGATGTCAATATTTCCATCACTTATAAATAATTGATACTAAAACTAGTATCACTTGTCATAACTGATGTTAATAATTATATCATTTATGATAAACGATTTACTAAATACATCATTTATAATAATTGATTTAAATCATTACATCATTTTAACAAAATTGATGTTATATTTATGTCGATTTTCATAAATGATTGTAGTTATAGTATCATTTATAAAAATCGATGAGAATATTATTTTTTATAATTGATAAAATCATGTATTGAAATGATTTCACATCGTTTATAAAGTGACACAAATTAAAATACTAACAACGTGTTTTAACATATATTTTTTTAATCCAGAAAAAATAATTAATTAAAAACAAAAAGAAAACAAATTTAATTAATAATAAAAAAACTGAAAAACAAATTACATAATCAATCCATCGTGCAAATGCATAAATATAAATAAACTAAAAGTAGATAAAACGTTTTGCTAAATAAATTTTGATCATAACTAGCATTTATAACTCTTAAGCGCTTAAACGTTTATCCACTGGCACCATTATCCTTTTCCTGGAAAATAAATCATTCAATATATTAGTTTATTATATAAATATCTGGTATCTATGAAATTGTTATGTAAATATCATTTACCTGAGGATTAGGCGGATTTGGAATGTTTACAAATGGTGGATTTGGTATGTTCGCAAAAGCCGCTGCAAAATTTATAGCCCATGCACTTGCCTGAATATTTAGTTTAAAACATTAGTATTATATATAGAATTATAATAATGTAATTTAAATTACAAATTATTATTATATTTTATTACCTGTTCACGAGTTGAAGTACCAAGTATTTGTTGGAAGAACTTAGACATTCCATTAACTTGATCACCTAATGCCTTCACTTGTGCCTTCAGCTGGACGACCAATTCAGAATTTTCTGTCTCTTGTCTTCTAGGTGCACTTGAATGTTTCACTAATCTTGAAGGTGTGGGCCCACGACCTACACAACGTACTCGTCCTGGACGCTCTGGACCGAACACCTGACTATATTCATCATCCAAGCTAGCTGTAATATTGTTTGTGACTTGCGGATTTTGACTCAACAACGTCGTAAGTGCTTCCTAAAAAAAAGTAGAGAATGATAAATATTTCATCCAATAGATTTTCATAGTGACTGGAATAACGCATCTCAAAATTTTATTTAAAGATCACTTCCAAAAACTATTGACCAAAATTCATAGTAAATTTAATAAAACTAACCGCGCGTATTTTTGCCTCATCACATACAAAGCTTCCATCCTGTTTCTTGCGAGTCTCAATGAAAAACTCCGCTCGACATGGCGTTTTTCCAATCTTGGTTTTCTGCGTTAAACAATATACAAAATCAATAATATACTAGGATTATATATATCATACCTATGTAACTCACAATTTCGTCTCTTTTTCTTGAAAAACTCTTCCTTCCACATAAGTGAGGCATGATATTATTTTTCTGGTTCTTTGTATTCCGCTCTTGCATTTTCTGAAAGCTCATATGTTAAAAAAAAATTAATTGCATTTGATATAGCATGCTTCCTATAAATATCCAACGAATAAACTATACCTTCCACTTTTCGGTGAATCTCATGTGAACCAAATGAGACCATTGATCTTCAGGAATTTTGTCGGGTCGATTTCGCAACGTTTCGTTCAGATTACTTTTTTTGTAATCGTTCCAAACACGTTGTTTGACATCCTTGCATCTGCTACCTAATGCACCCATCACATATTCTTTTCTCATCATCGGATCATCAAATCTGAATTTGGACTGAAATGATATAAAATGAAACGAGTCATCAGACCTAAATATAATCTTAAAACATCCCATGGTTTAAAAAATCTATAGATAGATGTTACCTGAATTACTTCCCATGCTCTTGTTTTTATGTGAGGACTAACCAACCTCCAATCGGTGTAGTTGATGGGTAGCAAATGGACATCATTGCTTAATTGCCCCAACCATGATCCAAGTAAACCTCCAGAATCACCAATTGGCTGACCGGTATCTTCATCGAAATGCACAATAACTTGGTGGTTTTGCATTTTCCAGACATCTTTAGATGTCATCATTTTGCCTTCTATGTTTCCATCGACATCTTGTTGATAATTACCACATATATATCAAACCAAAATCGAATTAGTAAATAAAATCAAATTAACATATATGCTAAAGCAGATTAGTTATAAAGAAGTGCAAATTTGACTAAATATATCAAAAGCCAAAGCAGATTATTAGTATTACCTATCACTTCAATTTTCCATTTGAAGCTTTTACATTCTGGAGCAAGTGCGGGAGGATTATTGTAATTTGTTTCCAAATGTGGTAAATCATCTGGTGCTTGTGTTTCTGAATCCGTAAACTCCATGATCCTAATCAAGGAATAAAAAATTGTTAGCAATACATATTTCTGTTACAAAGAAAGAAATATGATCCTTGATTTTCAGCTTTTTTCTATGCTTCCTATGATTCTATTCTACAGAGAAAGGAATTCTTAGTTTGATGACAAAAATATGAGGCAACGATCAAAAATAATCATATGATAAAAAAAAATATAAAATAATTCATCGAGACAAAAGAAAAAAAAATGTAAGCCACGTTAAGCCACTTTCATGGAATCTCACGTTAAGCCACTTTCATGGAATCTCACGAAATCAAAACATAGGATTTTAGATTCTAACGAATTAGCTTCGAGAATTTTGGAGATGAATCATTAGCAGAAACAAAAAAGAATGATCGAGCCACGAAGATTAAAAACGACAAGGAAAAAAAAACGTGTGGTTATAGCTAAACCAGACTGTAAGCAAAAACCTAAAAGGAGATGATTAAACAAATCATGGTTTGTTCAAAATCCAGAATTTAAGTTAAAGAAGAAACATTTTAATCATATAAAAATCAAATCACAAAAGAATGAAATCGATGGTGACTATTTACCTGATTGATAAAAGAAGACGACACACAAACACCGTCACAGCCGCCGGAGCTACAAACGGAAATCGTCAGTTCTGCCGCTAACATTTCACAAAGTTTACAGACAGATTTCAATAACATGACAGTTTACACGGTTATATTCACAAATTTAAAAGAAATTTGGACTGATCTAGTCAAAAAGAAACTTTGATTGATCTACGCCAACTATATATGTTCTAATGGCAATACTTATATGATCAAGAAATAAGTATGTTTAGATGATGAGAATGCAAATAGTTTACTGAAAATCGTACTAAGATTATACTACTTGAACAGACAACCTAAATAGAGGAAAAAAAACTCACTTTGTGTTGATAAACCTTCTGTTCAATGTGAATGGTGATCTCTGGGAGACTGGATTAAGCTCTGTGACGGTTCCTCCCAAGAGAATATTTAGAAGCCCTAAATCCAACAATTTATTAGTGATCTATTTATATAAAATATTATTACTTATTAAATTGGAAAATTAATTCCCGCTGAAATAAAATGTTAAGCGGTCTTACCAAACAAAAAACTAAGCGGGATCTGAAAATTTTAGATTTTTTTTTTCACTAAAAATGACCCGTATCAATATCTTATTGCAACAACTTATATCTTCTCGATCTTCTGTAGTGTATCTCTCAACCAGCTCCAACCTAGACCTCGGTGGCTGCGGCAACTTCTTCTTGTGCTTCCACAGAAGCCTCCGTCTCTGCACTAGCTTCCTCCTCCGGAGTCTTGCCGTTGGTCACTGGTGGCACCAAAGAGTCAAACTTGTCTGACCCTATCTGATCAATCTTTGCCTTAGCTTCTGTACCATATGAAGCTTTTAGAATCATTCCAAAGAATCAAATTCTTCACAGTATCTCTACTTACAAATCAGTCAAATTCTTGAGATTGCTTAAAGGACTTGTTCCGGCCACTGATGTTGTTTGAAGAGCTTAACCTGTTATTGAAGGCATGCACCGTTGGAACGACTCCTTCATCACGGACCTTTGAAAGTTTTTCACTTAAAAAGTCTATGAAAAGAAAAAACAAACACAATATGTCAGTGAATAGAAAACCAGGTTACAAGGACACACAAGAAGCTTAAAATCATACCTTGGATCGTTAGAACATAGTAAACGGTGGCACAAAGCTGTAAATCCAGCTCTTATCTTATCTATTGCACCATTGTGCTTCATTTCTAAAAGCACTTCCAAGAAGTGGTCTCCAATTTTTTTCAAGTTGCTTCAGACCTAGGTCAAGTTGTGATTCAGAATTTCCTATCACTAAATCATTGGGGACTGCAGAATCTGTGTCACCATTTTCTAAAGGTCTAAGCTAGGCTGCTGGGTAATGGAATCTTTCTTATAATGGTTCCCAAAAAAAGACTCACCTGAAGAAAGAAAATAGTTTTATATGTAGTTACTCAAAAAAGAGCAGATAGTCGAGAAAAGTATTACGAAAAAAGTGATGCCAAAGTAAGGATCTGAGAGAGCAGCGGCAGCATCATCTTGAACATCCTCATACAAGCACAAAGCATCTGCAGAAACCACCCAAAGTGCTATTTGTTAATAAATAAACCATATAACTAAGAAAAACTACAATAACAAGGTCTATGAAAAAACAAAATATATAGTAAAGGATCTTACAATCAACGAATTAAGAGAACTCCTATGGAATTGTCTTAAGGATGTTTTATTTCTTCACTAGTACCAGAAACTCCACCAACAATAATTGAGTAACAACAATTTGATGAACAAAGAAATAGCATAGGCTAGCAATGATAGAAAAAAATTATTAACAAGAAAAAAAATAGAAAGAAAGAACAAATTGACTAAGCAACAAAATATCTTAAACTATCAAAAGCCCGATTGTTAGAAAGAAGATAACTCATAAACTAAAGTGTGCAAAGACTATGATTTTAGAAAAAGAAAACCAGTACCCAACACATATTCGAACACGGTAAACATATGTCTAGGAAGTAACGGAAATTCCAGGAATAGATTCACCATCAAACTGTTCTGAATCATTTTGATCACCCATGTCATATACGTCTCTAGGTTGAATATGAACTGCATAATTCCATTCTTCTTTGCAAGGATCAGCTACATAATACACCATCTTTGCCTGAGACGCCAATATGTATGGTTCATCCTCTGCATTATCTCCAGTATGTAACAAACGTGAAAAATTCACCATATGATGATCATATGCATCCATTTTGTATCCTCGTTCCGTACGAGTATCAGCCCACTTGCACTTGAATAATACAACTTTGAAAACCTCATAGTAGTTTAACTCTATAACTTCAACCAAATTTCCATAGTAAGCTACAGTTCCTGTTATTGGGTTAGGGTCTCGAGAACTAGCATAACTCATAGTCTCAGCAGCTACATAAACGCCACTATTTTGGGTTTTTAGGTCAGCATCTCTTTCTATTGTTCGGAACTTGAAACCATTAACATTGTAAGCAGTATACTTCACAACTTTTTCAGATGGACCCAACGCTAAGCATCGTAAATCATCAGTTATCCCATCTAACTCGTTTACCTCTACTTTCTGTTTGATCCATTTTGCAAAATTAAGATGCATTTCTCGGTCAATGTCATTAGCACGACTCCTCTTGCTCTGTTGAGATGGTTTACTCCACAGCTCACTTTTATACTTCCTAAATAAACAAATATCATAACTTCTATATTAGAGAACTTTAATCAACCATAATTAAATTATTTATTTTTGAATAACAGAAACGTACTCTCGTAAGGGATCAAGTAGTTGACAATTGACCAATATATGTCGATGTGCTTGTTGCCTCTCTACATGATTAAGAGTATAAACCTGACCCGCTCCAACAAATCTTCCAAGGTTTGGAAAAATAAATGGAAGTTCTGAATTTGGTCTTATACTGGTCTGAGCTAGAGGTCGATCATCAACGCGGCCATAACGATTAAATCGTGTCTCTATATCATTCAGATACATTGAGCAAAACATTACACACTCATCAGCTAAATACTGCTCGCATATAGAACCTTCAGGCTTGGCACGATTTCGAACATATGATTTGAAGTGTCCTAGAGCCCTGTAGATAAGTGAATTAAGTAAGTTTCTAGTTATGTGTATATATATATATATAAACATAGAATGTTAAAAAAAAATACCTCTCAATCGGATACATCCAACGAAATGGAACTGGTCCACCGAGTTTTGCCTCTTCTGTAAGATGTACTACTAAATGTACCATCACAGTGAAAAATGATGGAGGAAAAAGCATCTCCATATGACATAAAGTCAGAACAATGCGGTCTTGTAATTTGTCAAGCTCATCGGTATCGAGGACCTTTACCGATATATCTCTAAAAAATTGACAAAGCTCGACAACGGCTGAGGTCACATCTGTTGGTAGTAGATTTTTAATTGCGACTGACAATAAATCTCTCATTATCACGTGACAATCGTGGCTTTTCAAGCCTGATAGCTTTCGACTTTTAACATCAACACAACTTGATAAATTAGAAGCATAACCGTCTGGGAGTTTTACATTTTTTAAGACACTTAAAAAATTGTCCTTCCCATCATTGGTCAGAGTAAAACAGGCTGCTTTATACTTCTCATTATCATCAGGCCACAAGTCAGCACGTATACCTAGCTCACGGAGATCTTTTCTAGCACTCAGATTATCTTTTGATTTTTTTTTGTCATCCAAAAATGTGTAGACTAGATTGTCAAAAACATTCTTCTCTATGTGCATGACATCCAAATTATGCCGCAACATAATAAATTCCCAGTAAGACAACTCAAAAAATATACTTCTTTTCTTCCACTGCTGAGTAGTACTTGAAGTTCCACTTCCTGAAGCACCACTTCGATCTCTTTTTCTTCCAACTCCAACTAAACCATGGTTTTTACCAAGAGTCACATTAACTTGTTCTAGTTGGTGAATAATTGTAGAACCTGACAATGTGGCCGGTGGAGATCTAGCTTCTATCTTTCCATCAAAATTATTTTTATCATGACGATAGACATGCTCTTGAGGAAGAAAACGGCGATGGCCCATAAAACAATTTTTTTTCCCATGGCGTAAACGTTCTCCGTTGCCTTCAAAATTGCAGCTTGGACAAGCCAAGTTCGTATACGTATTCCAGCCCGACAAATTTCCAAGACCGGGAAAATCACTAATTGTCCACATGATGGCTGCACGCATGTCAAATGTTTGCTTTGTGGAAGCATCTAGCGTTTTAATCCCATCAGACCACAATTCCTTCAACTCTTTAATAAGCGGCTGCAAGTAGACATCAATATCATTACCAGGCATATGCTTTCCAGGGATAACCATAGAGAGGATCATTGATGTTTGCTTCATTGCCATCCATGGTGGAAAATTATAAGGAAATAGTATCACTGGCCATATGCTATAACTACTACTCATGGTACCAAATGGGTTAAAACCGTCAGTCGCCAAACCTAATCTGACATTTCTTGGATCAGATGCAAATTCGGGATATTTTTTATCAAATTCCTTCCAAGCCCTTCCGTCTCTTGGATGTCGAAGCTTCCCATCATTGTTACTAGAAGTTGCATGCCATTTCATATGGGTAGCAGTTTTTGATGACATGAATAAACGTTGCAGTCGGGGCTTTAGAGGAAAATAACGCAAAACCTTTACAGGAGTTTTACTCTTTTTGTTCTCTGATCCAGATTCTGTACTCTTTACTGAAATATTTTCTTTCCAACGAGAAGCTTCACAAACTTTGCAGATTTCTCTTTTTGCATCTGCCTCCCAAAATAACATGCAATCATTTGGACATGCATGAATTGACTCATAACTCAATCCTAATTTGCGAATAACTTTTTTCATGTCACTAAATGAATCTGGCAATTTGGCATGTGTAAATGCTTCTTTCAGCAAATCAAGTACCATAGATATCCCCTTGTCGCTAATCCCACACATACATTTGATATGGTACAACTTCAATATAAAGGACAACTTCGTGAACTTAGTGCATCCTGTATATAGCTCTTGATTATAATCAGCAAGCAACTCATCAAAACCTTCTCCTTTTTTACAACTTCCACTTGCAGTTGATGGTCTATCAGTGTCCATCGGGTTCTCAGATGATCCAGCTTCATATCCACCATCATTGTTCGTACTAATATCAGGAAAAAGATCATCCAAGAGAGTCCTAGTTGAATCTAATTCCACCGAAGCAATATCATAAGGTACTCTTGTATTACCCGTGACACATATATCCTCTCCATGTAGTACCCAATTTGTGTAAGAACTTAAAAAGCCATAACACATCAAATCACCGTCGATATCTTCTCTTGACTTAAGTTTGAGGAGACAACAACGGTTACATGGACATTTCAGCACGTATACCTTTAATTTACCAAATGCAAAATCCAAGAAATTTTTCACCCCCAATATGTAATCTTGAGACAAACGTGGTTTGTTTATCCATGATTTATCCATCGATCAAAACCTAAAAAAACAAAAAGATTTGTATAATTTGTAAGCTATGGAAATTCACAAACAAACATTAGAATTTATAAATAAATATATCTACCATGATCATTGTCTCTATCGCTTACTGTTATTAATTGGAATCTAAAAATAACTGGTGAATATATGAATTATTTTTCAAGAAAGCTTTATACTCGTTTCCAATTCTATTTGAAAAGTATTTTTACGGCTCGAATAAATTTGTATACTAGAAGACAATTAATATAGGGTTAAAAATATCATCGCTATCTAAAGGTGCGTGAAGGGCATATGTACCAATTCTAAATGTTGATCATGGTCTTCATCACTACAGATATGTAATTAAAGTCCTTCTCATCATGAGAACCAATAGTCTAATTAAGACAGACAAACCTGAAACCAATTGTTGATGTATGAACCTTTTTATTGTTTCTAGATTTCTTTTGCTAAGTGCAGCTACCTGCAGTTTAACCAAAATTAAAATTGTATCATAATTAATTACAGAGAAATAAACAAGGATGAAGAAGATCTAATCCTAGAACAATGATTCATCACATATTTTACAAAACTTACGTGTAACGATCGTGACTTCTAAAAACCTGTATGTGTCTAAAATCCATATAAAAGTAAGAGAGATATATATACAGCTAGCTAGGTTGCTTCTCGATCAAATTTGTAGCCAAAATTTAGGTGTGATGATTATCTAGATCTGAAATATATTTTCCTTCAGAAAAAAAAAATCACGTTGGCTTTTTTGATTTTTTTAATAATGTTTTTGATATATTTAGTTTAACATCAGTTTTTATTGATATAAATTTTGTATCATTTAAAAAGTGATCTTAACAAAAATTAATAAATACATCAATTATCTAAATGATGTAAATTAATATTTACTATCAGTTTTTAAAAAGTGATACGAAATAATAGCTTTTAAATCAGTTTTATATAATTGATGCCAAACTAATTAATTATAACATCACTTAGTATAATTGATGCTAAAACACATCATTTATAAATAAATGATTCAAAATAATATCATTTAGTGAAGTGATACAATTTAAGTGATTTAATATGATCTTTTTTTTGTAGTACATAATACCTGAATAATCTTTTTCAAAAAAAATAATACCTTAATAATTGTGGGATGGTCATGACTAGTGAATTTATCGGTCCACAAATCGAAAACCCCACGAAATTGATTGCATGTGATCGATGCAGTCTCAACTTTTCCACTCTCGACCACATTTTCTACTCTACTCTTCATGTCTTCATACATCAGCTATCAACACCACACGATTTTAAACAAATATATATACTCATATCGTTTAGGAGAAGAAATCATTGATATATCATGGATGTTTAACAATTACAATAAATGAATAGGAAATATCATGTTATTCATGTCACAGTCTCTCAAACTCTTGGGGTCGTAAAGGACAAAATCGCCATTATTATTGTCGACAAGAACCTAAGGCTATGAAGGACCAAATTGTTTCACAAAATATTTGGTATGTGTTTCAGTTTCTCCCTCTCTTTTTTTCAATTATTTTGTTTAATCAAACAGTATTTCCATTTTCTCTTGAAAGTTCCAGTTTAAATTACTGATGTATATTTAACTCATAATTGATACATATCAAGGAAGCTATACCATAAAGAAATGCTTATGGTTCACATGAAATATTCGATTTTAGTATACTTATGTTATGTATAACTAATATATATAGTTGAATAGCAGAATAGGTGAATCATGATATAGCGGAATATCGCATCGTATCATATAAAAAATTGTCTTTCAATGTATTATTTTTAGAAACAAAAGTTTCTACAATTAATAAGAACTCGTTTTTTCTATTAATTTGTGGGAAAGGTGCTACAACATAACGAAACAGAGATGATGCCAAATCTAATCTATGTTTCAAGAGAGAAGAGTAAAGTTTCACCACATCATTTCAAAGCCGGTGCTCTTAATACTTTGGTATCAACCAATCCTTAACTTGACCAATTTTGGCTTGGTTAAACTGTCATTTCTAAATAATATTTCGTTAACCACAAGTTTTGTTTTCATTGTAGTTACGAGTATCTGCCGTGATGACAAACTCACCAATCATTCTAACACTAGATTGTGACATGTACTCAAACAATCCTACAACACCACTTCATGCTCTATGCTATTTGTCAGACCCTAAAATCAATTTTGGTTTAGGATTTGTGCAATTTCCTCAAAAATTTCAAGGAATAAACAAAAATGATATTTATGCATCCGAGCTCAAACGGCCATTTGACATCAACACGGTTGGGTTTGATGGACTTATGGGTCCAGTTCATATGGGAACCGGGTGTTTCTTCAGTCGACGGGCATTTTATGGACCTCCGATCGAGTAGTTTGATTTTGCCTGAGATAGAAAAACTTGGGCCAAATCGGATTGCCAGTAAGTCCATTAAAGCTCAAGATATTTTGGCCTTGGCACACGAGGTAGCAGGATGTAACTACGAGCGCAACACCAATTGGGGATCCAAGGTAAGATAAAAATGAACCTTAGCTCTATGTATATTGATTGTTTGGTAAAGTTTACATTTTTTGTTTCTTTTACATCAACTAGTCTTCTCAAAATCCATATTTATAAACATCTTAGCAAAATTCATGTGTAATTAACATAAACACCAAACACACACATAAAAATGAAAAAAAATATATATATATATGTTTGCATTTATACGTGTATTCACATGTAAAAGTAAACAAACAAATTTCGTTTGAAACAATAATCGACTCTCCAATCTTGATTTCTGTGACATTGTTTTGTTATTACTTACTAGCCATCAAAAACTAAAATTTCTTTATTCAATAACTTAAACATAATATGTTATTTAACTGGCTAGAATAAAAAAAAATATTTCTTTGTTTGTTACAAAAGTTTTGGTGTTACACAATATTAATCTATTTGTCAAAACTTTACAGATAGGGTTCAGATACGGCTCATTAGTAGAAGACTACTACACAGGATTTATGCTCCATTGTGAAGGATGGAGATCAGTATTTTGCAGCCCTAAAAAAGCTGCATTTTATGGAGATTCCCCAAAACGCCTAACTGATATAATAGGCCAACAAATCCGATGGTCCGTTGGACTTCTTGAAGTAACTTTTTCAAGGTACAACCCAATTACCTATGGATTGAAGTCACTGAGCCTACTAATGAGCTTAGGCTATTGCCACTATGCATTTTGGCCGTTTTGGTCAACTCCTCTCGTCGTCTATGGACTTTTACCCCAACTTGCCCTCATACATGGAGTTAGCGTCTTCCCCAAGGCATCGGATCCGTGGTTTTGGCTTTACATTATCTTGTTTCTCGGTGGGTATGCGCAAGATCTATCAGACTTTTTATTAGAAGGAGGAACTTATCGGAAATGGTGGAACGATCAAAGGATGTGGATGGTAAGAGGACTCTCTTCTTTCTTCTTTGGTTTTACAGAGTTCACTCTCAAAACCCTAAACCTTTCGACTCAAGGATTCAACGTCACCAGTAAAGCCAACGACGATAATGAACAAATGAAGCGGTACGAGCAAGAGATCTTTGATTTCGGGCCCTCTTCGTCCATGTTCTTGTTCTTGCCCATGACTACCGTCGCCATCGTGAATCTACTTGCTTTTGTATGGGGAATTTATGTTATTTTCACTTGGGGAGAAGGGCCCGTCCTTGAACTGATGCTAGCGAGTTTCGCAGTGGTGAATTGCTTACCGATCTATGAAGCCATGGTGTTGAGGATCGATGACGGAAAATTACCAACAAGGATTTGTTTCTTAGCTGGGCTCCTCACTTTTGTTCTTACAGGGTCAGGCTACTTCTTCCTCAAGTAACTTCACCATTAGGTCATTATCAAAAAACCAAAACGCTTCACCATTAGCCATTAGCCCATTAGGGTTAATTTTCAACAATAATGCTATGAATGCATCTGGCTTAAACTGAAGCAAGAGAGAGTAATGTGATGAATCCTTCTTAATATTTAGTTTTTATCTACAATTAGCGCACCACTACCATATTTGAATCTAGGTTATGATTGGTCATTTCTTGGATTCTTATTATTAAAAACGTTGAAACGATATAAGCAAAAGTAAGTATATATTATATTTTTTGCTATAAAAGTATACACAAACATAGTACTGTATACATAACAATTTATCTATGTATACTAATGTCTTAATTATACAAGCTTACGGGAGTATGGTGGTCCATATTATATTACGATATCGCTTTTAAGTAAATAAATCTCGTTTTTTCACTAGTTAATGTCAAATGTACATGGGTGATGGGACGGTTCATAAACAGACTCCAAATCAAAGTGAGGTAAACCGAACCTCTAAACCAAAGATAAAAGTTTACAGTGAATCTAGGCTAGTAATTGGAACATATACATTAATATTGCTAGGTGTTAGATTACGACATTATGAGGTAAAAAAATTTGGTACTATTTTCTCTCGCCGACGCCAAGATTTGTGAAGGCAGTGCCGCAGTCGCTCTCACAACCCCTATTTTCAACCACGTGGTTTTTTCTCCTTTTTTATTCAACAAATACCATCTTTCAGAAGAAAAAAAACACGTCATATACTCACATATATATATATATATATATATCCATTATTTATATGTATGTGTGTTAGTGTGTATGTATATTCATTTGCTTTCACACAATTTTACTAATAACTAACTTTTAATTATTTTAATATACGATACAATCATACACTTAAGGCTATTAAGCTATATATCAGCTTAATTAAACATATATTTTAAACTAATAGTCTAGTGAAGGAACTAAACCGTAAGCTTACATTACATAGATTAACCATTCATTTTGTGACACTGTTGAATCCTAAAATTGTCGGGTAAACATATCGACTCTTTTTTACAACGAAACTCGCATATAAGGCTATAACTCGCATACCAGTCTTCTCCAAAAACTATTTGTTAAAAAAACTAACTAAAACGATGGAGCCTCATAGAGAGCACTCGGTCGTCGGCGCAATCCTCCACACGTGTCATCCCTGCCGGCGCACCATTCCATACAGAATCTACGCCGTAATCCACACGTGTGGCATCATAGCTCTCATGTATCACCATGTACACTCACTTCTCACATCAAACAACACTCTAATAACATGTCTTCTTCTCCTCTCCGATATGGTTCTCACCTTCATGTGGGTAACCACAACTTCCCTCCGGTTAAACCCGGTTCATCGGACCGAGTACCCTGAGAAATATGCAGCTAAACCAGAGGACTTTCCGAAGCTGGACGTGTTTATATGCACGGCTGATCCATACAAGGAGCCTCCGATGATGGTGGTCAACACCGCCTTATCAGTCATGGCTTACGAGTATCCGTCCGATAAGATCTCAGTCTATGTATCGGACGATGGAGGATCGTCGTTGACTTTGTTTGCTCTTATGGAGGCTGCTACGTTCTCTAAGCATTGGTTGCCCTTCTGCAAGAAGAACAATGTTCAAGATCGGTCTCCTGAAGTTTATTTCTCTTCAAAGTCACATTCTCGGAGTGGTGAAGCTGAAAATCTTAAGGTATGTATATTATTTATTAACTAATAACTTATAATTAGGTTTAGTACGATTTTTAAGTTTTAATTTCGACAAATACGTAGGTCAAACACAATTATATGAGTCTTCTCGTCTTAACAATAATTGAGGAAACCCCTCAAGACTGTTCCAATGATTGTCAAGTTCTTTCCTTTAGTAGTCTTTCATCGAGGGTAAATTATGAATCATGATATAAATGGAGGAAAAAAATACTTGGATGGAACGAGTACTTTATAACGACAAATAAAAATAAAATGAGTAGCAACAGACAATGACAATGCAAGTTCTTCGTAAAAGATAGTATTTAAAATGCAATTTCAATTTTGTGGGGTGGTCATGACAAGTGAATATTGTTGTCCATCATAGCATTACGTTCTTATCGACAATAATGGTGATTATGTCCTTGCTGACCCCAAGAGTCTTGGAGACTGAGTACATCCATGATATTTCCTAATCATTTATTATTGTTAAACATCCATGACATTTTAATGATTTAACCTAAACGAAAGGAGTATTAGCTGTCTTAATGATGTAAGTATAGTAATTAAGTCTTCATTTCTTTGAATTTTTAAAAAGCCATAAGACAAACATATTAAAGTGTGAGGTGGAACAGATGATGTATGAAGACATGAAGAGTAGAGTAGAACATGTGGTGGAGAGTGGAAAAGTTGAGACTGCATTTATCACATGCGATCAATTTCGTGGGGTATTCGATTTGTGGACCGACAAATTCACTCGTCATGACCATCCCACAATTATTCAGGTACTTTTAAATATGAACAAAAACACGAAATTCCTAAGAATTTGCATTGTCAGGTGTCCATATAATATTTTAAATATATTTTCTTGAGAACAATAGTTTGCAAGATGTGATTCTAATATCTTAATATAACAAAATCTCAATTCTAATTAATTTGACGATAGGTGTTGCAAAATAGTGAGACAGATATGGACAATACCAAAAAGTATATAATGCCAAACCTAATCTATGTTTCAAGAGAGAAGAGTAAAGTTTCACCACATCATTTCAAGGCTGGTGCTCTTAATACTTTGGTATCAATCAACTAGCCCTAATCTTTAACCGATTTTCAGTTTGATTAACAAGCATTTGAGTAGTTTCAGATAACGTGTTTTCTTTTCATTGTAGCTACGAGTATCAGGGGTGATGACAAATTCACCGATCATTCTAACACTAGACTGTGATATGTATTCGAACGACCCTACAACACCGGTTCGTGCTTTATGCTATTTAACAGATCCTGAAATCAAATCCGGTTTAGGATATGTGCAGTTTCCTCAGAAATTTATAGGAGTAAGCAAAAATGATATATATGCATGTGAAAACAAACGCCTCTTCAATATCAATATGGTTGGGTTTGATGGTCTAATGGGTCCGACTCATGTGGGAACTGGTTGTTTCTTCAATCGACGGGCTTTTTATGGGCCTCCATCTAAGTTGATTTTACCGGAGATTGATGAATTGAGGCCATATCGGATTGCGGATAAGTCTATCAAAGCCCAAGATGTTTTGGCACTAACACACAATGTAGCAGGATGTATCTATGAGTACAATACCAATTGGGGATCCAAGGTAAGATAAAAATCAACTTTCATAATTACTGTGATCTAGTATTTATTTTCATCTGTTTAACATATCTTTAATTATTTTTCCGTTTGTTATAGTACATAACTCGAACTTATCATTCAAAACTATGCAGATTGGATTCAGATATGGGTCATTAGTAGAAGACTACTACACAGGGTTTATGTTCCATTGTGAAGGATGGAGATCAATATTTTGCAACCCTAAGAAAGCTGCTTTTTATGGAGATTCCCCAAAGTGCTTAGTTGATGTAGTGGGTCAACAAATCCGATGGGCCGTTGGGCTTCTTGAAATATTGTTTTCAAAGAAAAGCCCAATTGTCTATGGATTCAAGTCATTAGGGCTGTTGATGGGCTTATGCTATTGCAACTCTCCGTTTCGGCCATTTTGGTCAATTCCGGTTACAGTCTATGGACTTTTACCTCAGCTTGCACTCATCTATGGAGTTAGTGTCTTCCCCAAGGCATCTGATCCGTGGTTTTGGCTTTACATCTTTTTATTCTTCGGTGCGTATGGGCAAGATCTATCGGATTTTTTATTGGAAGGAGGAACTTATCGGAAATGGTGGAACGATCAAAGAATGGTGATGATAAAAGCACTCACTTCATTCTTCTTTGGTTTTATAGAGTTCACTCTCAAAACCCTAAACCTCTCCACACCTAAGTTCAACGTCACCAGTAAAGTCAATGACGATGAAAAACAAAGGAAGCGGTACGAGCAAGACATCTTTGATTTCGGAACCTCTTCGTCCATGTTCTTGCCCTTGACTACGGTTGCCATCGTGAATCTGCTTGCGTTTGTCTGTGGGCTTTATGGTAATCTCTTCTGCGGAGGAGAACTCGTCCTTGAGCTGATGCTGGTGAGCTTCGCGGTGGTGAATTGCTTGCCAATCTACGAGGCTATGGTGTTGAGGAAAGATGATGGAAAATTACCAAAAAGAATTTGTTTCTTAGCTGGGAACCTCACGTTTGTTCTTATTGTGTCCAGTTACTTCGTCCTCAAGTAACTTCACCCCTTAGGGTTAATTTACAACAATAATACATCTGGCTGATTCAGTTCAAGCGGAAGAAACAATGTGAATGAATCTTTGTAACCAATATTTATAATGTGATGGATTACATTTTGATATCTTGAATCAGCAAAATTAAGATTTACATTGTGTATCGATCTATTCACTAACAAAACTGGTATTTGCTTATTTCATTCGGGGTTTTGAGTCAAACCGGTGAAGTTTGGGGAGAATCTGGATGGTCGTTGTCGTCACCCACAGAGGTTTTGGTGGAGGAGATGGAAACAGAGGAGCGACAAAGAGGACAAGTGTTGTGAGAATAAAGCCAAAGGTGAATACAATCGAGATGAAATATGTGTTTACATAAAGGCATTTCCACCAACTCTTCCTTTAACTCGAATTCTCCCAAACAGACGCAACATCTGCACCAATTTTCATAATCATCAATACCAAATCAATCAATACTTTCAATCCACCAAAACAAACAAAAACCAATGGTCATATATTAAAAACAAGTATAATATATTCAAATTTGGGATATGAAATTCTAGCAGAATTCTAGAGTTTTTCGAGAAAGGTATGTGTTACTATTTAGAATGAGGACAAAAATCCAGTGAATGAAAAGGTATATGTTGTCTAAAATCTTGATTTTGGTGTTATCTGGAATTTATACTTTCCGTCTTTGCTTTTAATATTCCTTAGCTCTAAGCAACGGCCTAAAAACACTTATGAACAAAGAGCATCTCAATTCGTATATTTTAACTTTCAAGAGGATAATTCTTACATATCTCAATTCGTATATTGACACTGTTAATATAATTCCCTAAAAGTCCAAAGCTCATGAAAACTCACAGATACTAAGACTGAATTGGCCAAGTAAAGGATTTGATCAATTCATTTTGAAAATCAAAGCACTGAAAAGATCTAAAAAGGTTTTAGTAAAAGTAAAATTTTGAATAAAAATGGATTTTTGTGGGGCTAAATTTCTTTTTAAAACAGCAATTCTTCTATTCACACATTTCACAAGTTTTAGAAGCAAGAAAAAAAGAAAGGATAAAAAGAAACAGGAGTAACTTACAGAGAATCTCTTGTTCCTAGTTCTTCATTGAACAAAACAACATGAAGCTTGTCTTTGAGATCTACTTTCACATCTAACAAACAAACCTGCAAAATAAAACACAGTCAATCTCAACACTACTGTCTCTTCATTCAACTTTATATAACAGTACGATAGAGAAAACAGGACCATTAGCTCTAACATTTCTGGATGTGAATGATTCAGTACTTTTGCATATATATCTACAAAGACAATGGGACACTTACCGAGGGGATTTGCGAAGAAGTCTGGTGGCTCGAAGAAACAGGAAGAATCATTGGAGAAGGAGAGGAGAGAGAAGAGGCTCTTCTCTTGAGGTAAAAGAGATAGAACAAGAGGAAGAGAATGATGGAGAATAAGATGGGAATGGAAAAGATGAAGGCTTGGTAGAGTTTAAGTTGAATTGCTTGTGGGTATAGGTGTGGTGTGATTGGTGATTGAGGATCAACCATAACTTAAAAAGTTTTTTCAAAATCAAACCCAACAAAAAAAAATGAAATTAAAGGAAACACCCAAATGAGAAATGAGGGTTTTAATGGGAGCTAAGCAGGTACAAGAGAAGGTATATATAGATATCCTGTGTATGTTTATATCTACCCAAAAGCAGGTAACTGTGCAACCATATTGGATTTGGACAGAGATTCTATAATGATATAAAATATCTATAACTTCCTTTTTAGTAAAATAAAAGTAACTTGTACACTATTGAAATGCATGTTTATATACCAAATTGCAAGCGATTTTACTTGCAAGTTGCAACCATTTTATTTTGTAGATAAGAGATTTAACTCTACAAATGCAAAATTCAACATATATCCTAAGTAGGGGTTAGATCACATGTCACATGTGATGTGAATACATGGTTATGTACATAATCAGTAAGGGGAAGTGGTGAATAAAAGAGCCTTTTGGGTATATAAAATATAAGGGTATATATTCCTTATGGCTCTTTTTAATATAATGAAAAGGTAAGAAGTGAGTAACCAGGTGATGAGGTTCCACTAAACAAGATGAATAGAAACTTTATAATGCTTAAGGATTAGATTCAAGTGTCTCAATCCTCATTAACATGGGACCTATATAATTATTATAACCCATCATTTCATTTGCTGACTCAGGTTGGTTTTCGATTATTTGACACTAGCTAAGCATCAATCATAAGCTTCTTCTTCTTTGCCTACCCTTCCCCAGAAAAAAAAATTGAAACAGAAACAAATGTAAAAAGTTTTTTCTTTGGCAACTAGGTTTCTACACCAAAATCTAGAAATCTTGGTTATCAAGTCTAAGCAAGCAGATAAAAACTTATCGATCACCAACTTCAACCAATAGACCAAAGGCACTACAATACAACCACACTGTTACTATGTACACCTTCTATAGGCATTCATTTCTTTTTCTTTTTTTCTTGCATTCATATCTATATTCTTCTATTTTACTTTTGGAAAGTGGTGATTACTTAAATAAAGATATACTTATGGGGCCTCTTCACTTGGATTAGGACAAGATTCTCAACTCAAATCTAAGAAATTTCAGTTATTTATTTTAAGAAGATTCGAAACAAGTCAATAATATTTGTTATTTACCGATATTATATAATTTTAACTTAAGCAATATTATCCTGCTAATATTTCACATTTCATCCAAAAGAAGATTTCCTAGTGAACTACTCAACTCAAACACAAATGAACAGTCAACCAGTAACTTCATTTCTCAAATCTATTAACTTTAGGGAAAATAGTGTTTATACTTTTTGAACAATAATTTTATACTTCCAGCAAAAGCAGATAAGTTTTTTGACATCTTTTAATAGACTGACACATAAACTTACCGAGATGATTGTGCCTAGGACCCCCAAATAAATATCTTGATTTAGGATTTGATTTGTGACCCACATTGATCAGTGTTTTCCCTTTACCCTTTAGTGATAGACAGCTTTTGGTATTTTACGTTTGTTTATCAACAACTTGGCCATTTTAGTATGGCATATATATTGCTCATTCTGTTGAAGTCTTCCATCGAATTAGCTATAACTTCCCATATCATTTTCAATATTATATCTGGTGTGGAAAGACCATCTACACACCCAGTGACTAAGATAAGCCTAGTAGTAGCCTACCATGAACATTATCACAAAAATATCTATTAATCTCAATATGTTCCATTAACTACATAATAAATATTTATGTATATGTCTATCACTGGTGGTAGTGGATCCTGAGGGGTGACCTCCCTCGCTCATAGTGGGAATGATGAAAAAGATATCACTAACTTAGATTCTAAATAGATGAGTTTAGGGATTATAAAACTATTTGATAAAGCTTTGCTAAAATACAATATATAAAAACCCCTGAACTTTTCAAATCGTTTTAAAGATCTTGGTAGGAGCAGACACATACCAACTTTTTAAGGTCATGTTGTTCTTACGGTTACTGGCCAAAGGACTGTAATCTCTTATTTGTCTACACTACATTTTCTTACTAACCTCTCAAAGAGAAGCAAACATTGATCTCTACTATCATTGGATTAAATCCAATATAACACATATTACTTCACATGTATTTCTAACTACATGTATTATTACATCCTATTTCATTCATATGTTCACAGAATTTTCTCTAGATCGATACACCAAAATATAGACCTGCTAGAAAAATTAAAGCAATTCAAAAAAATGCCTAGTCACTAAATCTTTAGCTTCGATTGACAAGCATCAAGCAATGATTTTGAAAGGCTAAAGTCACAGAAAGAATCAGGTAAAAAGGGGAAATTTACCTTTTTAGGTGAAAATGTGATGTTGATGTTTGCTTAAATTCCAAGGTCAAAACTTGGAAGGTGTTGCAGATGTGTCTTTTAGCCATCATTTGTGCCAGTAAAAGAGCTTTCTTTGTGCCAGCAAAAGAGCTTTCACGCACCAGAAACTGTTGGGGATAAGCAACGTGAAAGATTGGTAGAGGCCAAAGACATGTCACTATGGAACAATAAGTATATGAAAAGCTGACCTCTAGAACCTGTTAAGTGTAAAGAATATGTGATGCCTGTGTCATGGGACATTTTCTAAGCAAACATAAGCCAGTTGATATGAGTAATGCATGTTTTCTGGGTGGACCCAAGTTTTCATCAAATTGATAACTCACTTTAAGATACAAGTTATAACCAAACGAGATATATAACTTTTGATCAGGAGAACAGACAATAACTCAATGGTGTACAGTTGTATCTCAGCCTTAAAACAAATTGTACTTTGATTCTATTAAGCTTTTCAATCTACACCAATATATCCGTACTCACCTCTTGATGAAACAGCTTCCATTTAGTGGCTTTTACTGATATCAGATTCTGATGGTGCTTTTGTTGAGGACAGTGATACTTGCGGCTTATTATCAGAACATGTTCCCTGCCATGGTTGATCTCTGAAGAATGAAAAAGTATCTGATTGACTGCAAAGAGAAAATAAAGACGGTTCATTCTGTTCTAAAGAGGTTTCCTGAATTAATAGCATGAAGAAAGCTGAGATGTAAAAAGAACAAAAAACTACAGTCAAATCCACACATGGCTTTTCTGCACATAAATGTATACATAGATGCATGGTCAGTGACATGTAGATTATTGTTACTTACTAACAGTAACAGTTAAAAAAAGGTGAACCAGTCTCACAGAATGCTAGAAGAAACTGATTCAGCTCTGTCGTATATGTATGAGGCCAAAATATCCTGGATTAGTTGAACACTTTCATCAAGAAGTGAAAACATACGGTATTTTGCTAGTCACTATCTCCAATAGTAACTGTAGAAACATACCAAAAAAAAGGGATAAGAAAGCATGCGCACAAGATAAGTATCAAACCTTTTGTTGTTGGATTTACTGTGTCTGAACTGGACTAGACTTAGTGCTCCGTACTTATGCAATTGCCTCTTTTTGAACACTGAAATCGTAAAAGGGAAACACATTTCACTTTACATAGCCAAAACAATAGCTAGTCAAGAAGTCATCATAAGAAGTTCTTGATAAGAAGAGATAAAAGAGTTACAGTTCACAAAACTAATGGCATCACCAACTCGATTCAACTAACGTCTAATCGTTTTCTGAAACTTTCTGCCACAAATTTATTCATCAAATTAGACTCTCTTCAGCTCGAAACAAATTGGAAATCAGTAAAATAGTCAGATTCCAACTTTCCAATACGAAAAATCTCCCCTGAGAAAAAAAACTCTCAAAATTGGAAACATATCTCCAGTCTACACAAAAACCAGCCATGAATCAATTAGATTGTGCAGAAAAACTCAGTCTATTCATTATCAGAGTCCAAATTTCATATAACAAGCTCAAATCAGATTCGATACTCAAACTCGCTTGGAAACCAAAATCAAACTATGAAAAAGTGCCTGATTTTTACTGCAATTCGAAGGAAAGTAACTGAAGAACGAGATTGAGCTCTAAATAGACGAATGTTCCGTAATTTTCAGATATTTCTACAATAAATGGAAGCAAAACCTTTCTGCTGGAGCTCTTCTGCTTCATCTCTTCGTCTCCACCATTTTTTAATTTTCGCATCACTTCGTCAGATAATAATAAGAACCAAAAAAAAAAGAGATTGTTATTTTGAAATTTCGAAAATGGGCCGCCAAAACTTGACATTGCACACTAGGCTTTTGTTCTACTGCGTGAGTTTGTGACCCAACAAACTTTTAGTTTTGACGACAGTAAATATTCCCGATATTTTTTTTTTTTTTTTTTTTTTTGATAATCCAGGTATCCGGGCCGAAGCCCGATTAGCACCAAGGCTTGAGGCCGGTTCCCTGTCGGCCCGTCCGAGCCCAACGCTCAGTGAGTTTCCTGGAGGCCCGAGGGGGCCAGGTGAAAACCTCGGTAGCCAACGGGAATCGAACTGCGGGCACCATATTGGGATTACCCCCTCAAGTACCACTAGCCCAACTCACGTTGGTTAATATTCCCGATATTTATACAGTAAAACCTCTATAAATTAATACTTTATAAATTAATAACCTCTCTAAATTAATAAATTCTTCCGGTCCGGAGTTGGGACCAGTGTAAAATATGATATAAATCGATAAATTAATAAGATAATAATTTTTTTGAAAATCCCATGTAAACATATAGTCCCATCTATATGATAAATTAATAATTGTAAAAACTTATCAATATAAATATATATGTATGTATATTTAACTTAATATATATATATATATAATATAAATATATATATGTCATATATGAATTACTATGATATATATTTAAAATATTATATATAAAGTTTTTAATGAAATATGACTCTATTATTCGAAAAATGTTTGTGTTGTTTTTTTAAAAGTTAATAATTGTTTCTCTACTTGAAATTAGTTTTTAAAAGATATTGCTTATAAAGAAAAAAATTATTTTTAGATAGAATTTTTTAAGGTATTACAAAATTAGTAAAATCTCTTTATAAATTAATAATTATTAATTTATCGATAAATTAATACCTCTCTAAATTAATAAAATTTTATGGTCCCAACATTATTAATTTATAGAGGTTTTACTGTATACCTTTTTAATATTTTATTAGATTTGTTGATCATAGGTTTTTGAAGTTGTACATTTATTTCACTGATGTGGTTAAGATTTCAGTTTTGAATATTTTGGTCTTTTGGAATTGTAGTTTGTATATAATTTAAGATGCAATCGTGTTAGAGGTTTTGATTTAACATTTGACATTTGAGAAAAAGTCTTTCAGTCATACTATTAAAGTATTAATTCTTCTAGTGTTAATTAGATAATGTCTTTTGAGCAAGGTTAGATGGATAACTTCGAATCGTCGATATCTCAATTCGCTTTCTTCACGTAATTTGCTATTACCAATTTACAAGTTGACCCCGTTATCTTGGAAATGTAGGCTACGTTGACATTCTTTTAAATTTATAGTATTCATTTTTTATGTGTTTTTTTTGTTTTGTTTTGTCAACTATATTTTTTTATGGGTTCTCGATTTTTCAATAGTTACATATTTTTCTGATTGTTTTTTTTCTTTCACTTTCTTAATTTGTTCATGTTCATTAATACGCAGCCGAATTTGAAGAAGTTCCTCTTACGTGTGATTAATATTTATACAAATTCTTGCGGTCTCGCTAGCTTCTTTTGGACATTTTCCACGTGAATTATTATTATTTTTACTTATGAAATGTGATGTCTGCTTTTGACAACAAGACATATTTCTATTAACAATATGCTTTTCTTAGTATAATTAAAAAGATTCGTTTAAAGGAAAAGTGATTTAATAATATATATTGCTCTTTGACGTCGTCAAAACCACTGAATAAAGTGATTTTACTGGCGACAAAAGACAAACTATTTCATTGTATCTTTGTTATTTTATATAGCCGACCATCCATAATGATTACTCTTAAAATGTTAATTCTTATGTTAGTGACTACACGGCTTGTCGTTTTGTTTTAATAAAACAAGGACTACAAATTTTAGAATCTAACGTTTTAGTCGTATTGGTTTGTCTCCATATGTTTCATACAATCGTACCATAATGACTGTTACTGGGGACTTTAAAAATATCTCGATTAACTAGAGATATCGTTAAAAGCTCGGAGAAAAGAAACAAACAAGTTTTTTTTTGTAACACAATGAGTCTTATGTAGATTCTTTTGAGATATACAAAAATATTCAAGTGGATGGTTTCACAACAACAACTATGACATTTCTAGTGAAACTATTTCTATATTTCTAAATCGAACATGTTTTTCTACGGAATAGGAACACGCTAAAAGCCTAAAGATGAGGCAACACACCGGCTATATGTCTATGCCTACAAAGAGATATTAGCCGGTTTCCCAACTTGATATGCTCGTTTTATGACCATTTTAAGAGTTGGTCTACAAGCGTTATGACGCTGATCAATTGATGAAATGATCGGCATAAAATTACGTCGTATATTTCATTGCAAGAGATAAAGCTGAAAAGATTTGAAGGTTTCAGAGGACTCATATAAAAGGAAGACTCAGAACATTAATGGTTTTTACGCCGAATAATGGAAAGCTGATTTGTAGTAAAGGTTTTTAAAAACGTTAGAATAGTGATTGACAAATTGTTAATACTAAAATATTGAAGTTGATCTTTAGGAATTACGTCAATTTAGAAACTGGTCGGTAGCAAATTAAAATGTGTTTTATTGTTGTATACGTTTGGCTGAGTGAAACTTGTATAAGTTTGCTTAAATGATAATTTTTTAAAAAAAAAGACTTGGTGTGTGTGTTCAAATTCGTGAGTCAATTGATGTGGCGTTGGGTTCTTTGCACCTAAAGTTTAGCCAGCAAAACCTGTTTTTAGGAAGAAAAAAAACTTATTAGTTTATAACTTTAATCTATTTCATGGGCATGGCAGCACGAGTTATACTCAATCCGCAAAGACTTCGAATATATATGAAATCTTGAAAGAAATCGAGACGATAATTCCAGATCATGTGATGGATCTCATATATAACTTCCCGACCACTACTTTTGTATACACGCCAAAGAGAATGGTGAGGGTGACAATCTTTTTAAAAATAATTTACTTAAAATATTTTAACTCGATAATTAAAAGATGACATATTCTACAACTAAAAATAAAGATAGTGGGTTTCTTTATATTTTATATCATTTTATGGTTGAATTATATGATTTCCATAATCATAATATACAAAGTACAAACTATCGAAAGTGGAACCCGTATCACGATTTCTTACCTTTATTTTATTCGTTGGCTATTAAAATCAAAAAGAAGGCTAATGATACTATCGCCTGTTCCATTTAGATCCTACACTTCATGCTTGTTTTTTGTTCCCCCTTTTGGTCGTCTAATTGTTTAAATTCTATGTCAATTCGAGACACTACATTTTAAGCATAATTTTATAGAAAACATATAATCTAGTTACATTCCATCTTATATAAGGGTACAAATCTATTCAAGAGTCTATCTTTTGTAATTCACCTTGTCAATTCTTAGCAATTAGTTGAACCTTTCTTATTTTTTCTTTTACTTTTGGTCAAACGCTTTCTTAAATTGTATCAAAATATAATAGTTTTAAGACAAGTGGCAAAATATTCTATAACAGTTCTAATCATTCATACTTACGGATTTTTTAATATGTTAGTTGTAAAAACTATTTGTTTTTCTCTTTTGTTTTAAACAAAGTTTTTTGAACTTTTAATCATCTCTTCAAATAAAAAACTAACATATAAATAATATCTTTTACTACTGCAAAATTTTTAAAATTTTTTGGAATAAATAATTCGACTTTATAAAAGAGATGAACGTCAACAAACAAAAAATGAAAAAAAAAAAAAATTGGACGTAAGAAATGCTTTGTGATCAACATTACATTGATATATAATAATAAATTAATAATAATATCACACATCCCAAATGTTTGTCAACAATTCCTGGATAAAATTTAAAATATTCTATAGAACGAAAACCACAAAAATAATAGTATTATAAAGAATTTATTGATAACAACTCTTCATGTTAATTTATATGTTTTTTCCTAAACAAAATTTTTAGGTTTTAATACAATCAACATGTTTGCTAGTTTATTTCAATCAAAAAGAAATATGATTGTTAGTCTATTATCACTAATTAACGCAACTTGATGGATATAAAAAAATACTATACTATAACTTAACCAATCCATCAAACTAACTAGTGAATCGCACTATAATTCTAAAAGAATCAGGTGGGCCCAGGATTTGTCTTTTCTCCACTTCTCAATTTCCCATTAATAATCCCGAAAAGGCATTACGTAATAATTATATTTTAGGCTGTATTATTTTATGATAAACATTTTCAAAGTTTTACTACAGATTTTCCAAGACTTAAATAATAAT